CAGTATTAGAAGGTTTTAGGTTCTGCTTGTAGTGCTCTTGGAGCGATGGGAGAAAAATCAGCATTGAGTCAGGTGATTGATCGGTTGGTGTTGGCACTAGGTGATCAGAATGAGTGCGTTCGAGCGAATGCATATAGTGCTCTCGGAGCGATGGGCGAAAAAGCAGCAACGAGTCAGGTGATTGATCGGCTAGTGCGGGCACTAGGTGATCAGAATGAGTGGATTCGAGCGAATGCATGTAGCGCTCTTGGAGCGATGGGCGAGAAAGCAGCAACGAGCCAGGTGATTGATCAGTTGGTGGTGGCACTTGGTGATCTCGTTCAAGGTATTCGAAGTACCGATCTGAAGGGCTTTAATAGGCTTCTTAAATTGTTTTCGTGTACCGTGCAGTGGCTTCCTGATGCTGACGCGAGAGAGGCTGAAGGGATGCGGAAATTGAACGTTTACGATGGAATTGATGGAATATCGCGGAAACTTTTTCAGTTACTGATTCATACGCATGATTGGCGTTGGCTTCCCATATTCGTAGAATGTTGTCTAATGGAGGAGGTAGCGGTCATGATTATCGGCGACAGAGTGATTATGCAGTTCGAGCGGGTGACAGTGGAGACACGAATCAGAAACTTGAAGCTACTATCAGAGATGTGCAAGGCTTTTGATGATTTCGGTTTCAAAGTGCTTGATTACCACCAACAGAATAGTTGAAAACCATGTAGGAAACGAAAATTGGAGTGTAATTGACGCAGCTGAATTTGAATAAAGGAGATTATTTACTTATTCGGTTATTTGTGTTTTGATTACCCAGGATTGTTCGCGTGGATAAGGATGTCTGTGTGAACCGTGTGTGGATGTGAGGTGTGGTTTTTCAATGATATTTGGGTGTGAAGAGCAAACGCTACAGATTGTGTTTCATAATTACTGGAGTTATGAAGTGGCATGTGTTAGTGCCCAATGAACTGAAGACCAGTTCAAACTACAAATGAATTTCTACTCTACTGTGTGTGTGTGTGTATTTATTAAATTGATTTCATACTCCATACAACGCCTTCCGACTGCTGTTCAGACAGGCATCAGCAGGTAAGTTTAAAAATATGAAATAGGAGAATAGTGGAAATCACTATTCGCTTTCTTTTGGATATTGGGAAGCGTATTGGATAACAAATGGTGAAGATTAATGTTATTTTAATTTAACAGGGAGGTCTACATATGTATAATGGTAATTGGAAGTGTCAGTTTTTTGCTATAAGTAAGAGTTCTAGATATCTTCCGAATAGAATAAATTTCAGTCGATTGTAGTGTATCTTATTCGTTGGAGGTGGCAACTGATGTTGCTTTCAACGCATGTACTTATCTAATAGTCAGTTAACTATGCTATTCATCAGATGTCTATAAGCTTCACTTTTGTCTCGATTCATATTTAAAATAGAATAGTGCTACCATATTCCATTTTTTGAAGAAGTTATTCAGATTTGTTAAAATTCAAATGATTCCTTTATGATAATTCGTTAATCGGATAGAGTATTCTGAATTAGTATGTTATGTTTATTCCTCTTTATTTATTTATTAAGTAGTTGTTGAAAACTTACAAGAATGAAATGAAAAATACAACATATGGTGCAGGTTTTCCATTGCTATTTTTAAGTTTTCAACTGAATCAGTGACTGTTCTATTTTGTAGGTATTGATCACTAATCGAACTTTCACAGTTCAGGACGGGGAACTTTCATATGCATAATAATTGGTTCACCATTTGTAAAACTGTACTGTTATTTCTTTTTGGAATTTGATGTATCGAATAAATAGCGTGGATACATTATGCTCTCATTCCATTCTTTCATTTTCAATAGTGTCGGTGATATGACTGCATCGTTTAGCGTAATATTCAAGTGCTTTTCTCGTCAAGTCGGGTCGGTTGATGCCATAATATTCTATGTCAACTGTAATAATGTTCGTATTTATGTCCGTTAGTACGTTTATTGTGTTATTATAATAAAAGAATTGATGTCACTGCTATGGAATGAAACTTGCTAGATATTCATTCCATAGCAGTGACATATCGATAGGAATACGTTCTGAATTGAAGCAATTTATATCAGAACATATTCTTGCGGCATGTAACAAAACATCATAGGACATATCCCAGGTCGAGCAGTCGGGGCCGGAAACGCCAGGTTCCGATGTCTTCCCGCGATTTTACGGAAGTAGTATTCCGGAACGGATTTTCCCAGATTTTTCCACTATTTTCCCACTCATATCCCAACGGAAACACCGGGAAAATTTCAGGAAAAAATCTGGGCGGTTCCTTTTGTGATCCACATACACGTCGTAGGAACGGAAACAGTTGGAAACAAGTGAATCTTCGATGGAATTTTTACGCCGCTTTCCGTACGAGTATCTCCGACGTTTACAACATATTTTCCGAGAATTCCAAAACCGGAAAGACATCTATGTCAACCGTATCGGTATCCAAACCGCTTCCTCAATCATATTCCAAACCCATCTCCCACATCAAACAGTTCGGACACATACCGATACCAGCAAATAATTGCGCTACACTCTAATGTTATTGACCTTTGACCAAATCACACCAGCCACTCACTACGTCATATCCCTACGAGCATATCGAGCTGGTCAGAAACTGCTGCAAACAGAAACTCAAAAGCTGTAAAGGTAGATTTTTTATTTCAACTCCCAGCTAAATTCTGAGGTAAGTTTGTAATAGGGTATCGAGGTCGACGAATGCGATGTATTTGATTCGATTTTGATCTATTTTGAAAAAAAATTGCATTCCATTTTATTCGATAGAACCGTCGAATAATCTTCAGTCGATTTCATTCTACCTATTGTCAAAAGATGTTAAATATTGTTTTTTAAATTCATAAAATTTTTTATCTAGATCGATTGGATCTGACTGAGCCGAACAAATTTAATAATTTATTACGTTAGTCCGTCGCGGCCTATGAAATGTAGTAGCGAAATCTCTTGATTTATAAGTAGGAAAACTTACCAGTACATCTGGAAACATTTCACCAGTTTTATCTACATATGGTTCAAGAGCATGTTTATGCTAAAACAAAAAAAGTGACTTTGAAGACAAATAAAAACAGATAACATATCGAAAAGCTGTGTTTATACGGTTTTGAATCTTTAAGTCTAAAGTCGTTCAAATATAAATTTGTTCGTACTCATTTAAACACCTCAATTTTTTAATGGCATTCTTGTTTTTATTTCAAAGGTATTAAACAATAAAAAACCGATTAACATCTCGTAAATTATTTTCAATTCAACGAAATAATAGCAAAATTTGTTTTGTTTTAAATGCCTATTACGATATTGATATTAGAAGTAAGACGATCTATTTTCACGTATAACTTTTGCATTAGTTGATCGAGTTTAGATGAATTTGAGATTAATTTTTCATTTAATTGGTTTACTCCATTATCGATATCTGAAGAACATTTGATTTCGTTTTTGTTATTCATGGTAATATTTTCATCATCTGAATTAATAGATGTAAGATAATCGTAGTCATATTATTTCAACTCACTTGAAGCTGTTGAAACACGTTGTGTTAAACGTTTACCGATGGTGCTCTTTCTCTTCTTTGATGATGATTCAAATAATGTTTTCTTCGTTTGTTTACGGCAATCAAAAAATTAATTTTCTTCATCATCACTATCTGACACCTGTTTAATAAAATAAAACAATATAAGTTGTTATATAAAACAAAGAAAACAAAATGTTTACAATAGGGAAAAGATCTTCATTTATAAGTTGTTTGTAGTGATAAAACACTAGAACTACAATCGTTTTGATGAAGAAATGAAAATGATTCATTTCGAATATATAAGATGCATTATACTTCTCAAAGGCTGCATTTGTCGTGCTGATAGAGCGAACAAAAATTGTATATACTAGATTATCACAATTAAAATCTTCATTGAAAAATAAAGAATTAAGCATAAACTTCAACATCTATTTTTTCTGGTGCTTGTGCACATGCTGAAATTCGTGGTGATGATGAAGCTGATGATGATAAACGTGTTCGATCAATTTTTGAAGATCTTATATTTGTCATAGATGAATTAATGACATTGATTGCATCTTGAATTGAATCATCTGAAAGAATGAAAAACTATGGCATATATCAGTTTGAAACATGAAGTGAGAATATTACCATCATTTTGGTCATCGACTTGATCTTGTGATAAACGAGTTAATCGAGCATATTCACTATTACAATCTTCAAGGGAACCTGAAAGACAATAAGCGACAATAAAATAAATAAATAAATATGAAAGTAGATCATGAAAGACTATTTTGGCTTGTAAAAGTTTATTACGAATAAGAATAAATGCAACATCATCATTTATATTTTTAAGACTTGATCGGGCAACTATTTGGTACGAATTAGTTTCTTCAACTAAAAGTAAGTAATAAGTTGAAGGTGGTGTGTGTTGTGTTGGAGTAAAAACTCGACGTGGAAACGTTTATCGACGTGATGTCATTACTATACGAAGATGTTGAATGCGCAAATGACGAAAAACATTATCAAACTACTATGCTAATAGAAGTTTATTGAAAAGAATGAATTAGTCATGTTCGTATGATGATGATAGTGGTGTTACAACAAGAGAATCATTAAACGTAAATACGACACACATATTTGATATGTTGTCAACAGTGACAACATCAGTAAAAGTAGAAGAATGATGAAGTACATAGAAATACACATTGAGTTGCTTTAAGCTAGATATCATGATAATTAGATGAGAGAAAATAATCTGTGAACAAATATTTCAATCGATGATTATGAATTAAAGCAAAATTTTTATTGTTACACTTGAAAATAAATCGATTTTACCAAATAAATTATCGTCATGACCTTTTGAATATTGAACGAAGTAGCTGACTGATGATCCTCGTCTTCGATATAATAAGGAATAATAGACCATGTGTTTAAGTCGACAACGACGATATATACTGATGCATTGGTCAATTTTATCACAGCTGCATAGAGCATTATGACACTCGTGTAGAGCACCGTTAATCGAACTTTCATGAACATCAACTAGTCTATCAACTTCGATGGTTCTACTTGATGAATGAGAGTTTGGTTGATTGTGAATTGTGAAATCTACCTGAAATTGTAACCCAAATACCATCTAGAGTAGAGTTAAGTGACATCAATAGAATATTACATACATTATAATTGTTTGTAATTAACTCTCCAAAGTGATGTGTCCCATGTCGATTCTTAGCAAAATATCCTAATAATGATTCTTGTCCAAAAGTACGAAGGTTAGATAAACTACCGTGTAAACGATATTGATTTGCATAGTGCACATGCAAGTGCAAAACGAAATTCTGAATACTTGTAATTATAAAATGATTGATGATCTCTGTAGTAATTGATCATGAATTCGTTAGCTATAATTTCTGTTCCATCGCCACGTGTACGCGGTCCATGGAACAACTTTATTAAAAAGACTCAAGTAGATTTCGAATTTCGAATAATGCAAAAATTTCTTTATTTTGATATATTAATTATTTTTCTGTTGCTTAGTTCGAATGATAAAATGGTAAAGTACGAAAAGGTCGAAAAAATGTCGAAAACAATAATAGTAAAATTCGAATCATCTATTTATTCATAAATATATTACCGAAAAATAATAAGCTATAGGCTATCCAGAAAATGAATGAAACGAATATTACACAGATATTAATTTAAGAGAACAAAAATTCATATCAAGAATAAGAATATTCAAAACAAAAAAGAACAGTCGTCGAATAATATTATGATATAGAGAGAATTAATCAGTTCAGCTATTAAGTTTTTTTCTCGTTTTATCTTTTGCTACGATCATTGAAAGACCTTCGAGGTATTCGTTCACATCAATTTCATTATTTGAAAAATGATTGGCTAAGACTTTGAGACGTTCTTGAATAATGCACGTTCTTTTCGATTGTTTCTTGAAGAAGCCCCTCTTCGCATGGAGAAGCTTTTTTTGGAAATGAACTTCTTCTCTCTTGAGAACATCGATAAAATGCCATATGTTAGGGTGCATCTTATCGACACGACGATTGAAACGATTGTGCCAACATAAATTCTAGTGGAATAGAATCATTAAAAACAGATAAAAGAGATCTCACCTTCGCAGTTGTTGTTAGTCCGTGTTTTTAAGTCAGAAACGTTCCATAAAGTCAAAGATATTTGTTTCATCCAATAATTATCGAAATAGACGAAAAGTGGTGCAAGAACGTCTGGGCGTTGTTCAGTAGGTTCTTCAAATGCAAATTCTACTTCATGTAGTGGTAGAAGGGGTAAGGCCATCAGACGACGACAAAAATTGCGAGCATTTGCATCATCTTTGTATGTGTTAGTTAAACCAAGTTCTCGCACCTTTCTGTAAAAGAGCGACCCATGAGAAGAGCAAACACACATGGAAAACCTTCACATAAGTTACTAGAATTTTAAAGAAATGCAAGGTATCATTTACTCACTCTGTTCGAATTTAACTCCATGAAGCGCGTAAACTTGTTCAAAAAATAGTGGGCATGACGAGGATGTGCTATCCATTAATATGTGTTTAGCTTTAAAAAGGACACGTAGTTGATCATCTGTAGCAAAAATAAGTATTCTTTTATTTCGTCTCATTTTGTCGTAAAGTAAAAATCGTTCTACGTTGATTGTATGATTATAAAGAGTAGGAATATCAAAACGACATGATTTTGGTAGAAGAAAAGATTCAAGCCGACGAATTCGATTTAATGATGACAAACAAAGATATTTACTAGCATCTTGAGCTGATGCGACTATACTTAGAGCAGTTTGACTCAATTGAGCTTTGGCTACTTCTTCATCGTAAATACAACCAATTGGTGTAGCTTCAGTAACTACGCGTTTTTTTTATATTAGATTTCAAGCTAAGGATTTCAATGTGCTCCGGTGAAGATAGATGATTTGACTGATCACCTTCGCGTACTTTGAATCAGTCGTTGATATCAGTATGAATAACAGCAGCACAGAGACGGTTTTCATAACGCCAGTACTTGACCTTCGAACATGACTTTTTTAAATGATACACATAACCATCACAGACAAGTACACGCTTGCCTTTATTGCTTTGTGAGAATGTTATTGTAGGCGTATTACTCATGACAATATTCAGAACGAAATAATGCACGATTGAAATGAAATGTATATATACACACAGTGTATTAGTTAATCATTATTGTTTGATCCTCTTAACGAAACATTCAAATTGGTAGACAGACAAATAAGCTAATTAGGAGATCATTTTTTTTTATCTTAAGCTGATAGGATATATTTTCAATTGCATTATTAATATTTATCCTTTCCTGCTTTTTTTAAATGTTTTTTGTTCATTCGACAATCTGCCTTTCTGCATTATTATCTTTCGACATTTTCCCCGTCGACCTTTAAACACCTATTCGCCTATGAGACTGCTCAAAGGAATCAGGATTTTGATCAAAGACATGGCTTTGAAAGGATCTGATCTCCTAAGATGCTTGATCAGCTGAAGTCTGGTTAATAAAGTTTTAAAAGGAGTTTAGAATAGGATAAAATGACCATATCCATTTCTGTTTCATCGGATGACATGGGGATTTTCTTTTTCCATCGGATATTTTTTCTTGTTTTATAAAAAAAATCCAAGTGTTTTCTGTTGAGATATTTTCAGCTAGCAGTTTATAGAAACGGTGATTAATAAAATGTATTACACCTTCATCGTTCGTCTTTTTTCTTCAAAACATATATGTTCGTAGCTAATTATTTTCTACTTTTTATCATAGGAAATTTTTAAACCGTTTTTTGAGATTTTAAAACAATGATATCCACAATTGTTTTTTGTGTAGTTTGATATATTTTATAAGCACTTATATTTTTAACATTCTATTGCACAGCTATGATTTTATGAATCAGAGACTTGGCTATAAAGAATTCTTAGTTTAAATGAATGTTGAACAGAAATATTTTATTAGCTTTCGATTGACAACGAACTATTGCGCATAGAGGAGATTCTGGTGGATTATACATAGATCCTACAGTAATTGATTTCAAAACAATATTCGCAAAAAGATTCAAAGAAGCCAACTAAAATACACCAGTATAGTAAAAAAAAAGGTCGAGTGGCTCTTTTAATACTAGAAAGCTATCAAAAATCGCAAGAAATAAATAGTTCATGATAACAAAATGCGCTGGAGAGGGGAATCTATTACTTTCTATTGTTTAAACATATGAAATGAAATCCTCTAATAGTAGAAAAAAAAATAGATTAAAAGTTTCGACTGGATTGATTAAACTCAGATTGTAAGGATGTCAATGAACTCACTTTTGTATTTATGAGGGTTTGTCAAGATCCTAATACCCTAGATACTTGTCGCATTGAACATATTTTCCCTCCAACTATGAGCGCTGAGTTTAAAGTATAAACTGAGCATTGAAAAGTAATTCAAAAATTGACCTGGTATCTTGCAGAATGACCCATCGGGCCTTATTGAAGGATACTCAACAATAAGTGATTTGCTGTAACAAAATATTCTCCGGTTTATTCAAAAACTCATAGAAAAGCTTCACCTTGCGAAATAAATCTCATCTAATATAAATCAGTACTTGAGCATTTATCCAGCTCCATAAAGTCTTTTAAAAATGATAAAAAGTCATTCTGAGAATTTCTCTCGTGTCTTTTGGCTCTTATCGGGAACAAATTTTTATGCAATTTTCGTATCTTTCCACGAATATAGTGAAGTCGAGCCTATTTTCAATGAAAATCAAGTATTTAGAATATTAGATTTCTGTCATAGAAAGTGCTCTACGAAATTCTACTACAATCAACATATCAACTGTCTAGCACGATTTCTTCGTGGAATATCTATGTTCATATAGTACTGCAAAAATGATCATATTGCTGTGTATCTCTTAGTATTGATGAACTTATCTTTTACGGTTATTATATCAAGTGAAGGCATGTACACACTGAGCAGCTCAAGCAAAACGGATCTGTTTTCGCTGGAATATGTCTACAATAAAAGACCAAACAAATGTACTCTTTTGTGGATAGCGTTCTCAGCAATATTTACGTACTTTGAGAACTGAGCAGTATGTTTGTCAAAAATTTACGTCAAAAAATCTTAAAGCTTTTATTTACACTACATATTTCACCATCAGAAAACTGTAACAACTTTGATTGAAGATAAATCCAGTGATGTTGCATGAATATTGACTTATAGAACTGCATAACTGAGTTTCTAACTGTGATACTCAGTAATTTTTACATCACACTTTTTATCCCAGAGAAAAGATGGATTCTTTTACTCAAAACGCGTTTGGGAGTCACTATTTCAGAATGAAAACGAAAAGTATGTCATCTCGCGGCGTTTTTAACCGATTCAGCAGCTGCAGAACGCGTTTTGCAGCATTGAAAAGTAATGAAATTTTTCCCATGGGTGAATAAACTTGATCTCTAAATTTTGTAACTTTCAATATATACTTCGTTATTTATCACTACACAGAGACATGGGAAATAGCATTGCTGAATTCTTACGCCAAAAGTCGCGTTACTTGTTGATTTCCATAAATAGTCACTGAAGAACTTATGTTTTGAAGACGAATCTCAGATGAAAATGGTATTCGAACAATTTCTGTGGAATGATAATATAAAACTCGGCCAAGTTGTGATGATCTATTTAAATATTGAGTTTTTATTACAGAAAAAACCAAATATCTTCAATTTCCCATAAAAAAATCAATTGCTGATAGAATATTCTTAAAAAGTGAATCCATCATATCGTAAGGATTAATAAACATTTATATTCTGCTTTCGTAGCCACAATATATGTACTCAAATATCGTACTTTATTATTCTCATTGCGAATATTTCGCGATTGTTACATGATAATATAATTGTTTTCATTTTATAATAGAATCGATATGAAATATGATCTCATTCATGGCCGATGCATTTTTATTTGAAAAACAATTTGCAGATTTAGTAGAAAAATAAAAATCAATTGATATATTGGGTAACCATTGATAATAGATTGCATCAGATATGATCATAAAATCAATGTACCTTACTCTTTTTTTCATGGGTATATTTATTATTGTGTACGACTATTTTACGATTTTTACGTTTCGTTCGTTCTCTATTTACTTACGATGACTGCACTGGCAAACAAATATCTTCCATTCTTATTAGTTTCGGTCTCGTACTCTTTGATTTCATATTCTTTCAGTGTCCTTTAGGTATAACGTAATATTGATTTTCATTTATTTGATGAAAAAGAACGGTAGGCTGTGGCAACATGCGAGTATTGTTCGCTGATGAAAAGCGAAGAATTGATGATAGAAGAGAACGTAACTAAAAGTGAGGAAAAAAAGAAGAACAAGAAAAAATATAGTATGTGCGGGACCTTTCTGCCAAGAAGAAAAAACATATCCGTGTTAATCAACTTCGAAACGGTTGCATGTTTCTTTTTTTTATAGATATGCCAAAAAAACAGCATCCATATTTAACATCGAATATATTTGGAAGAATATTCCATTCGTAAGGATAGAATTCTTTGTCTTTTAAAAATATTTTCTTTTTTTCAGCTGGGTGCTTGGTTTACTTGAATTAGGACGTAAACGACCACTGGAAATTGATGATGTATATCCTACTTTACCTGATGACCGAAGTGAACCTTGGATCGATCTTCTGAATAAGTAAGTCATATTAATAATAATGACTCATACTCCCCACAATACCCACATAAAACATTATATAACAGAACGGAGAAGAAAAAAAAACTGTCTACTACCACGTTCTAGGCATCCTGTTTACAAGATTTATTTACTAATATATTTATCTATTAGAGAATGGGAAAATGAAATCTTACGTGCTAATAAATCTCACAAGAAAAAATATAAACCATCATTATTTCGTGCGACTTGGAAAACCTATGGACATCGATATTCTATCGTCGGCATTATTCTATTTATTTATGTATGAGTGACTTTTTCCCCTCCTATCTAACAGATTATTTTAAGCCGTAAGATTTATTTTAGACGATATGCCGTTTTATTCAACCATTTGTATTAGCACGTTTTATTCGATATTTTGCGCCATGTTCAAATATATCATCAACCGAAGCCATTATTCTAGCTTCATTAACAAGTGCCTTTCCTTGGATTATGTTTTTATGTCGTCATATGGCATTTACACGAAGTTTTCTTGCCGGTATGCATCTTCGATGTGCCTATAGTGGACTTGTATTTCGTAAGGTAAGACATATTTAATTAGATTTATCGAGCAAAAATATCTATTTATATGCATATGAAAATAGATTATGAAATTATCTATTGGATCATTAGGAAAAAATTCAAGTGGGAAAATTGTGAATTTGTTAACAAATGATGTTCAAACCATTGACCGCTTCTGTCTTGATGGTCATTTTCTTTGGATTGGTGTACTTGAAACTATTGTTGTACTTGTCATTCTTTGGTCTTATATTGGTGTTACTATTTTACTAGCTATTATTTATACATGTTTGGTTTTATTTTTACAAATGGTTTGTGGAAAATGTATTCAATTGATTTGGTATGAAAATTTTATAGGAAAAATATCGATATCAATGTTTTAATTTAGGACAAAACGGATTCGAAAAACAGATCTACGTATTAAATTAATGAATGAAATAATAAAATCAATACATCTTGTAAAAATGTATGTTTGGGAAAAACCATTTCAATCTAAAGTTGAACGTGTTAGAAAGTAGGAGAAGATTTTTTTGTGATAAAAGTATATATAGAGGCAGTTTTGTATTTAGACAAGAAACTGTTTATATTATTCTTCAATCATTAGTGAATACAGTAAAGATTGTGAATGCAGCATCATTTGCATCGACATTTTTTTTGGTTATATTCGGTCTTCTGTGGTATCGTGGAGCACCATTTGATACTGATTTTTTTACGATAGCGTTTGTGTTAGTTTTGTATCTTCGTCAAACATATTTGCATAATCTTTCGAATGCATTCACAAGTCTGTCACAATATTGGGTAGCGTCAAGTCGTATTACAGTAAGAGTTGCTTTTCGTTGTCTTCTTCGCCAACAAAGGTTATTCATATTCAGGAATTTCTACTCTGTGATGAATACAATCGATCGAATGCAGTTTCTTATGATTTGAAAAATGAAAATGCACATATCGATGTTGAAAACATCGCATCAAGTTGGGAGGTAATTTTATTAGAGAAAAATTCTTCCGAACAATGTGAATCGATCATTTTCTTTTCTCCAGAACAGTGCATCATTTGGACTCAATGATATCACATTTTCTGCTGGGGTTGGTGATTTAGTTATGGTCATTGGATCAATTGCTTCAGGAAAAGTATCGAAATTAAAATGTAAATTAACCGATGATGGAATCTATGCATTTTTAGAGTTCCCTATTGATGACATTACTTGGTGAAATGCCAATAACAAAAGGAAAAATTTCTTTTGCTAAGAAATCACGTCTTTGTTATGTACCACAAGGTAAATCAGTTTAGAAGAACAAAGACAGTTCTATAAAAGTATTTCTTATAGAGTCATGGATATTTTCTGGTACAATCAGAGAAAATATTCTTTTTGGTCTTGAATATGACACACAAAAATTCTATCGATGTATCCATGCTACAGCCTTAAATATTGTTTGTTATTTATTCCTCATAGAATTTATTCGAATTTTATTCATATAGGATTTAGATAATTTACCATATGGTGATTCAACTCTTGTTGGAGATAATGGTGTGATTTTATCGGGTGGACAAAAGGCTCGATTATCATTAGCGCGAGCACTTTACCGTGACGATGGCATTTATTTACTTGACGATCCATTGTCAGCTGTTGATGTTGAAGTTGCACGTCATATTTTTGAAAAGTAATGGAACTAAAGAAAAAAATCAACAATTATAAAAACTTTACATGATATTTTAGATGTATTCTTGGAAGATTAAATTCAAAAGTTTGCATTTTAGTAACACATCAAATTCAATTTCTTAAATATGCAACAAATATTATATTCCTCGATAGAGTAAGTGTTTAATAAAGATTGTATCAATTTGTATTGTTAAATTCGTTGATTTAATTTCCTACACAAAAGCAATATCTGAGAGCTTTACATCGTCATAAAAAATATTCAATTTTTAGGGCCATCAAGTAGCTCGAGGCACTTATGATGAATTAGTACGAACATGTCCAGCATTCACACAATGGACAGAAACAACAACTCGAAAACTGGGCGTAGATTTAACTTCAACAGCTACATCAACTAGTCAATTAAATCTCGATTCCAAACCAGAATATCTCAATCAATTCTCAGTATTTTTATTTCAATAGACTGATTGAACATTACTTTTTAATGATTTCTTTGAAAATATAGTTATTACCAGCAGGTGCAGGCAATGATGAAGAAGAAAATTTCTTAATACCATCGGTTGAGAAACCAATACAAAAGGAAACTATTGAAACAAAACGAGTTGGTTCTGTGAAAATGAATGTTTTTATGCGCTACATAAGAGCTGGTGGTTGTGGAATATTTGGTTTATTATGTCTTTTTATATTATTTGCAATCACCAGTGCTCTTATTTTACTTTCGAATTGGTGGCTTGGCCGTTGGTCGAATGCTGAACGTATTCGGTATAGACCAACAAATATAACGAATTCTTGTTCATCAAATGCGCAATCATCGATTAGTGATATGTCCAATGAACAATGGCTGAAAGAGAGAGATAAAAATTTTTACGTTCTACTTGGTAAGTTACATATGAGAACTGTCTGCTTATTGCCAGGATTGTCGATTAAATCAAATTGAAAATTACAAAAACCTTGTTTTTAGGATTCAGTTTGTTAACTGTTGTATTATTATTTATACGAACAGTGGCTTATTTTATATCTTGTCATATCACAGCTCGATCACTTCATAATCAAATGTTTAATTCACTACTTCATGCGCCAGTACTTTTCTTTGATACAAATCCAATCGGTAGGAAACTATTTCAAAGATGTAAACGGACTAGAAAAATTTCACTCTATTTAAGGTCGTGTTGTTAATCGTTTTTCGAAAGATGTTTCGTCACTTGATGAACAATTATCTGATGTTACCTACAATTTTGTTGATGTATGCAAAAAAGAAAATATAATTTTTACATTTAATTTTGATCTTTCAAAGGTATTTTTTGGGATAATATCAACAATTATATTTATTGCATATATGCAACCATTATCACTCATTTCAATGGCAGTAGTAGGAATTGCCTTGGAACGAGTTCGCCGAGTTTATACACCAGCTGTACAAGATGTAAAACGACTTGAAAGTTTAGGTAAGAAAACCAGTGGTTTTCATTGTTTTCAATCAATAAGCGTTTTATAGCTCGATCACCAATTTATTCTCATCTATCGGCATCAATACAAGGCGTACCTATGATTCGTTCTTATGAAGCACAGCAAACTTGCATACAAGAATTTGCTCATTGTCTCAATGAACATTGTCGAGTATATAGTATTATGCTTGCAATGAATCGGTGGTCGGGTATGAGAGTTGACTGTGTGGTTGCAGGCTTTGTGGGTTTTCTAGCATTTTCATGTTTACTTACATATCAAAGTAACATTTTCTCCTTTTTAATTCATTGATCTCTGAAATACGTATTTATTCACTATGATAGATTTACCTATATCTGATTTAAGTTTGATGTTAGCTTATTCATTTACATTGATGGGTTCTATTCAATGGATTATTCGACTTACTGTTGATGTTATGATACAGGTAGAATATGAAAAATCATAAATGTTGATGATTATTTATTACTAAATAGATGACTAGTGCAGAACGTGTTATTGAATATATTGATTTAGAGCCAGAAGAATCTTCACATATTAGAAACTTTCAAAGTATATCACCGCAATGGTCTATAGGTAGTATTGTATTCGATAATCTTTCATTTCGTTATTCATCAACAAGTCCATGGGTACTTCATAATATTAATATTTCTATTCAACCAAATGAAAAAGTAGAGGTTCCTTAAACAAATCGATAAGAAAGAAATTTAATTCTCTATTCTGTATTAGATTGGTATTGTTGGTAGAACAGGCGCGGGGAAAACTTCAATTATTCAATCCTTATTTCGTATGGCTGAATTAGATGGTCGAATCTTAATTGATAATATTGATACAAAAAATATTTCTTTGTATGATCTTAGACGACATATTTCAATTATACCACAGGTAAAAAGATCAATATACATCATGTTTTATACGATTATTTTCAATTGACAGGATCCTGTTTTATTTAATGATACACTGCGAATAAATCTTGATCCATTCGGTGAATATTCTGATATTGAAATTTGGAATGCACTTGATGAAGTAATAAATAAATGAGTTGGAATTATTTTGCTGTAAATGTATTATTAGGTACAACTTAAATCTGAAATGATTGAAGGTTTACAACAACAAGTAACCGAAGGTGGATCAAATTTTAGTGTTGGGCAACGTCAATTAATTTGCTTAGCACGAGCACTTCTTCGAAAAAATAAAATTCTAGTTATTGATGAAGCTACCGCTAATGTTGATCATAGGTAATCGATTGAATTCATTATGTAAATATTTTTCTATTTCAATATTTATAGAACCGATGAACTGATTCAATTAGCTATTCGGAAGAAATTTGTAAGTTGCACTGTATTAACAATCGCTCACAGGTAAAATGCTTAGAAGTTTATCATGAATTATTCCAATATAATTGCTCATGCAATTTTTTGTTTATTTTAGGTTGCGAACTATCATAGATAGTGATAAAATCTTGGTTTTATCTTATGGTCAAGTTGTTGAATTTGCAGCTCCTTATGAACTATTATGTGATGATCAATCTAATTTTGCACAGCTTGCTTCTCAGGCAGGCCATCGTGAAACTGCACATCTAATCCAACAAGCTAAATTAGCTGCGATGACATCTCGTTAATGATGAATGAACTCCATAGATGTTTTCTCTCCTAGTCTATTTTCCAATGAATATATGCGTTCATGTTCACAGTTAAAGTTCCATTATTTTTCAAAAATAAAAAAATCAAGCCAACGATTTGAGTAGGATTCATAAATACATCTCATTCCTTATTCGTGCACGCTAGCGATAAGTCACATAGTATATCTACTTTTTTTTCCTTTCCTCTCTCGAGGGTGTTGTTCATCTTCACTACTATCACCATCACATCTTCAGCACCAACGACGTGGTGTTGACGATGATCCCGAACCCAATTCTTCCACCAGATTTAACATAATTTTTCAATCGTTTCTCAAATAAAGAACTTCATCAAATCGGTTTAGCCCTTATTCAATAATCGCAACACTTCATTCAAATGAAGCAACAATTTCATCATCCAGCTTCGTCTCTCTCGTACTATCTGCCCGTCTCTCAAAACTATCTCTTCTATTTCTCCTCTTATGAATCATCAGCAAAATTGTTCAGAAGTACGTCCACCTATAAAACAACAAACCATCCCTGTCACTTCCGCTCCAAGACATTCAGCTAGTGACAGTTGCGACAACAGTGATGGTAATCGTCAACGTATGAAAAGCGCTTGAGAATCAACGATCATCCACCTTGTAATGAACAAGTCGAACAACATCATCTTCCTACACTTGTTCCTCCTCACCATATTATCAGCGTTCTTTCAATATGAACGTTCTTAAGCGGGCAGTTTCTAGTAATCTACCTTATTTTTTCATCATCTTTAGTGCTTCTGCTGAACCAAAAAATATTCCGTCCACCATTAAAGTTGCTATTATGCTCAAGAAATTATTTTGCCGATAATCAAATTCCTATCAAGGAACTGTTGATGTGTGTACAAGCAAGTGAACGAATATTTAAATTTGCTCTAGGTGATAAAGCTGATTTTTTTAACTTTGTTCAATTGAACCTGGCCTGAGGAAATTGATGATAAAAAGCTGAATTTCTCACACTTTGCCTGATTGATATGCCTTGGTAGTACGTTACGTTCCTTTAAATATTAAGCAGGATACTACCCGACAACAAATCGTAAAGACAATCCCTGCTGCAGTTGGTTTCTCGTCTATTCATTATCGCCATCGTCAACGACCAACATATGATATTCGATTTACTGTACGTAGCCTCGAACAATATCAAACAGCACTCCTTACTGGTTATCGACTAACATACTGTACAGAATGTTGGAAAATTGGTCACATGAGAGACAAATGCCAATCACCAGTCAGTTGTCGTAAGTGTTTAGGTCCGTATACTAATGAAGTAAAACACAGGTGTCAAGATATTTTTAACTGCGCTCAATGCGGAGGAAATCATTACTCCCTTGATTCAATTTGTCCTGTTGTAAAAAAATATAGAGAAGAACTTAAATTAGCTGTTGATAAAGCTTTAACTTCACGTGCAATCAAAAGATCAATACCAGGGGAAGTACCTCGTTCATTTCAACTACATGCGAATGATTTTCCGTGATTAAATCAAGCTAAGATAAATAGTCTTTCAGCATGGACTACATCTGGAAATGAATTTCTACATTCTCATCTAAAAAGGGAGATGAGTGATCTTGTTGTAACGATCATAGCTCTATCAAAGACTATGATTCGGACGGAGAAATCTTTTAACGATTTGAATAACTGTATCGAAGTTCAACATAACAGCACTATACTCCATTGCAATAGTATCTGTGCCATTATTGATACGGTACAAATTATGTTCAGTTGGGTGTAGGGTAATAGTAATGAAAGATCCAAATTAAAGAAAAAGATTAACAAATCAATTGAAAATCTTCAAAAATGAAAAAAAAAACAATGGGATTCGAACAAAAGCAATGAATCCATTGCTTCCATCTCTTCTCCCCACCTTATTACAACTAAGAACATCATTGATAACAACAATAACGGGGAAGTAGAAATAAATGACGATTTTTCAATGAACTCTCTAGGCCAAGATGTTTGACTTCTCTTCTCTTCTTAATGTTCACGCTCGTTCCTTTTTTCCTTCTTCTACCTACCACCTTTCCCCATTGACAAACACATTTTTTGAAACAGCATTAGACAGACTGGTAATTTGGAACCCATGTAATAAAAACCGCATGAAAATCGGTGGTTTTACCGGCTCTCATTACCACAGAACGGATAAATATCGCGGTTTACCACAAAAAATGATATGACAATTACCGCGGTAAACCGCCGGTTTTGATTAATACCGTGGTTACCGCTAAAAAAAGCGGTTAACCGGTTCTTCTATAATTTTTGACAGAAAAAGTCTTCCAAATCATCAATTAAACTATTTTAAAGATCCCTTTTTTTTACTTTTACATGTGATAAACATGCGCAAAAAACCACCGGTTTTACCGGTCCGGTTACCGGCTCCCATTACCGCAGAACGGATAAATACTGCGGTTTACCGCAAAAATTGATCCGGTATTCGCAACATGGGAAGTTTTCTATTAAAGTTCAAAAACGAATTATACCAATTTTAGAAGATTGGTATTCTAATTCTACTCTAGACAGTGTTCTAACAAAATAGAAGAACAACCCTTGCCCTTTATCTAACCAATTTATTCCTTTAAACGTTCTCACATATAATGTTCAAGGCTGAGAAATTTTGAAACAGTTTCAAAGTTCCGCATTTTACATCGTTTTATAAAAAGGTACAAATCATATCGGAGGGGTTATGATAACAATAGGAAAACATCTCCGAGCAACGAGAATTGATACTGATATAGAAAATACAGTAATTGTGGATATCCAAGGTCTTTCTGAACAAATTAGAATAATAGGTATATACTAGCCACAGGGTCATGTGCGTAATCTAAAATATCTATGTCCCTTCTTAGTAAAAGGTACTATTTTGATAGATGATTTTAATGCAACTTCAGATGAATGGAGTAGCCAATTTACTGATAGACGCGGTAACACTCTGAAGAAATGGATCGAAGAAAATGAGTTGACCTTTATACCCACCAACTCTCATTCTTCTAAAAGGACACTCTGAGAAGATGCTTCTTCGCGTATATATTTCCCCATTTTGCTTGGATCTTTCCTTTTTTTCCGCTTTCTTCCCACAACATACCAAGAGGCATGTAGAAGAAAGTACAGAGTAGCAATACGCTTAGTCCACCGTGCTCCATTTGTTCGCGCTAAGGATCTTTTGAGGCTTACCCGAGAAGAACCGCTTGATACTTATGTCAAACGATATATCGCAAAATGATTAAAAAAAGATGTGCCCTTCAGATTTAGGTTCTTCCTTATTTCTTGAAGATGTATACCTATGGGATAATTTCCATAGGCAAGCTAAAGACGGTGTTTGCCATCTATTTATGTTGAAACGGGTTAGACGTTTAAAATTAGAACACCGCTCCCTTCGCATAGGCTGGCTTGCTTTTAATGAACAAAGTGATAATTAGAAATATAGGAAAGAGGGAACACGAAATCGTAGTTTGTTAACAGCCCCTTATCATTCTACCTCAGTCTTTACAACTCCACCTACTTGTATTCAGTGTTCATCTCGTTGCCACTTTCATTTGCTTCATGTATCTTTATCTTTGTTTCTCCATTTTTGTTTCTATTCCTTTTTTGTTGCTTCCTTTTTTGTTGTTACTTCCTATCCCTCCCGCCCCTCCATGTTTCTGTTTTTGTAAGTACTTCCGAGTGTGACAATAAAAAGAGCATAAACCCAAAATAAATACATCTGATAATTAGAAGCACTTCTATTTCTCACACCTTGATTTTCTTTCCGTTTGAATAATCTAAACTCTATTGCAGAATAAATGAAACAGGTGCATCTGATTGAAGCAGTAATTATATTTTACAAATGTCAGATACGATACTTTAACAACCGATAGTTTGTTTTAGAAAAAAGTATTGTTCGTAATTATTGTTCTGTATTTATTTTAAGAAGAAACAACATTTCAATGATAATCGAATAGTTTCATTTACTACCAACACATCCATTTATGCGATCGGTGTACATTTTTGACCGCGTATGTCAGACAATCTAATAAAACATAAATTATTTTATTTTAAATTTTCCAAAAGACTTACTTCTTCTTCGTCGATCTTCATCCGTAGATTTTTTATCAGCCGTTGATGAAACATCGGATTGATCCTAATCAAGAGATAAAATTTTGTCTTTCAAATTATCATTTTACATACTGATTGTTCGGGGGGAACTTTGATTTCTTTCAGCCATGATTCACGAATAAATCTTTCTGGAATATATAATTGATCATATCCATTGATATGAAAATGCATTAAAATAACACATAGAACTGAAATGCAAATAAGTAGGTGATTCATGATCTATACCAGCAAACGTTTTCTTATCGACTTATTTGATTTATCATGAAATATCTTACTCGCTTTCTTGAAGAAGTTTCTTTTCTTCGTGCTACAACAGAAAAAAAGAATAAATGATCTATTCGGCGTAATTTCTCTTGTAATTTATATAAAATTAAAAAGCAAAATTTCTGTTGGATGACAAATCATGCTTTTAGACGTCATTAGAAACAACAATTTACATTAAATATACACTCAACATGTAATCAACCAGAAGCTATTTAAATGTAGCAAGGAAACTATTATTTTTACATACACTCGGCAAGTTCAGTATCTCTCTGACTTCCAAGTTCTTGGGTATGATATGACATAAGTATCATAGATTTTTTTTAGTTTAGTTTGGAATGTATGAATTCATTTTTGTAAAGATTTTATTGAAGAAAATGAATAATAATTTTGTATTATTTTCCAAAAAACGTTTAGTACAAATTTTGTAGCCTACATTAATGTGGAACTCTAAAACTGTTCTTTTTATAATCGAGTCAATAATTGATAGTACCCACCGATTGTGCTAGTGTTATAATAGTACAATACATCAAATTCCGTTGATTATAGAATGCTTTTTTCCAGAAAACTTATTTGAGACAATCTTATCAATAAAAGTCAGGATTCAACTAAAAAATAATTAGATATTCAAATAATTACTACGTGGAAAACTCTACACTATCCTCCATATATTGTATAGGAATGTTGAATGGCACTTGCTTGCTGAAATACAATTAAAATTTAGTTCTCATCAGATTACCGGAAATTGACTTTTCGTTCATTTTAAAACTTATTTTAATAAAGAAAAAAAACTATTATAAAAGTCACTGTCTGAAATTCTATTATTTTCAACTTTTTGAAAGTCATTATTCAAAATTCTTTGATGATAAATACTCGGAACATAGTTAATGCTCGAATTCTATGGGGAAAATAAACTTTTATCATTCATATCACAACACATATGTCTATATATCTTTAAACTTTGTTTAGTTCGAAACAGATCTTATGGCTAGCTTGATTCATATCTATATTCACACTCTATCGAGCTGATAATCATGAATAGAGTTCAGTGCTTATTAATATATTTTGATGTAAAAATAAGATTTTTTCAAACATATGTAGAAAATAGAATGAAGTATAAATATGAGCGTGATATATGAATTAGAATTTGGCTGTATGGACGAAGTTAACCCATTGTCCTAAACTATAGAATCCAACTGCTGGATAATACTTCGTAGCACTGCCGTTAACTGGCAATAAACCAAATGCTGTACCCAGAATTGTCCCGTTTTTGAAATAACTCAATGTTCGAGAATCGAAATCGAGAAGTACACCAATGACATCATTATTTTTTGGTAGATCACTGATGAATGCTACAGAACTACCACCATTATATTTATTTCCGTTGTAAACATAGAAACCATAGCTATCAGCTGTGTTTCCTGGATAGATGGCTTTACTGGTGTCGAACTTTTCTGTTACAATACCAATCATTACGTAACCCTCCGGACCACGATCATTGATTCGGATAGACCAATAATGAATGCCTTCTGACCAACCAGCGTTCATTGCTCGACATGTACGCCACGCCGCTGTATTTGTGATTTTTTTCAAATGAATATTTTCATCCGAAATAAACAGATTAACACCACAACAGGACGGATCAAAACGAAGATCTATCGCAAGATATTAAACAGAGAGATAGCACAATGTTAATAATTACCATTTTCTAGTATCAAGTTTGATTTCCATTTCAGAGAATCGGCCAATAGAACTGTATCTCTCATATCTTGATTTACTATGGAAAAACAAACAGATTACATTATGTTTGGAGGCTTGCCTCCGATTTTATTTCTCTACTTACTTGGTTTTTTAGTTTCCATTGGTTTGAAAAATATATTCAAATATTACTATAATCGACAATAAAAACATATGAAAAACTATTCGCTGATTTCATATTAAAATCATGTGGAAAAGTCCAATGTTAAGTTCGCATTTACTGGATTCAACTAGAATCGGCTTTGTGTAGAGTTGAGCTTGACACTAATCAGTGCTGAATTAAGGCATGTCAGATTCGGTATACCTTAATTAGTTAATTCGAATTCGAATACAAATGGACACCCAGCTTGAGGGTGTGGATGTGATTGTAGGGGTATATCTGTATTCATATGTCGCATATATCGGAAAGTTAAACTAAAACTAAATTTGGGAATAGATCCCGTTTTAGTTTAACTTTTTCTTTTCTCCATTTATATTCGAACTTGAATTAGGCTGCTGCTCACTTGTAACATATCATAGTGGGGAAAATAACAATATCAACACTTCATTTTCACGTATATAACGAGTTTTTATCAAAAAGCTATTCACCAATGAATAGAACTGCAGGAAACGGTATACCTAAACAGTTTGAGTTACTTAAAATGCGAGTTGCTTTTATTTAAACTACTTTGCCTCTAAGAAAAGATAAAACAAATGCATATTTTTCAATCAAAAGCATGGGTAAATATTGATAAGACTATGTTGGTTTTTTTCGATAAGTGAATAATTTATATTAGTCACACGTTAGTAAACGAAATGATAAAAGAAAAAAAGAAATAGTGCAGGAATTTTTTTCCGGTCTCTGCAAAAGAAGCATTCTAGAAGTTTCAATACAAATGAGCACCAAAAATATTTTATGCAGGAAATGTTATCAATCTATAATCGAATATTATATTTTACAAAATTTTTACACGTTGGGTTCTACCCATACATCGTCTAGAATTTTATTTCATTTGTTTTCGTTTTTTACAAAAAAAAATACATAACAAGTAGAAAGGCAAAACTATATTCATTTCGTTCGTGTATAATAACTGTAGTTAATTGCTGCATGTTTTTTAACCTGATCAGTAATTCGATCTATATTTGTACTAGCTGGTGCAATTTTCAGGTGAAATTCATTGGATTTCACTTGACTTTCCGATTGTTGTTTTGGTACATAGGCATTAACATATCTATTGTCACCTTTTATCCATGATTGCGGTATTTCTTCGGTACTGAAAAAGGAAAATCTTAGTACAGCAACAGAAAAACCTGAATAAAAATTTTTACCGTTGACGATACGATTTAAATGCTGATGTCTGATCATGATTATTTAGACTTGGTGCATAGTTTGCAGTTCCAACAGGTGGATAAAGTGCGCGACGTAATGTATTAAGATCAACACAAACACCGTTCGGTTGTAAACGTTGAAGTTTTTCATACATTTGTTGACATTCTTGTTCATCATGTGGTAATAATGTTATTTCAGGCCCATGAATTTCGATACGAGTCAATGGTGCACTTTCTGTATTTCGTTTTGGTTTCGCTTTAATATGAATAGACTTTTTTTCCTGAGTAGGATTCTTTTCAGTAGGTCGTTTTTGTTGTTTACATGATAATACACGATGAGGATTTTTATCTGTATGTAATTGTGTTGCCATTGTAACTGGCGCAGATTTGATTCGGCACGAAGTAGTTTTTGTTGTTGTTTGCTTCTACGATTACCAGCAAATGTTATTTTTTAAAAGAAAATGTCGTTCTTTCTTTTTTTCTCGTTTTCTCTTCTTCTCACGTTAGATGAATCAATATTGATGAGCTTAGATGTCTTAGGTAACGGCACTCAAACGAAAAAAAGATACTCTATGTTGATGGAATGACGATATACCATCGGTGAGACATGTATGTGTGAAGGACGAAAAGAACGTATTATTATCTACCTGTGCCTTGACCTCATTGTGTGCAAAATGATGATAAAAGAAGTCACACACTATAATTTTCTTTTTTCTTTTTGTAATGAATAAAATATGATGTTAACAAACATTCTAAAAATTCTTTTTTTACGGTTGTAAAGAAAGACATTTTTATGACGTATTTGTGTTGTTTGGTGGACTATTTGTCATATAAAATAATAGTGCAACTATCATCAGTAGATCTTGTTGTAAGCAAGACAATATCAAAGCACTTGGGACTATGATCGACTGATAGAGAGTAATATGAATTTTTTGAAAAGAATTTTTTTAGTGAGTTTCTTTGAAAAATATAATAATGCTTTGATTTCATCTCGAGTTTTTAGGACAAAGAAAAACAAAATATTGCTAATTGAAAAAACAATCACTTACTTTGGGTACTGGAGGCTTTTTGTTCTCTGGTTGTGCGGTTGCACTTAACACACATGTTTCTGTAGCGCTGTCTTTTAATTGAATTGTAGTTGACGTTTGTGTTACTTCATCACTATTGAGGGTAAGCACATTTTTTGTAGTTACTGGATGAGTTTGTTCTGTACCAAAGGTTGTTTTCATTTTTTCTAATTGAGCATAGAATTGTTTAATAAGAATTTGTTTATCAGTAACTTCACATGTTTGAATTTCATCGTAATTTACATGAGCTACATGAACAGGAGGAGTAGGCGTTGATGATCTATTTGCATTGGGCAACTGATAGCGACCAATTAATGAATGAGGTTTTTGAGGCTAGAATAAAGAAACAGTAGTTTACAATAAATATCCGATCCAAATAGACATTAGTTTAAGAAACCATGTGAAAATCTAATCGACTTTTGCATTGTAAAATTATAAAAAAATTAATTTTATGCTTCAGCCTATTTCAATTTTCTCATCATAAGCTAAGTATTGAAATGCATGAAAGATTTTGTTTCATACCAATTTAGCTTGATCCACAAGTTCACAAACACTTGATAGTGTTGTATTATCGCAAACATTGGTTTCACCCGTTTTAAGCTCGATATGTATTGGTATCTGACATCTATAATAAAAAAAAGTATGTTTCCAATTAAAGTATAAAGATAGATGATATCCACTCACTTCGAATCTGGCACTTGACTTTCATTACTAAAATAAAATTGTTTTATTCTTTCAAGCTGAAATTATCAATTGTTAGACGCTAGTTAACATGAAACAGACACAGGAATGTCACGAAGGGGAAAAAATGATATTTTCGTTGGTGAAAACTGAAAATAATTTATAATTGAGGAAGGCAGTGCACACTCTCTTATACCCTTGTCCCGCTCGTGTGGGTGCTGATTGTCATAGACTCTAGTTGTTATTCTTCTCCACAAAGATCTCTGTAGAAAATTTATCATTACTTTTCAAAATTGATTGTCAATGTGTCATCAAGTGAGCGTCTAACTGTTGGTGTTGTTGTCGGACCATCGTACATAGTAAACGTTTCTAGAATTCAATATCAATAAATTCCTAAAAAGAAGAACTCTGATTTCATCCAAATAGATCCTACCTGATAGATTACTCCTACGCTTCATAAATTCTTTTTTCGCTTGTTCTTTCGCCGGAGGTAATATCGCTAAATGACGAATTGGCTTCGATGTAACCATATCCGTCACTGGGGCAACGGTTTTCGTTTTTGTTGAAGCACTTGTTACACGTTTTACATGTGGCACTATTGTAGTCATTGTTGCTGTGACATCTGTTTCTTGCTTATCACTAGGAATAAAATTTTCTTTTTACAATCGAATAAAAACTAAATAAATAATCTATACGTTGTAAGAGTTATTTTGTTTTCACCAAGAAAACACTTGACTTCTATTGGTTTTATATTCTCAAACTGATTAGATTTTGTTATATGGCTTTTCTATAAAAGAATCACAATAGACAAATATTGTTCTATTTATTTACTCACAGCTATTTTCTTGTTTTTAATAGTAGACATGATCTAAAATAATAATACAAAATACACACAAAACCGGTGAAACTCACTACTATAAGTTTTGAGAAGGATATAAAAAAAAAGAAGATTGAAAGAAAAGAAAATGTTTAAACACCGAACCTCGGTATATAAACTGTACTCTTATACACCGGTTGTTGATGATCGATTAGATCATAAACACTTCGTCTCAACAAATAATTCGATTGCTCGACACGAGTTAATCGATCTTTCATTTGCGATACATTAAGCGATTCGAACGTTTGAAGACGTTGTTGAGCTTGTAAACGTATAGCTTGTTCATTGAGAAGTTTATTATAAAGACTAGAAATATTAAATAACAAATAGAGAAAAAACAAGATGATAACAATAGAGATTTTAAACCTTTGTTGACGAGCTAATTTTTCTTCACACATAGCATCTCGTTCACGAATAATTTGATTTACTGTTTGACGATGAAATCGTTCATTTTCGATTTCCTGTTCCTATAGAAATATTTCAAATGATAAATTATGAAAATGAAATGTTTTACTCGAAGTTTTTGTTCAGCTAATTCACGTTCTTCTTCATAAATTTCGCTCAAACATTTTTCTACTTCATGAACTTTTTCCTTTGAAGTAAAACAATCGTTCATCGACTTCTTTTTTTCTTGGATCAATATTGATTCTCACCTACTTGCATAAGCTGATTATAATCATATTTAACTTTACTTCGAAGATTTGCAATGTATCGCCTTGATGCTACACTTCCATCATCTAGATTTTCTTCTGCCCATCGTAATTCTCGTTCGCTTCTACTTAGTTCCTTTTCAAAGTGACGTTGTATACGTTCGATATTTTGACGATGAAATTCAACAGGCTCTCCTTCGAAACATCAATTGAATTAGTTCAGTTCCGTGCCCCGTCAAATCATGAATACTTACGATTAGTTCTGCTTCGACAAGAACGCGAGCGACGTGGTTTATGACTCCAACCGGATGACGACATATATTAATCGAGACCTAACGGCTATCTATAATAAAACAAAAGCAGTTGAAGACAAAAATCGAACAGTAAAGATAGGTAGATTTCATTCGAAAGAAACTTAGCAAAAAAATGAAATAGGTAGATGCTCTTTAACGTCTACCTCGCAACCGTTCATATATTTTTTCACTCATTTTTCTATTCGATTGAATTCTCATATTTCAAAAAAGAAATTTATTCAACACGAAATTCGACCCATATCATTTATTTTATTGAAAGATAATATTACACCTGAACACACAACGATACGATGTACTTGTAATTGAAAAATAAAATAGAATCCATTTTGAAATCAAGTAAAACTGTACTAAGGTCTACTCTAAAACAAACTAAGGGTGACTCTAAAAACGCTTTGCTGATTATTTTCAATCTCCATCGACTAGTTGACAGCCACAAAAAAATAGAAAGAAATCCTCACAACCATTAATGTGCATGTTGTGATGGAATAGGCACCTAACAAACTGTACAAATACATATTTCAATCATCACTGACATCTTCAGATGACCGATTGGCTCATATATTTCTTACACTATTAAAAAAATCAAGCCTGTGAGACGTTTATTTCACTACGGTCTCTTCAATTTTGTTTTTTCATCTGCGGAAATACTCGAAGAATAAGCTAAAAAATTTCCATGCAATACCAAATCACTCTGCCTGACGACCAACACACAAAAATAAACCGCACACATGAATGAATGAATAAATAAATATAATAATAGAACGCAATAACATACTTTCGTTCACCTCTTTTTTCCTCTTCATATAGAATACAACGTCGCATGAAAGTCTTCGCAAAAAAAGTGTAGCATAAATTGTAAAGAAGCCTATATGAAACATGCACAAGTCTTACCTCATTATTTAATAATACAGTGAAGAAATTCAACTGTCGACACCTCCTATACTATTTTCTCGGTAGTCTTTATAGTTTGTTCATGGAGATTTGTAAGAAATCATAGTAATTAATACTGTCAAGAATATTTAGAACAAAATAAACACTCGCTGCTGGTTAGATAGGGTAGGATGAACGCGAGAAACTCTACACCAGCATTCTCATGATTGATCAGCTGCTACTTGACGCAATGAGAAAATTCTATCATGTGAGAGTTTGTGACAGGATATTTTCAATGTTGGCTTGTTTTTAAGTGAAACGAGCATAAACTGAAAAAAAGATGTTTTCTATTTATTTATTGAATTCGATAGCACTTTGAAAAAGAAATAAATAAGAAATTCTTCCATGTGTGTTAATAGACGATTTTTATCGTGCATCGATGAATTATTTCAATTGTAGCGCTGGGATTTTAATACCCAAAGTAACAGCCATCTTATCTATTGCAAGAAGCGTAAAGAATTCTTTGAGTCTAGTAGCTTCGTCGAATGTTAACGTATGAGGAACATACTCTATTGACTGTGTTGTTTTTTCAAAAAGACCACCCAGTCGACTTTTACGTTTCTCAATAATCAATAAGTCAGGCGCTATTTCCCAATTAGCATTGATATCGACAATGTAAAAAGATGCCGTATTCGTTCGACTATCACCATTTTTGAATAGGGTTAACGAACGATAGATTCCATTTTGGTCCGGCGAGTAAAGATATTCAACATAATCCCAGGCAAAGTCATCTGAATATGTTAAACCTAGCATAAAGCTTCCTTGAGACGGTAGATTATAATCCATAATAATGGCGTTAACAAATTCTGTTGCTCGTTCAGCTGGCATATTGAGGACTTTCAAAATTCTTGTTTTCTGATCAAAATGTTTAAAACCTGCTTGCATAGTTCGGTTGATAATAGTACTACTACTACTGGACTTAAAGATGCTGAAAATTTCTTTGGCCACCTTGGCAATAGAAGAAATAGCATTTGCTAAGGTGCTTATTTTATCTATAGAATTCGATGATGTTGTATCATCATTACTGTTGCGGTTATGACTTTTTGAGATAATTTCAGGTTGAAAATACGACAACATTCGATTTCGTTGTGGAGCTAAAGTACTTGCGCTGATGAATCGTAAAATATTCAATGCAACTTTAGTCGTTTGTAATGTCCATGTTGTCTGCGGTGTTAGTAGACGTTCTTGAATGAAGTGACCGTCGTCAGTTAATGTAGCTGTACGCACAATTTTCAATTGTTTACTACCTTGAACAATCTGTGATGTGTTTGTATTGTTGGGCAATACGGTTTCAATTAAAACTTGTGAATTAATTTCCATATATAGGAAATTGATTGTATATGTTAAATTATTCATCTTTTCACCGAGTATCCAAACATATTTGATAGATTGATTCGTATGTTCACCAACTACTGGTTTTGTAAAGATGTTTTCGTAGGAAAATTTTGATGTTTGTAATTGTTGTGGATCAGAAAAGATATCATCGAATCCATAGTCTTTGGCTAATGTTGCCAGAAACATTCGGATATGATTACTTGAAATTTTTGTTAATTTTAATTTTTGAATTGATAGTTTTAGTGATGCAACATTTGTTTGTAATGCTGTCAGAAGTGAATCATTGTATTGAGCTAAAACTTCAGCTTTGACAACATTGTTCGACAGATACTTATCGATTGCTTCAACCAAACCGACTTGATTACGATGAAGATCACTAAAAGTAGATTTATCAATTATGAATGCACGATTGAATGTTTGTTGATTAAACCAGGCGAACTGATCCGCAGCAAGTTTTTGTTGGATGATATTTATTTCTCCTAGTGTTGCCACGAGGTGCAGTTTCAACGATATCCGTACAACAACAATTTGATATCCACACACATTTAATACATGTATGACATTTCTTTCGGACAAACTGACTGAATTGTTGTTTTATACCTACATTAGTATTGATTGCTACGTAACGTATGGCAACAGGTGAATTCGGATCTGCTGGTAAATTGATTTTATTCGCAACGATAATCAATGATGACAACGAAGCACCCGATTCAGTATTGAAGACAAAAGCTTGAGCAGTATAAGAACTTTCACTGGCTGCAATCACTAATAATCGAACATTTTGAACGGCGTCATGAAGAAACTGATCCGGTATGGGCCAACATGCCATGACATTTTCGACTGTTGAAATACCAACTTGAGCTGCTCCCGTTGAACCCGTCGTAACACTAGGATGTGCATAATTGTTCCAATTACCTTTAAAAAGTTTAATTTTTAAAGTTTTCTACTCTTAGAGTAAAACTATGTACATACCAGGTGGTTGTACATTTAAAATTTGTGCCGCTTGCCATAGAGCAGCAACAGAATCAGCAGATCTTGTTTGAATTTGGAGCATGGGCGATGAAGAGAATGCGCTACATAGCGCTATCCGATACAATAAAAACATAATCATTAAATTTCGTTTCATTTTCGATTATTGTTTGTCTTCACTTGTGTTTGTTATGGTGAAATTAGCTGCCAAATTGGGCCAACTTATATAGATCGAACCAATTCCGACATTCATGACAACAGTAATTAATAACTAGCAACACCTGATATTATGATATCGATACTCTTTGATATACGTTGAAATAATGCAATCGATTTTTCATATAATTAATATTCACAGATGAGCATACAACAGTACGTCATTGGAGAAGCATACTCTTGGAATAGTTTTCGTAAATCAGTTCCTTTTTCTTCTACAATCGATCGATCTTTGCACCTGTTCCAGGTGATTTGCAATACGAACTCAGAATTCGATTCATTATGAATACGTAGACACTAGCTAGATAGATGAAGACCATAGATTAGAAAAATCTTTTCACAGAAATCCTCACAATCGACATTTGACAAATCACTTGAAACTCTGACAACGAAAAACTATATTCTAAGAATAGAGCCATCAAATACAATTGTCCTATTGTATAAAACCTAATTGAACAGCATCCACAAGTGTGTTATTTCTAGTAGATCGATTTCAAAGAAGCCTTTCGAATTCAATATCAGGTTACATTTGATAAGGATCGATTTGTTTTTTTTAATCGTTATTATTGTCATCGGAATTAGCTCGCTGTAATCTCGGAAGTCGTTGCGGAAATAGAACAAATTACAACGTCTATCAAAATTATTTCATTTTTTGTGTTCAAATCTCAGACTTCGCATATGAATAACATAATCTGTTGCTGAGGCGGCCATTTTCAAGGTGCTTTCTATTGTTCCTCTTCAGAAAATGATGTATGTTATCTATTGGTAAATAAATTGACCAATAGAATTCGCATTTTTTTTCATTGCTCGATGAAATGATTCGATTCGATCGTTTGTTTCACAGTGGCGTAAGCCAGTTATTTATTTATTATATTAGGAAAAAATGCCAGTTGAAAAATGTCCTGCTATTGTTTTTTGCGATTTTGATGGTACAATAACTGCACAGGAAACGTTTGTTGGTATATTAAAACATTTTGCTCCGTCAGTATCAAGTGAAATATTGCCAAAAATATTTTCCAAAGAAATAACGTTACGTCAAGGTGTAAGACAAATCGTCGAATCAATTCCATCGTCTGCTTATCCTGATCAATTACAAAATTTTGTTCAAGATAAAGCGATACGTCCAGGTCTTTCATCATTAATTGATTATCTTGATAGTCGACATATTCCATTTGTTGTTGTTTCCGGTGGTATACGTTATATTGTAGAAGTTGTTCTTAAACGTGAAAATTTATTAGAAAAATGTTCGAAAATTTTTGGCATTGACGTTGATGCAACTCAAGAAAAATTAAAAGTTATATCAGAATGGGAATCCGGAAACGAATTAGTAGCTAAAGTCGATGTCATTAAACGTGAATGTCAAAATAATGAAAAAATTATTGTTATAGGAGATTCATTAACCGATGTGAATGCATCGAAATGTGCAGATATAGTTTTTGCACGTGATGGCCTATGTAATTATTTGAAGGAGGAAAATGTTGAATTTATTGAGTGGACTGATTTTAATCATATAAAAGAGAAGCTCCAATTAATAGAGAATCGTTTTCTTTTCTAGATTTCTTAAAAATTTGTAAACAAAGTAAAAATGCAACACGCTCCACCAGGTTGGCCAACTGGACAATATCCACCGAATGCGATGATGCCACCATCAATGATGATGATACCACCATTGATACCACCTTCAGCACAAATGGGAAGTAAGTGTTCAATAGAAACATGATGAATGTTCTAATCATTTTCTTTTCTTTTTAGTGAACGGCGGCATGAAGGTAAGAAAATGAAACCCTTTACAAATGCTAATAGGACTATCAGTTATCTAAAAGTTTGAACGAGAAAAAATAATCCACGATTAAAATTTTTTGATTTTCAGAACGATGACGGTTATGGAAGTCCAGCCTCGCACGAAAAGAAAACATTATGGACAGAACATAAAGCACCAGATGGTCGCACTTATTTCTATAATTCAATATCAAAAGAATCTCGTTGGGAAAAACCTGATGAATTGAAATCGTCCACCGAAGTTTGTACCATTCTATATTCTACAAAATTTTTAATGTCTTCTATTATTTTAGCTTATGTTATCACAATGTCAATGGCGTGAATACAAATCCGAAAATGGACGTGTTTACTATCATAATGTTGATACAAAAGAATCTCGATGGACAAAACCAAAAGAATTAGAAGATATCGAAAAAATGATTACGCCACAACAATCTTCAACTGACTCACCAAATAAGTATGTATTAAAAAAACAAGGATGAAATAACTCGATTTTTATCTCTATCAATTGTTTTTCATAGTACGGGATCGCCTGCAACACCTATTACACCAAATATTCCACCACCAATGATTCCACCATTTGGTATGATGCCACCAATGATGCCTCCCTTTGGTGCCTTTCCTCCAGCATCCATGATGGCTGCAATGCAACCAATGACAGCATCACCAATGGCCAATGACGCAGATTTACCATCAAATGAAAATAGTCGTGATAGTAGTGATGATACAAGTAGCGATAAAGTCGGCAATAATAGTCCAGCGACAAGTAATGAACCACAAGTTAAAATCGAATATGCCTCGAAGAAAGAGGCCATGGATGCATTTAAAGAGTTGCTCCGTGAAAAAAATGTACCATCCAATGCTACATGGGAACAAGCACTTAAACTAATTGGTAATGATGCACGATATGCGGCAATAAAACATATCAATGAAAAAAAGCAAACATTCAATGCGTTTAAAGTTGCTCGTGCTAAAGAAGAAAAAGAAGCTGAACGTCTAAAATTAAAACGAATCAAAGATGATTTCGAAGCATATCTACAAAATTGTGAACATATGAATTCAACAATTAAATATAAAAAAGCTGAACAATTATTTTCGCATTTACAAGTTTGGTCAGCTGTGCCAGAACGTGAACGGCGTGAATTATATGAAGATGTTGTCAGTTATTTAGAAAAAAAAGAAAAGGTTTGTAATTTATTTTCATCACCAAACTTATGTTCGTGTTAATCGATCTTCTATATCTTAGGAAGAAGCTAAGGCGTTGAAAAAACGAAATGAAAAAGCATTGAAAGAAATTTTATTCAATATGTCAAAAGTAACCTATCGAACAACTTGGCAAGAAGCTCAACGACTTTTACTTGATAATGTTGATTTTGTTAATGATACTGAATTACAAAGTAAAAATACCTTTGTTTCTTCTCCTTGTCTTACAATATTGTTCTTTTTTTTCCCCTCGACAGATATGGACAAAGAAGATGCATTGATTGTCTTCGAAAATCATATTCGAGAATTAGAAAAAGTTCATGACGATGAATCTGAAGCACAGCGAAAATATATTCGACGAACAAATCGTAAAAATCGAGAAGCATTTTTAGTAAGAAAAATAAAAACAATTTTTTACTTTTGATTTAAAATTTTATTTGTTGAAGTATTTTCTCGATGAATTGCACGAACAAGGTAAACTTCATTCAATGTCACTATGGGTCGAATTATTTGGTACTGTTTCGAATGATGAACGATTTAGTAAAATGTTGGGTCAACCCGGTAAAATAAATTTTACATGCATTATCATCTTTTTCACTGATTGGCTGTCTTTGCGTTTAGGTTCAACGCCATTAGATTTATTCAAGTTTTATGTTGAAGATTTAAAAGCTCGTTTTCATGACGAGAAAAAAGTCGTGAAAGAAATATTAAAAGATAAAGGTTATACCATTGATATTGATTCAACATTTGAAAAGTTTGCTGAAATTATTTCAACTGATAAACGTGCTGCAACTTTAGATGCTGGAAATATTAAATTAGCATTTAATAGTGTATGTCGATTTTGTTTTCCTATGAACTAATTATTTTCTATTCGTTTGTTTTCTAGTTAATGGAAAAAGCCGAACTTCGAGAAAAAGACCGTTTAAAAGAAGAAGCACGAAAAGTAAACATATTTTCTAAGAACCTCTTCAAATTCTATCCTATTTTTCGATGATTTTAGCAAAAACGACTTGAATCAAACTTCAAACAATTATTAAAAGCGAAATTAAATTCGTTAAATGAACAATCGAAATGGGACGATGTTAAAGGACAAATAGAAAATGATAATGATTTTACTGCGCTTTCGTCGGAATCAGATCGTGTTCGTCTTTTCGAAGAATTTCATCGACAAATTGTTGCTGATGCACAAGCAGCGGCGGCGGCGGCGGCGGCAGCAGCTGCATCTCATCATTATCACCATCATCATAAAAAAGCACGAAAAGAAAAGAAAAAACGAAAACATGAAAAATCCAGTAGTAATACAGCAGCAGTTAGCGTGAGTGAAAAGAAATTTTTTAATCTCTCGTAGACTAATTTTCGATTATGTCAGACAACAAAAGCTTACTTACAAAGAAGTCCTAATTAATAAACGTTTAAATGTATCTTTGATAGGATTCCGATGGTGAAGAGAAAAAGAAATCTTCAACAGCTCCAGCAGCTCCAACAACAACCACAACTACAGCTTCTACACCACAACCAGTCGCAACAGAAGCTCCCGAAAGTGATGAAGGTGAAACAAAAGATAGTGATGGTGGTGCACCATCAACGACTGTACCGACAGCTCCAACGTCCGAACCATCAACAGGAACCAAAGCTAAGAAAAGTAAAAAATCAAAGAAGAAACGCAAGAAGAAAGCAACATCTGGGCATTCTTCGGTACGTTCATATATATACATATATATTTATTTATTTTGTTGAATTAAAAATATAATTTATTTAATTTTTAGAGTGATAGCGAATCCGATGATGAAACTGCAAGTGCATCATCTAAGAAGAAAAAGAAAAAAGACAAATGAATGAATATAGTTAAAAACACATGTAACTTTTTCCTATGTATTGTAATTGTTCGTGTTTACATACAAACTTTCTTGTTTGACGAAAAAAACATTTAGTTAACATAATCCTCTTCTGCGATTATGGAGAGATTAATTTTCTTGTCTTTTTCAGATTTAATAAATTTGTCGTTTCTCTCTTTAATACTATATTTCTATGGCGGGTAAGTTAAAACTAAATAAGAATCAGAAGATCATGTAGCAGTACAGTTAGTGAGTAAAGATGTTAGGCAAACACATTTTTATGAGGAAATAAAAGTTAAAAAACTAATCACTTATCTCCGGTGAACGATGAAAATAATTAGAATCTAGAGAGAAATTAATAGTAAACTTTATTTGTATCACTCATCTAGTGAATAGGAACATCGTTATAATTTTCCTAGAAATTCGTTTCTAATTCGATGCCTTCTCTAGCCTTTTATTCACGTACACCAGTGTCAGAAGCCAAAGTCGGCTGTGCTAAATGTGGATATGGTATGTTACAATTAATGTTTTAAATAAAACTACTTCTGCATTTTTCATTAAGTTGGTCATTTGACTTATCAATGTCGTAATTTCATTCAAATTGATCCGGCGAAAGCTGCTGTACTTGATGTTAGCTCGACTAGTTCACCCTCGAGTGACGACTACGATGATACGCCACTTCAATTACTTACACGAGGTAAAGATTTTTATTTTGGTCTAACTGCTTTATACGAACAGACAAGATCTATTATTGTAGAGGAAATCAATCGTGAAAAAGAACAACAACAACAACAACAAAAAAGAAAGAAAGAAACTGAAACGAGTAGAAAATCGAAAAAACATGAAAAAGCAAAACGTAAACGACAGTAAGTTGCTTCGTATATGTTGACGATGTCTACTAAATGATTTTATTTCATTCTAGTCGATCGCCAAGCACCAGTAGTTCATCCGATTCGGATTCGGAATCGGAAACGGGATCGAAAAAATCGAAACGAACACGTCATCATAAACATCGACATCATTCAGCCAAATCAAAGAAATCAAAAAAAGAATCAAAACATCGTCGCCATCGTTCATAAATGAATGAACATTATTACATTCAGTCAATTTTCTTGTATAGTTTTCGTTTACGTTTTGAAATTCTATCTGTGTTCTATTAACTGGTAATGCTGAGTATAATTACCTATAATAGATGTTATTTCGCTGGTGGTCAAAATACTTGATATTCTGACTTCTTAGTGGGACTATATTTCAAGTTATTTTTTCACAAAAAGTTCATTGTTGTGTCTGAATTCCTATAATTTTGACGTTAAGAAGCCAATTACCGTTTCACACTGAAAATCAAATCTTTGAACACAAAACTCTTCAGCAGGCTAATAAAACAAGACATACATACAAGAAAAGTTCGTCTTTCGATGGTTGCATAGGTAAATATCTTTCTGAAAATGTTTTTCACATGCTTAGCTAAACGACAAAAGCAAAGTTCGTGTTCCTCATTATAAAACATATATTATCATTTGCGTTGTTCAACTTAGTATACACATGAGTTTTATTTTAGAGTGCATTGTTGAATCGTATATGAAATGTGTAGTACCCTATTATAAATTGTTCATTGATTGTTATAATAATGAGTTTTTTTCACTTATCACACTGCAATTAACTTTCAATGGATCCGATTCAATAATGTGTAAAAGATTTAAATGGAATCTTTCTAAAAATATATCAACTAATTTTTGTCTTGAAAATATAATCATTGTTTTGGACTCCTGAATGAAGCCGATTATATATTGCTTGATAGACTTTTCTAATTTTTCTTTTTACAATCAATAATGGAAATTAAAAGTCTTCAATATCCTACGCTTATAACACTTGTTACAGAAAAAAGTGAGTTAATTTCCTTCCTAAGTTTAAATCGAAATTAATCTTAGCTTGAGTACGCACAAAAATGATTTCCTCTTTCGCTTCGAGAATCCATAGACTAGATTAAAGAGATCTTTCTTGAAGTGTCATTTCATCGAACTAAAGATGTTCATCGAATACTTGATTCTTCTAGCATCCGCACTTTCTATATGCATATCAATCGGATTTGTCATATTTGTTATTTGTGCATCATCACTCCATTCAATGAGTATTGCGTTATCATGTCATTCAACGATAACAGTTATCATCACAAATATATTTCTTTTTCTAACTGCTGTATTTATGTTAAACACAAATCTACAAAATAGTCTCTGGTGTCAAATCAATGCTTATTGTTTTCAAGCATCATTGATATTAATCTATCATTCATATTGTTTACAAGCATTTCACCGTTTTGTATTTATTGTTCATCATAATAATGTTTATTTTCATGGTTATCATATATTTTTCGCAATACTTATTTGCCAATGGATATTCGCTTGGCTCTATCCATTTCGTTTACTCTTATTTGGCATATTTACTTACGATTCTACTATTCGTTTATGCCATATAAATTGGGATTTATCTCTTGAATTATTTGCGCTTTTAGCTGTCCAATATTTAATTCCTTTAACAATTGATGTTTTTTGTTATATACTAGTTATTAAACATGCACATTTACATATTATAGAAATGACACTTCATCGTACAAGTCAAAAACGACAGCCGATAGTTGTTTGCCAAGAACAACGGCGTATGAAACGTGAATTCAAAATGCTTAAACGTATTATTATTATTTTTCTAGCACTTTTTATCATGAATTTTCCAAGTTTAGTTTTAATTATTATTGCTTCAATTGATTCGAATGGTAGCATGTCAATAGATTATTCATATAGAATTATATTACTTAATATGAGTTGTATATTATTACTTATTTCAATATTTCAATTTATTTTGACACCAACTGTTAAAACTTTAATTCACGATTTTTGGAAGCGACGAAAAAATCAAGTTTGCGGATAGATATTAGTTTGTTTTAATGTGTGAAAGTGTAGTTTTCTTTTAATTTAAAAAACAAACTGTTGTACAAACAGAGAATGAAAAAGAAAAAGAAAAAAAAAACAAAACTTTAGTCTTAACGTCTGGAACCACATTGGCCACAAAAACGGGCTGCTGGATTATTAATCACACTACCACAGTCATAACATCGAACTCCGGCTGGTGGTGCACGCCCAACAGCCGTAGGTCTTGCGCCATTTTGATGACCACTACCATATTGGTTTCGTGTTTGATTATATGAATGAGAAGGCGGTCGTGGAGGTAAGGGTCCTCGACGCACATATGATCCGACTTCATCATTTTTTTGGCGAGCACGTACATTCAAACCTGTATTTTCTTGAGTACGTCCTGTACGCATAAGTACTTGTTGTTGACCATTACGACGAACTGGTGGTTCATAATAGTCGTCATCCTTATGGTAAAAGGAAAACCTATGATGAAAGGTTACTTATGAGTAAAATAACTAACTTGTGATGCATAGTAATCCGTTTCGGGCATTGGCTCACTTTCGGAATTCATACCAAATAATTTTCGAAAGCCTCCCATAAAACCACCTCCTGATTTACGTGGTAGTGGTTGTGGTTGGCGGTGTTGTTGTTGTGGTGGTGGTTGAAATCTAAGCATAGAGTTGAGTTTTGAAAGTTGAATTGGATAAACTTACTCAGCTGGATTCCGTCGTACGAGCATTGGAGCAGAATTACTATGTTGATAACCATTATTATAAACATCATGAGGAGCGGGACGCATGCCTGAACTAGACGATTGTTGCTTGTGTGGAGATGAATGTTGTGGCGGAAGAGTTCGTCCCTTGAACACAGAATGAAAAAGGTTACATCCATATTATTGTATGATTAAAATATGTTTATACTCTATCAAATTGTTGGCTAGGTTTCGAAGGTTGTGGATGTTTTCGTTCATGTTGAGTTTGACAACTAAACCAAACAAATATTATATGAAAGATAAGATTCTTTTCCTTTTTTTTTTACAAAGGGATATGTCGTTTAGCAACATGTTCATTAAAATTACGACGACAATGAGGACACATAACATAATCTTAAAAGTTCGAATAAATAGGAATAAAAAAAGCAAAGTAAAGAATAAATTAAGAGAACCTGATGGAACTTCACTAGGCCGAAAAGCTGGTAATGGGCCTCCGTCGTGTATAGCACGAGTTACAGATCGAGCTTCACGTATTGATCGAATCAATTGTTCATGTTTTTCTCTCCAAGTCGGTTTCGCTTTTGATTTCGACTAATATTAAAAAACTTTTGATTTTCAAGAATGATTTTAGAATCTTTTTACCCTATCATCTTGAGCTCGAACTTCACCGGTATATATCTAAAAATGTTTTTAATCGATTGCATTTACAATCTTAAAAAAAATAGAATGATCTGTTCACCCCCAATGTTCTTTTCGTTGCTTTGTATGGCACATCGGAATCTGTGGCTCGTTGTTTTCCAGCATCAAATACTCTTCGCTTTTTATTCGATACTTTTCGACAAATAGATTGATGTTTTTTCTATAATTCAAAATCGAATATATCATACATAATAATTAGTTTCATTCTAAGTAAGATACCGCTGATAATCTGATCCGCGAATGGTCATATATCAAAATTAGTCTATCGATAGAAAAGTATGTCTTGGAGTATGTCACTAAAAAGAAGTCTGCGTTTCTTTTCTTTCTTCTTTTCGTATTAATTATTACAGAAAATGAAATCAGAGACAAACACACACAAGATATAATATCATATTGTTCTTGTAAGGTACTCACCAGGAAAAAAACGTTTCTTTTCATTCCTATGTGTATATCACATCTCATTTTGTCATTATTAAAATAAACTTGTACTTTGAAGAATTCTATCAAACAAAAATAATGACATCAAGTATGAATTCATTAAATTTTGCCATATTCTTTTATGATCCTACTTTTTCAAGTCAAAAGAAAAACTAATTTACAAAATATTCGACAGTCGACTGTTCTATTGAAAATTATTAATCATCTCACCAATGATTCGGCATTGAATTGCCTTCCACAAATGTTACAAGGTTGTAAACGTAAACGCTGCGTTGGATATTCTTGAAAACAAACATAGTTGGTGTGTCATTAGTTAGGTGTTTCTATTTTATTGCTTACCGGTCGGATCGTCGCCCATCGTTTAAATAAGATATATATATACAGGTGTGAAAAGTTTTCTTTTAATTTTAACACGCGTATGAATGCAAGAAGAAAAAATCGATCAACAAAAGCGAACAAAAAAAAGAAAAGTTTTTTCTTCTATGGCAACAACAACATCAGTTTGCCAGAATAGATCAAAACTCATGTTTACTTATTTGTCACTATTAAAGAAGGAGAAGAAAAAAATAATGACGATTAAAATTCGTCTACAATAACAATAAGAGAAAGAAAAATTGTTGTTAGTTTCATTTCATTAAAAATTATAGCTTGTAGTACGATAGTATGTGTAATCTTTGTTTTTATTAATTAGAGTGAGAAAGAAAAAATTAACTTTCTCACGTATTATACTTAAAACATGTTGCTTAGTTGCAAATTATACGGACGAACGATTTCAGCTTGATTACCATTTTCAGGCTTCGAAGTGAATACAAGAAGAAGTACAAAGAAAAAATTCGTTATTTTGTGCAATGTGTCGTAACTCTTTTAAGGTTTTATTATAAGTTGTTTGAGAAGTTTTTTTAAACGTTTTCTTTTTCCTTCTGTTAATAAAAAAAAGGCTTCAATACAATTGATTAAACGATCAGATCATATTGACCACCCGCCAAAAGGTATGGATCCCATACAATTTATGTTATTTTTATTTAAAAATCAACAAACCTATACATCCCAACAACAAAATTTTAAGCTAGAAAATTAATTGAATCGTCGAGTGATCTGACGTAATAGATAGAAGACAGTGAATCTAGTGTTAATATGTTAAAGTCAAAACACTAAATCAAAGGTCTTCCAAATGAGCGTCATTATTTCTAGTTTGTTAATAACTAAAAGGAAATTGACTTTTTTTTTATAATTAAATATTGAAACGATGTTGATGCATTTGCGTAAAGACTTATACATGTCGTTTTTCGAAGATTATTTTCTTATCATGATTCTCAAGAGAAAAGAAAAGAAGAAAATGAAGAAATGAGGATGATGTTGATGATGATTGAGTCTAAACAGCAGCTTGTTGACGGCACCGGAATGCGTGTGCGTGTGAAGAAAAAAGGTGAGCAAAAAAGCTAAAGCTCACGCACATTTTATACTCTAAGTTCTTCATCAATCATTACTGACGATGCCAGAACTAACACGAGAACAATCTAATAAAAAGAGTCGTTGATCTCGTCATAATGTCGTGTCACGGCTGAATCGCGACCATCTTCTCCGTCTGCCGTTGTTAAGACTGCTGCTTTTTTCTCTTCTAATTATGTGTGCATGCGCACAACTCACTTGTTTCTTCAGTTAGCCGACACGAAAAAGCGTTCGTCCGTGAAGAGATGCGTGCTTAAATGTGCATGTGTGTCGGAAAACGGCCGTCGTTATTGTCTACTTATGCTGTCACAGAATACAACAAACCTAATGAGTAAAGTTCATCATCATTAACACCATTCTTCAGTTTTTTTTTCTACTTCTTTTCTTCTTCCTTCTGTGTACAATGGGTATACTTTGCTCGTTTTTCTCTACATTGCTGAACGTTGACGGAACCAGGCGACAGGGAGGCGTTTCACTTTTCTTTCTCTTCCATTCTTCTTGTGTTTCTTCTTGTGTGTCTAATCCTTGTTCTGAACTTTTCTCTATTCGGCAAATCTTTTCCATGATATTTTTCGAGGCATACCTACATTTAACATAAAGCATTATCGACCTATAAGAATGGGTTCATCGATGAGGTAAAATAATAGTTTAGAAAAACGTTCTAACTTACTTATATTGAAAATGATTTAAGACATTTCATTCTCATTAAGACATATGTTAAATGTCTTCATTTCATAAATAAACTTGCTATTGCTCATGTTTGTCGCTCGGAAAAGAATGAATACGACGTTCATTTCATCTAGGCTATGACTCTCGTTTTTTTTTTGTCTTTCTTCTTTCTCTCTCTTGTGCTCTCGTTTTTTTCCTTCTTCTATACCTTAAAAAGTGAGAAGGTATCTACAAAACAGAGACATATACTCAACAGTTAAAACAAGAGAGTAACGGATGATTAGTCTACACTACAAAAAAATGTCGACAGGGAGAGAAAAACTATTTTTTCCCCAGTAAAGGTGACACGTAGAAAAAGTGAAAAAAAATCGAGAAAGAAAACGTCTTTGTTATTTTATCAAAAAAGAAAAAAAGAAACTTAGAAATGAATCAAGATCCTCGGAATGAACGTCAACATGATAACAAATATTTGGACAAATATGTCGATGTTTATTAATAATTGATCACTGTCAGTAACAGATGTACGAATATTTATGTTACCGTTCTGTTAATGTTTGTTGTCAAACTTTTATTGAAACGATAACGCTTATCAATCCATTTCCCTTTTTGGATTGTTCTTCACAAAAGTCAAATAATCAAAAAAAAAACAACACACGCACGCTCGTCAATTCAGTTATCTTTTCTTTGCGAATCAATTCGCAATCATTTTTCTCTTTATTTTAACGGAAATAACTTAAAATATGACATTTTGCCAGTCTATTGAACAAACAGGTGGAACATGATAAGAGCTAAAAATGAAAGTTAGATTGAATAAATTTTGTCATCCGTTGATTTCAAGCTATTTTCTTTTTGTTGGTTTTGCTACTTTCCGGAGCATCTGCTTTTGTAGGCAATTTTAAGCATGTGTTCAATTTATTCATGTCTTTTCAATGGATACATAACTGCTAAACGAGCATAAATAGATACAGTATAGATGAAAAAGAAAACGATTCTTTAAAAAAAAGTATACAGGCACACGATTTGTATTAATAATATGAGAAATAGGCAAGATAAACGAATAAATGAGATATAAGTGAGTGGTTTTGCTAAAGTGTTCACTGTTTTTACGAAACATTTAACCAATACTCGTGCTTGATTTCAGCTAATTGAAAGAGAATAAAAACTGAAGAATTTAACTATCTCCGCTTGTATTTTGTTCGCCACCACCAGTAACACTGTTAATCGCTGGGTAAATACTAGAATTCCCCTCTGCTGAACTTGAAGCAGAAATTAAATGACGTTTACTTGGAGGCACAAGATGATCAGGCAATATATTTGGCAATTCGTGACCGTCTAATTTAATTTTAACTAAAATAAAAATCAATTGATTCTTATAGGAGAAATACAAATAGTAAATGATACGTACTCAAATGTTGAGATAGAGCCCATTCATCAATGTCAAGCATACCGTCTTTATCAATATCACTCAATTTCCATACACGACCAAGTACATTATTTGGCTACGAAAATAAGAACAATTTAAATAGAAAAGAAATTTTTCTTGAAACATCGATGGCTTACAAGTTTAGATTTAACCATTTCTTGTTTAGCTGCTGCTCCTGTAACTTTACCATTTTGTGGTGAAAGGTGAGTAAAAACTTCATCATATTCATGTCTTGATCGTGTAACAATCCAATCGGTTTCACCGAGACCTGCATTAATACCTTCGACACCACCCAATTCAAATGGCGTTGATTGTTGATCATTAAATATTGTGCTTTTGTCTGCTGTTGTATTTTGTGTTGTCTGCGATTGTAATTGTAAAAAGGCATGCTCTTCTTGTGGTATCATACTCATCAACTTCGGTACATCTTCGGCAAGCATTCTATCAACTCGTTCGAGTAGTTTCTTATCTAATATTTTAAATTTTGTAAAATCCTGCTGGGAAAGAAAAACGTTTGAAGAAAAATTTGTTTTTCAAATCTTATACCGTACCATATTACGCAATGACTCCTGCATACGATCTATTTTTGGAAAATCACCAAGAGGAATATTATGTTCGCGTTGAACTTTCTCATAGACAAGATGCAATTTCTATTGATGAAAGAAAAGATTTCGTCTTTTTTTATTGTTCAACAGGGAGATAAATACTTACATTAATTAATTCTTTACGTTTCGAATCTTTTCCAAAAACACTTGGCATACTTTCTCTTAATTCGCTAACAATGAGTGCGTGCACCTATTGATAATAGATAGGAATTATTAGATTTAAGACAAAAAAAATTTACTTTAGCTAAACGTGCACGTTTTATCAGATCATTTAATTTTCGAAGTGTTGCAGTTTTCGGTAATGATTCTAAATTTAATTATTTTATTCAAAGTATTTGGATTATATTGCAAACATTTTCTTTCTATTCTAGATGCGTGATGCGTGTGTATATCAAAATTATGAAATATTTGTAAGGCGTTCTGTGAGATCAACACGCTAAATGCTACTCATTTGTTATATGATAGGAATTCTTTCCGCATAAATGAATTCAATGTAATCTGACTTTTAAGAATAGATTGCGATCAAATTAAATGCAGTTAACATGTCCGAAATAAGAATGACATTGGCGTAACAAATAACAGAATAGAACTTTGTTGATGAATATTTTTTGATGGCGATTTATTCAAATCCCACAAGTCATTGTTCTACAGTTTCCACCGAACACTCTCTTGGGTATTTCATGAAACTTGTAGAAGACTGTTTTGTTTTCTTCTTCATAATTTCTATTTATCGAATGTCTCAGACTCGTTCTTATTGGTTTTCACTTTTATGATCTATAAATAATTGTTTTCTTACCTAAGTCATCAAACAGATCTTTTGTTTCTAATTCAAATAAACGTCGATTTGAATCAAATTGCAAAGGCTTCGACCAAAACGACCCAACATAAACTCGACAAACTTCCGGTGTTCCAAGTACTTTTCCTAATGACCACATTAATGCTCCGTAAACTCTCATTAGGGCTTGATGATCAACGGTATCAGCTTTATTAAGTACAATACGTATCTTGTCATCATTACGTCGTAAAACTTCAATAGCTCGTTTTAATTCATCGGATATATCAAGTGATGAAACATCAAATAAAAGCAATATACGATCGCAACGATCGGCGAACCACTCAAGTACTTGCGTAAATTCATAGCCACGATCAACGCGTTGTTTTTCACCAGATAATATACCTGGTGTATCAATAAATGTAACAGTTTCTAAAACTTCATTACGCAATTGTGAGCAAACAAAACGATTTAAAAATGCATTGCCAAATTTCGATAAGGGTCGGAACGGTTTACTTGGATCCACAACAAGGGCATTACCAGGAATTGTACCAGCATGATCATTATTCATTATAGCAATAAATGAATCAGTGGTTGGTTCTACGAAAAACAACATTAGATTATTAATAAAATAGAAAATCGAGATTTTTCCATACCTGGTCCAATGCGAATACCCGGAAAATCTTCCTAGAAAAAAATATTTAAAACAAAACCTCAATAAAAAAAAAAACAAGTAAAGCTTACATTTAGTAAATAACGAATAAATGTTGTTTTACCAACTGAATACTGTCCAACAAGAAGCACCATAGGTTTTGCTGAAAAATCGCAATCATCGAGTTGTGGTGAATGAAACTCATGAAATCGATATGCTTCTTCTAGTGGTAATAATTTGGATTTATAAACTTGTCGTAAGCCTTCAGCAACATTAGTAAATATTTCTTTTTTCACAGGATCTTTCTTCCAAAACGGCATCTATAATAAAACGAAAGAAAAAGTTAACCTCACGTGTATCGTTCTTTTTTAAGGGTTTCAGTTAAAAAAGAGAATTGATGGTATGCAATCGAAAAGACGTCTGGATAAAACACTTTTTTTCTTTGCCATCAATCGATCGTCTGAGTGCTAAAGTCGACGAGAAAGAATGTATGCATGTGTATTTCTTTGTATGTTCTTTTTCGGGCATTCTCATTGATGAGTCATTTATAACAAGGATAAGAATGAGTAATTCAAACGTGGGCGAAACGCAAGACAAATAAACAATCATTCATTCAGACCGATTATCACTAATTTCCTATAAAAATCAATTGTTTGATTTTGAAACAAATTATTAGATTATAAATTTCTGATGATGATGAATAAATAAATGGACTAATTAGACTTATATTATTGAAAAACATCCACTAAATTGATGTACAATTTGCAGTTTTAATACAGATGTCGCGAGTATACACATGTATACCATAGTTTTGTTGATTCCAGTAATGTGCTCTTTTTAAATTGTCAATATGATAATAAAATAAAAGCTGACTTTGTGTTTTGCATAACAATATTTGAAGATTTTGAATTGCATGATGTTTCAGTAAATAAATTAACAAAATGGATGTCATAGATATGAATATAATACAACAGGACAGAGTGGTCATAAAATCTCAAGCTATTCATTCGTCATTTCGAAAGGATACTGTGCGTAAAAAGATCTGGATTGTCTAACGATTATACGCAATATTCGATTGAGATTAAAATGATAACATGAACGTGTTGCATGATACACTCGTATTATATACATATAGTTCAAGGTATTTTGTCATAGGATGGTTTATTCACTCTCAATCGTATCGTATTGTCGATTGGCATTGAATTTAATTCATTGTTTCCATGTTCTGATTAGGTGGATGTGGAACATGTTACTTTATGTACTTGAAAATACTTCCGAGTACTCAAATGTACTTCTAGATATTTTACCATTTGTATTTTCTTTTACGTTAACCGCTTCTATTTATGTCGAGAGGTTGACGAGATTGAGTATACTTTCCTTCTGATGTTCTTCTATTCACAATGCTTCATCAGTCTACATAAAAGATCATTATCTGCAGTTGCGTTAACATTTTTATCAAAAATCTAGTATTATTATTATTAAAAAAAAACGAAAAATATTAAAATCGTATTGCACAAGGGGTCAAAACAGCAATCAGTAGGAAACGAAAACTAAGCAAAAATAAATAGGCGATGTTTCCCACTACGTTTATAATCAGTAATCAAAAGTCCACCATCATAAGTTAATGCTAGACCATGAACGCCTTGAAAATTAAATAAAGGATTTGCTTCCTTGTCTAAAATACATTTAACATCACCATTTTCATCAAAGAATTGTATACGATTATTATCATGATCAGAAACAGCTATATGACCATTGCCATCGATACACACTCCAAATGGACAACTCAATTGACCTGGCTCACTCCCAGGTTCACCTAGTTTATAATGGTAATTTCCAAAACAATCAAATACTTGAACGCGATGATTTAGTTGATCGGATACAGCAACACGATTGCCTGATATTGAAATGAAATGTGGATAATAGAATTGACCAACATGTTCACCTTCATAACCCCATTCGAGTAAAAATTGACCATCGGTATCGAATTTTTGTATTCGATTATTCATTTGATCACATACATAAATATTTGATGACCAATCCGTCGCCACTCCTAATTATACAAAACAAAAGAAAGAACGGCTTATTATTTAATTCTTCTATTTCGATTTATCTTACCCCATGGTACATTGAATTCGCCTGGTTTCGAACCATGATTTCCAATAGACTTAAGTAGATTAAGTTCATGATCAAGTATGACTAAACGATTCTGTTCAGTTTAAAGTATACGACCATGCTCATCAATGTGTACACCTTTTGGTCGATTAAATGGACGTGATAAAATTGGTTTGTCACTTCTTAACAATGGTATTACTTTAACACATTGATTTTGTTGATCGGCAATATAGATAAGACCTGTTTTTGATATTGCAACACCTGATGGACAACAAAATGAAATTTCATCATTATCATCTCCAATAATACGAGGTGAACGATCAAATTTTGAATAGTCAATAGCAATACCAGTACGTTTTTTTTCATTATTAATTTTCGATGGTGATAAAGGAAGAATATCCTATGAAGAAAAAAATGCTCTTTTGTTTTGTTCATTACGATAATAAAAAATTTTCTTACGGGAATGGAACATGTGTCAGCTTGATGTTGAGCTGGAATTTCACATATGTCTGGCTTTCGACTACTCAAAGGGAGACTAAAAAATATCGAAAAGGATGCATATGAATAGATATGCAGGTGTTCAATAGTCAATATACTTATTCTCTTTTTTATCATCAATCAACTCAAGATCTACTAATCGTTCTCGGATTAAATTTTTATTTGGACGTGGAGGAACTGGTGGTGGTGTTGGCTTCATATTTACATTACTAACAGTTCGATGTTGACGAGATACTATTGAAGTTGAATCAGTTAACGTAGCATGATCGGACTTCTCAGCCGTTTGTGGAAGCATGGGATAAAGATTATTTAAAGCATTACTAGAATAATTTTCAAAAGTATTGGAAGTTTCTAGCAAAGACATACATGTAATTCATTCCTGTTTATACATTTTAGAAATTTCAATCAAACCTTGTAGAAAACAGTTGAATTTTTTTCCTGTAACGATTCGAATTTGATCTATTAATCGATCGATTTTTAGATCAATATTCATGTCTATTGCTTCACGAAAATCAACCCATACAAGTCCAGCAGTTATTAATCCAAGCCATGTCGATGGTTCCCAATCTCGCGTTAAACGACACGGAATTATTGAAACGCGTCGTCTCTCGGCGTACAATAATTCTTTTTCACAATTACGTGAATTCTGATATTTCGGTGTCATAAAACAACAAACAACGGCAGCATTTTCGACTCCATCTGCCATACTAATAAAGAAAAAAGGGCTCGATACTATTTCCAAATAAAAGACAAATATTCGCACCTTTGAAAAAGATTAAAACCGATTCCGCCATGAATATCCATCCATACCGGCAGATTTCTTGATCTAAGGACTTTGTAAATTTTTGAAACTAGCTCCTTATTATCCCAATGATAACTTAACATAACATGCAGTCCATGTTCAGAAGACATTATTGGTCAATTATTCGCTTGTCCTAAAATAAAAATACCTATGCATATTGCAGAATATGACTGTACTGTTTCGTTTCAAACCAATCTGTTTTACTAGCAGCAACTAGAGAAAAAGAGAGAGAGATTAATGAAGGCGTCTCTGTTGTTATTTTTTCATTCTGTCATATTTTTTTCTTGTCTGTTGTACGAAACAGAATGAATGAGCAAGCGGAGTAAACCAATCTTCTCTCTAATTACAAGAGAGACAACTACGAAAGAAGACAATAAAACAAACAAATCGAAGCCTGAATCATTCATTTTAGTTCTGACGATGGCATCGACATGAAGAAGAAGAAGAAAAGTCTCAATTTCATATCATAGATAAAAATGAACAGCCTACGCTAATTGAATTATTTGTTTGAATGAAGCTGAACATGATCGATGGGTGAACATTATATGCGCATGCAACGATTAGATTATATCGTTCATCAATCCGAGGCGATTTTCTGCAGAAAGAAAAAGAATAAACATTCCAACGAAGTCAATGGCACTTAAACCGTTTTTGTTTATTTTTTCTTTCTAAGATTGACCAGTACTATACCATCAAAAGAAAAGCAATTAATCTGCGTTCAAATTTTAGTTAAATTACATAGGCCAAATTTTTACATCTCACAAGAAAAAAAGAATGTTCATCATATAAAAGAAAAATGATCGATCACTTTCGAACATTGTTCCATTTGTTCTGTCTACGTGTAATATGATCATAAAACAAATATTGACTTTGTCTGTTGACTTATTTTCTTTTCTTTTTCATATACCGATGTTTGAACTTAATGTTTTTTCACCTAAATAGTCCATCGCAAAAAATCATTTTTCATAAATGGCTATATCGATCCGATGAAGTGACCACTAGTGAATTCAAGCTCGATAATGAACTCGTTCAACTGCATTCGTTCGCATAATTGTTCTTCTTTATACTACTTCACATACCTTGTCAACGTATATCAACATAGGAGAATACAGTAGAGTTTGTTTATCTAACCTCGATAACGATTCCCTTTGGATATTAGAAACATCCGAATGAGCAATGAACAATTTCTTCATTTTTTTTCAACAAGAAAAAGATTGTAAATGACCGTATTAAAATACAGACCTTTAAATGATGAATGCACGAGAGAGGCGTTGGCCATTTCAATGCATTGAATACATACACGTGTCAATGAATCACATATTTAAATGAAAGAACATATATATACACACTTCGAATAGAGAGGTGGGATATAAACACTGTCACACGCAAACATTTTTATTTATTATTTAAAAATTACACACATTCATTTTATAAAGTACATATAAAATACATATTTATGAATTTACTCAAATAAAATTTGTCGTTAGATATTTTTTATCATTAGTTACGACTATTGAGTTCAATGAAGAGGTAAGCCTTATTTAATCGATTAATGATAAATCAATAGTATCGATCTGTCATACACGTTGTTCATTTATCATTGTTCGCTAAGACCAATACGTGTGCTCTACGCTTACGCCTCTATTATATATATTGTTCATAATCATACGAATACACCATTATAAAGAATAATTGATGGTTGTACAAGTATGTAGCGAGAGAAGGTGCTCAGATATGTTGACTCGAGGATTTCGACGAAAACTATATGCAGCATTTTTCAGTGCTCTCGTTTCAAATATGGGAATGATCAACGGGTGCGACTGAATAAATCAAAACTAGCTGAATACTGATGAAAAATCGACAAAATCATGTCTTGAGAATAATATCTTTTACGAATTTCGTTGGCGATGAGTACTATTAGAATTTAAGCATCCATCGGGTTTTGTAACGTTTCAAAATCATTGCTGACATCAGTTTTTATTAACGTCTTCCGCATGAGAACTACTGTTTGATCGTTATTTTTGGTTTTTGACAATGGAAGTATTTTAAACAAAATGACTTGATCGTGTGGCTATCTCTCAAATAGACATTAATATTTGCTGTAGAAGCAATATCTTTAAATTGCATTGTTTGATCTACAATCATATAGTTAGTATTCAAGTGAAGTCGACACTGAATTTGGGTATTTTCGTTCACAATTTGCCATAGGATCGTGCTCAAACCAGAGCTCACTGAGTTCTATACAACTGTGACTACAGTTTTTGCATAGCTCCACTCTTGAAGGTATGGGCGTGCGGAGTGTTGGCGAACAGAAGATTGTAACACTCATACCGCTAAATAAAAGTTATAGATAATATTTACTCATAGCAAATAAATAAAAATCCTTAAAGATAAGAGAAAGGATATCTTAAATGTCAGCGTCAATATGAGCTTGTATATAAATCTATCTACACTACGAAAATAAAGAGCATTACTAAGACAATTGAATACAATCCGAGTAATAAATGCTAAAACTCTTACTTCCTATTCTATTCATTGTTGTTCATCAGAATTCCATTATAGCAGGTAAAGTTCGTCACATGAATTCATTTATGATATTAAAACAAAATATCTGTCAGCTATTAAGTATGCTACTCAAAGCGATCACAAAGTATCGGTTGATGGTGGCTTCACAGATGATTTTTATACTTATTTTAGAGAAATGAAGAAGTTTTGTTCTAAAAACAAATAGTTGAGAGTGCGTTTGAATGGTCGCGTTCACTCAATGAAATGGGCTGAAGCATTTTTTATGAGTTCCGTCTGCACTAAAGAAAGGAAGCATTTGCTGCACTGCGAAGGAGGTTCTTTTCTAGCGAAAAAGATAATTAGACAACTAAATCATAATATAAAAAGATTATTTTCTAGCTGTACCACTACGACTAGATACATCATAGCATCTTCTATCAGTTTGCACCAGTCTGACTATGGGAAAGATTTTAGTTCAAGAGATAATCTGTTCTTACTACGACTTACATATCCATTACGGGAGAGCGAGAATTGACCGAACGACAATTAGTCGCAACGTAGATTTGGTCGCATGTTTGACAGAAGCATGGTTCTTTTCTAATTCCAAAAAACTTCAATTTACACAAGCGTGACTCAATCAAACATAGCACAGCTTGAGGCTGAGAGGGTATGTATAAAAAATGAAGATGTGCTTCATGAAACAGAGAAGTAGATGGCCTCGCTGGTAAACGCTAACTGCACGAAGGGATTCGCTGTTTAGCTTCATCGAAATATTACGAAAAGATGAAAACTATATTCATTGCGGAATAGCGAAAAGCGCAGCAGACAGAGGCCTCTGAATAAGAAAAAAATCATTCGCATTAAACAAAGTTTTAAAGCAACTACCACTGGCTCTCATGTAATGCTTTATAGGTAGTTAGAAGAGTTTGCTAAACATTGATATTCATACTCATATTTAATACTCCCGATTTTCGAATAGATTGTTAGCTGTTTTCTAGATCTCTCTGAGTTATTTTTCTGTAAAACTAATAAAAACGTTTCTGCAATTTTATTTTCGAGAATTTCGACCAATTCTATATTACGACTAATTGTCGTAGCGCCCAATTGTCTCTGCGACCAATTGACATTGCCCAATTATCGTTCGACTATTTGTCTTTCGACCAATTGCCGTAGACCCGACTCGTTTACATTTTGCACACATTCAGAAATCTGAAAATGCATTTCAAGGAGTAGATCGCTAATTTGAAGAGGGCATTGACATTATGCTTCATAAGAATGATAATGGTGGATCATCGTCTTGCAAACGCAGCGATACTCAACATTTACATGACATAACTTCGAAGATTCAGACGATGACGACAATTAATACGAATAAGAGGTTCGCTCTTTCTTTATTTAAAAGAAGCTTGGAACAAACTTTATGCTTGAAAAAGCATTTTTTGAACATTGTTTATTTTGCTACAGTATGTATTGAAGTGAAATAGTAATTCTTTTGCTGTTCTATCTTCGCCAGAGTTACATTGCCGCTGTTTAATGAGCAATTCAGCATGTTGGCCAAACGCATCAGCTTGGCAAAAATTTAATGAATCTATCGATGGACGACTAATTTCTGTTCGACCCACTGCTGCATTTTGTGCTGGCAGCCCACCGAATATGAAGGTGTGTAATAACGCTCGTTCTCAATGGACGAATTCGACATGGCGAACTAATCAAGCCGGATCGATGCAAAATCATAATTGGGAAAATGCTTCTTGCTCAAGTCATCTAGGGAGTGTAACATGTACTCAGGGATCAGTTCCTCTATTAGGAGTCAATGCTACAACAGTTGAACATGTTCTGGCAACAATACGTTTGACTAGTGCTAACAATTTGCGATTAGTAATTAAAAGTACTGGACATGATTATCTAGGACGATCGACAGCTGCTGATTCTTTACTTCTCTGGGTTCATCATATGAAAAATATGAGTTTACTTGAACAATACAAGTTATGTACTGGTGAGAGCATCTCAAATGCAATTCGTTTAGATGCTGGTGTACAATGGGGTGAGGTATACTCTTGGCTAGCGAATTATAAGTTAATAGCAATTGGTGGCATATCGAGTACGGTGGGCGCTATTGGCGGATTCTTACAAGGCGGCGGTCATGGACCATTGTCACGTTGGAAAGGAATGGCTGCTGATCATGTCCTGGAATTCGATGTCGTGACGGCGGATGGACAACGTCGAATACTTAATACCTGTCAAAATCAAGACTTGTTTTGGGCTTTACGTGGTGGTGGTGGTCAAAGTTTTGCTGTTGTAATTTCGGCAGTTTTACGTACGTTTCCTTCGCCATCGATGGTCAGCACTATCTATAATATATCTGCAACCAATGAAATACGTTATTCTCGTTTGATTCGAGATTTCATTCGGTTTTTGCCGACATTAGCTAATGTTGGCTATTCTGGCTATTTTTATATGACAGATTTGAATTTAAATATTCAATTTTTCGTACCGAATGGAAATTTTTCTTTGGTTACTTCGATTTTCAATCAGTTCAACAATAACAATACAGATTTACAATTCACTACAAATTCCACATCTCTGTTTCCAACATTCAATGATTATTTTTCATATAGAACTAAGTTATCAGGTTCAAGCGGTGACCATGTTCTATTTGGATCTCGTCTCATTCCTGAGGCGATTGTTCATCAACAACCTAATCGATTAGCTGATATACTGGTTCAAATTAGAGGTCGTTCTAAAACTCAGTCCATGATACGTGGACATTTTGTAGCCGGTGGGGAAGTATCAAAGATATCGGTCAACAATAGTATTAATCCGGCGTGGCGTACCGCGCTAATGCAAATAATTTTTTCACAAGGATGGCATGAAAATACATCAGTAACGGAACAAGCACTTCTTGCTTTACATCTACGGACTCAAATTGAACTTCTTCAAACTGTGGCTGGTGGCATACTATCAAGTTGTTATTTAAATGAAGCTGATCCTAATGAGCCCCATTGGCAGCAGAAGTTTTTCGGTACTCAAGCGCATTACAATCGATTAAAATCAATAAAAAAAGCTGTCGATCCGAATGGTTTGTTTATTTGTAAGAATTGTGTCGGTAGTGATGATTGGTCTTCCGATCTCAACTGTCCAAAAGCTTCCATAGCAAATCGAATTCATATTGTCTCATTTGCATTCTTTGTTGTAGCAATTGTTCAATTATTTCAATAAAATAAGTGCAACAGACAATAATCATCGTTGTTGTTTCCAATACAAGTTCTTACTTAACACACGAATGCAAACAAATACATGCGTGACGTAGAGATCAAAATTCAACATTTGATATTTGTTTCTATCAGTGAAAGCGTGTTATCTGAAACTATGAATTCCAAAATTCCGGTTCCTTCGAGTGTGAGCGTGGATCAGTATTGCGAAGTTCAACATTCTCACCGACATTTGCGACACGCACGCCCTAGTTGGGTGTGAATGTAGAGGAGATCCCAGCACCCACACACCGAATCATATCAGGTATAGGTACAAAACTGCACCCGATCCTAAATTGTTTTTCAATATCGATCTACTAAGTCCAATTGAAAATCACTGTCATTCTATAGACACCTTGAGCCAGAATGTAAAAACCGTGAACAATTTTCAGTTGAGTGTATGGATGTTGTTGCCATTCATCGCTAACACACTCACCTGCATCCTGCTATTAAAAATCCTCATAATTTAGAATATCATAATTAGTATCCAGTTTTTTCATTCAGGCTTAATGGCAGCATGAATATATAAAATAGAATTTTTGTACCGTAGAGTTCGGTGTAAATTAATTATTCTCAATGTCTTTATTTAATTACTAATCATTTTTGTTGGTGCTTTCTTTTCTTGTTTCAAATGTTCACTTAAGTCCCAAGAATACATGACAACAATAAAAACAGGAATAACAACAACAACAACAACAACAACAACAACAATAAAAATAGATGCTCGCAATAAAAGAGAATAAAATAACAGCACTGTATTTAAATGACAGTAATAAAACAGATAAATAAAAATCGATTAGCATATTATTTAGTTTCGTTTACATTTCTTTCATCTTGGCCATTAAATCTTCAATTGATATGTCATCATCTCGTGTTGTACTCGAAGCTGATATTTCAGTATCCGATATATCAACTGGCGGATCACATTTTACTTTGGGAACATATTGATATTTTATTTGATCAAGCGAAATAGTTCCATCCGAAGATGAATCCACTTGAATAAAATTTCGGTCGACTTCATTTTCATTTGGAACTTCGATGCTATTACTAACAAGTTCAATACCTAATAAATTCAAGTGAATTTCATTTTCTCATTTATCCTAATCTCTTGTGCAAAAGAAATGTCCTACCCCATTCGTTGGAATCATGTACTACTTCAATGTTTGTTGGCTGAATAGTTTCTTCAATAACAATAGGATTTAATTTCTTTTCTAATTGTCTTTTACGACAAAATGAATCATCACAATCGTCATTAGGTTTTAGTGTTAAAATCTAAATTATTTTCAACATTAAAAAATAAGTCAGCAATGATTCGAAATAAAATTTACAAGAAAATGATCATCAAGTGCATTGTAACCAAGATAATTTGAAACGCGACCAAATTTAAGTAAATATCTGAATAAAACAAATTGAAATTTTTTCTAAAATACGATTCGAAACACAGACTTGAGTGTATTTTGTACGAGAAAACCAGCAACAATACCCATGGTTGTTGGGAGACTTGCAGCACAAACACCTTCACGTTTCAATGTACTTTCATCTATATTACTAGCAAGAATTAATGGTGGAGCACACTAAAATTAATTCAATAATAATATTGTTATTTGATAAAGAAAAAAAAAGGTATTATTTCTATAGAAAATACATACAGCAAAACAAGCAGTTGTTCCAGGAACAATTAATTGTATATGACCACTAACAGCATTTTCACTAACACCCGATTCCATCCAGGTCTGATCAATTTCATTGCATGCCTTTAAAAAAAGATGTATTATTTTGATTATACTTGTTTGATAATGCAAACTGTATTAATTGTCATTCGAGCACCAAAATTGTCAACACAACTCAATACAAGATCGACAGGACCAGAATTCGTTTTATTACCAGTTCTAAAGATATTCCTATGTATAGTAGTCGAGCTCTATTGCATGTTATTTTTACCGAATTTTTTCCATAAACAAAGGAAAACTTTCTACTTTAGTTATATTCATATTGTATGGCTCAATAATTACATCAGGATTAATAAATCTAAATAAAATCAATATATTTATATTCCGATACGAATAGACAATTATATCTATACCTTAACGTATCAGCGGCGGCTTCAACTTTGCTAAGACCAGCTTGATGTGGCTGATAGAATAAACGATTCATATTAGCTAATTCAACTTTATCATAATCATAAAGTAGTAACTAAAACAAAAAAAAGCAAAGTTATCAATAAAATGCTATTTGTTTATCGAAACAAGTCTCTTAGTCAATATACCTTTCCAATACCACACCGTGTAAGCATTTCTGCAGCTACACTGCCAACGCCACCAACACCGACAATCATAACAGAAAAATCCCGTATACGTTCATAATCTTTTACAATACCCATCCGTTGTAATGCCATCAAACGACTGTACGGATTTGTGTCGACCACTTCGGCCGACATTTTATCTATGCGAGCGCGAGATGCCATCTAGAAAAAGAAAAAAACGGAGAACAATAGAAAAAAAACATGGTTTGTTTGGTTTTTAAATTTTAGATCACGCAAACAATGAGATCGATAAACAAACGACAAACAAAAAAGAGAAGAAATGAAAACAACAAATTCAACGTTCATTAGCAACCAGACAAGTTTTTCTTTGCTGTAGATTTTCGATACCATCTGGTATCGATCGGATCGAAACCGCGTTCATTTGAACCAATCACTGCCCAATCAGGTGTGACAGCCATATAATCCAACGAAGTAAATGTTTCAGCACCCGACGTAGCCTTATGTCTAGCAACACATTCATGAAATTTTTCATAATCAATCCATGTATGCCATTTATCATCAATACGAAACTAAACAGTCGTTCATGAAAGTTGACTTTTTATTTAATTTTAATCTTACTTTAGTATTCGCAAGTAGAAGACAATTTGAATGTTCATGTTCACATGCTAAATCAAATTGCGGTAAACGTTCACAAAGTAGTCGAACAAACGTGACTACTTCTTCATGCCATGGAACATTAGCCATAGTTAAATTACTGGCATCCGAATCTCCACAATAGGTAACACCCTAGAAAAACAGTATGTTCTTTTACACTTACTGATAAAAATTTTGTTCACATACTTTAACTTCAATGAAATCAGGATCACCAAGTTCAACTAATTTAGCATATTGTTCGATTTCTTCAGTATTATAACCTTTAACTAGAGTTAATCGGTAGACTGTCCGTTGACCCTATGACATCAAAGTTTGTATCAAAATAGTCTTTTATTTTCAATTTGTTGTTACTTTTGCTTTTAATGCTCGTAAGCTGTCTAAATATCGTTCCCAAAAATCCCGAAATAATGGTCGATCAATTTTTTTCAATGATTCTTTTGTTCCAGCATCAACACTAACATATAATTGTGTAACCGGTTGTAAGACTCTGATTTCATCAGGAAATTGAGCGTTCGTAACAAGAAATGAACTGATCTTTTTCGCATGAAGTAAGTCAATCAATTCATTTATATGTGGATACATAATTGGTTCGCCAACAAGCGATAAAGCACAATGACGAATTTGCATTCCTAAAAGATTTTTTTCTTTACAAATTGAAATTCTTATCAAAACTACCTTCAGCAAGTCGACTAGGTAAAACACCAGGAACACCTTTAAATGTGTTAATCATTTTATAATGATTGCCTATGGCACCTTGACACACAGTTTGAGCATCATCAGTTTTCCATTGCCACGAGGTACCAACGGGATTTGTATGATGTCTATATGTTTAATGAAAAAAAAACAATTGCAAAACAAAATGATTCGTTCTAATTTACCTCCAACAAAAAACGCATTTATTTGCACATGCTAAACTTGGTGTTGTTTCCATACAACGATGACTTTCAATACCATAAAATGTATGCTTATAACATCCTCCACGTCCTCGTAACATTGACTATGAGAAGAAATGAAATGAAATGAAATTATAAAATTTGTGTCTAATACTTTGGTCCATCGACATAATTTTACACCGGAATGACTGCCAATGATTTTATAACCTTGTTTTTCCAATGACTTACGTATCAATGGAGTTACCATCTCTTTTGGTGGGCCCTTTGCTTTAGTTGGTAGTGACGTTTCTATATAATCACCCATGTCTTCTAAATCCATAACATCCTCCTCACCATCTTTACATCCTCCTTCGTCATCATCATCGCTCTCGATTAATACTTCATTCGTTCCATTCGTCTAAAAGGCGTCAAATGTTTTCAATTGTATAAAAGAAATGAATTTTATTAACCTCTTTTGAATGACCATTCGTGGATGTCGATTTACAACATGTAGTCGCTGAATCTTCATTTGCTGTACAATCACATTTTCCTGTAGCTTTTGACTCGAGAGCTGATATGAGCTTCGATGACCATTTCGAATAGTGTCCTTCGAGACCTAAATTATTATCGAAATATTTGTAGGTTTTTTCAATGAAATTATTCTTTACCTCCGTAGATACTTTTGCCTGTATTTTCATCAGCTAATTCAGTTGCTAAGAGTTTTTTTGCTCCTAATTCTGATAAACATCGATCGATTTCTGTTGCTACCTATGTCGAAGAAATGTTTTATATTCCTATTATATGAAATTCGATCAAATTACTTTATTGAAATTCTCATTATATAATGAATTTCCACATCCAAAAATAGCGTAAGTCAATTTTCCCAGTTCATTTTTTGAAAAACGAAAATCAATTGCTGCATCTTGTAAATAAAGTAGAAACCATTTAGCGGATGGTGGTGGTGTAGCATCTTCATAGGTTGAAATAAATATTAACAGTGTTCGTTGCTGTTTAGCCTTCATTAAATATTTAACTTTATAATAATAAAAAATTGCAAAGAATATAAAATACTTGTATTTGAAGAAATTCTTCTGGATCAGTAATATCATTCAAATCTTGAAGAATAACTTCACGAGTGAATTCATTTGATAATTTTTCAGAAGTTAATTTAGCAAATGTCTAATAAGACAAATAAAAGAAAAAAGATTAGATAGAAGGTTTTCTTGTTAATAGTAATGAAATCTTACTCGACTATTTCCTTTGAGAGAACCAAAAATGATGGTAATACCATTTTTTTCATCAGAATTATTTTTCGTTGATGGTTGAGATTTTGATGAGTCTTTCTAATAGACTTGGAAATATTTATATCATTTAGATTTTCATACAAAGCTACTTACGAAACGTTTTTTAATACTCAATGATGTGAAAACAATGAACACAAATGTAAAAATAGGAAGCGTAAATAAATGCCATGATGACCACTGTGCTCCTTTAAAAGAAAAAGGAAAAATGAGTGGAAATTATTTCGGATTAAAAATGTGAAACACGATATAGCTACTTTTGCTAATCACAAGACGATTGTATTCTCCTATCTACCTGGAAATACATTTCTGTTCTATCGTGTTTCACTAAAGTTTGGGAAATTCTCTACACGGCATTAATCAAAAACATTTTCATACCAGTCACAAAGTACAATATTAAACCGGTGAGACCGGAGCCAGCTGCAAGTATATTAATATCAACTGCCATCTAAAAAATATCAATCAATTTCATTTCAAATATTGGTTCTCTAAGATGGATACAGATAATTAAAAGAGGAGAAAATTTGTTTTTTATTGTTATGATAAATTTGGAATATTTTTCAAAGCAAGAAGTCCTGTATCAGCTGCAGATGTTTTAATGTATTGTTGAATTTGTTTAAATTTTGGATGACCAGCATCTTGTGTCAATTGAAGAACGATCGACTCAAATGTCGTAAGAAAAGCACCGGCTTGACGCATATGATCAAATGCATACATTCTACGCATAAAGAATCCGTATGTAATTACGTAAGATTGAGTCAGAATAAAAACAAATACCTATCGGTCAATGAACGTGATGAAACAGCATCAACAACAACATAAACACGATAACCTTGTGATAATAAATCAACAGATGTTTGAAGTACACATGCATGAGCTTCAATACCACAAATAATAGCCGTATTAAAATCTATACAGATAATTGTTTTAGAAAAATCCGAAATTAATTCTTTCGATGGATATATGAATATGTTTTAAGTTTGAGCGAGATAAAAGTTACATGAACTGTTCTCTAGAGTTACCTTTGACTCTTCGCTTCATATGTGCTACAACATCAGGTGTACACATAGAGAAGAGTGTTTTTTCAAATGGTTTTGTATTGCCAATATCAAGTTCAGATACTGTTCGGCCGAGACCTACATTAGAAATCAATTAGTAGCTTTTTCGTCTTTCTACAGACATTACCCTTTGGATATTGTTCAGTGACTACGTAAGGTACGTCGAGTATTTTACATACTTGTAATAATTTATTTGATGTTTCAATAATTTGAGGAAAATATTTAATTGTTGGTCGAAATTTTTCTTGCATATCACATAACAAAAGAAGTGATGTCTGTCGTGAAAGACGTGCTATACATTGAGCCATTGTTTAATTTAATCTATGAAGATCGAAATAAATTCTAATTTATTATCGCTTTATCATGCAAAATATGCCTACTAGGTTTTTCATGAATGATTGCCTCATTGGCTGCATAAGTGGCCATTAAGCTTGTATATGAGCCTCTCGATTACTGAGTGAAATGATTACGTGGATTATTAACTAAATATTCTAGTATTTTTATTATAATATAAAAAAATTCAAGTTTTACATATTAAAATAGATTTATTAAATGTGCTCTGTTCTGGATTTTGGTATTCTATGGAATCGGAACAGAGTTCGTTCATGTTTTCTTTTTCTTTTTTGACAGAGGGAGGAGAGATGATATTTCTATATTAGTATGTGTTTTGATTGAATTTTAAAGAATTTGATTAGTGCTAAACTTGATTGATTGAAAATTTTCCTTTCGCGCCATGAAAACTATTATCGCAATAAGAACGATACCGTATTGATGAATCTATGTCAAAAAAACATAGGAGCATGTTTTTCTTGACAGTAATGTTTTTTCTTTCTATATTCTAAACAAACATGTCGTAAGCTATTTTTAGTCGATTGATTAGTGAATTTTAATAAAAATGTATGATTCACGTCACCTTTTAACATCTTATCTAGTAGAAAACGTTTAGAAAATTCTAATCAAACTCACTAATGCATTTTCGCCATTCAGTTACTTTTGATGTAGGTATGACCCTGGGAGAAAAAAACGATCGACTGTCTTTTTCTTTTACATAAAAACACTTAGGCCATCACCAAAAAATTTCGATGTCATTAAGTTCTCGTTTTATTTATAAATGATTAATAATATGCTTCTTGTTGAAAAAGCATAAGTAATTACGTAGTTTCATTATTGTCGGTAAATTCAGCCTGGCTAAGAAATTTTTTTTAATCGCCGGTGAAAAAAGCACATCAAATTTTTCTAGATTAATTTATTATAAATGTATCTTTTTATTAAAATGTTAAAAAAAAAGTACCAAGAATGAAGTTTTTTTTTTGTTTCTGTTTGAAGTCTATGAATTGTTCTTACACAATAAAGAAAAAAATAACATTTTTTTTTTCTATTTATTGTGATTCTATCATTTCTTTTTTTCTTATTTTAACCCTCTCATTAATTTCTCCTTAGTAAAAGGAAGAAAAGGGTGCATTTATTTTCTTTCCCTCGATGTCTTTGCTTGCCGAGAATGATACGGCATTTTGTTTGTGATCTATTGCGCCTTTATAAAATAAAAAATAATTTTTCACGTCATAGTTACTTCATCTATTGTAGAGAATCATTTTGTTTTATTAAATACAACCAAAAAGAAAGTGATGGTAGGCGTTTCATTAAATAATCAAAATAAAGCTGATGATAAAGAACAATTGGTTGGAGCCAACAGTACCGATGTTCTCGTTACTGTTTTGGTACGTTTGTTTTTATTTATTCAAATTTTAAAAAGGATATCATTCGCTTGTTTTTCTGTAGCCAATGAAAGATGAGCTTCCGATCCCATTGGAAGCGGATGTTCGCCGTAAACAAGCATCAATTTTATTCGGTTGCCTGTCGGCATTATTCATGCTTGGATGCTTAGTTATTGGAACGTGGCTTCTCTTTGATTTTATTAATCGTACAAATCATGTAAGACTTAATAGAAAAAAAAGTAATTCGAAATAGATTATTATTCGAGATATATTTTTAGACATGGCATCAAACATGTCGCTTTCGTGTAAAACCAATGGGTACAGATAATGATGCTCCAATTTTCTTTGATCACGGCGGATTAACTGCTGTGGATGACGGCAAGAATCAAATTTTGAAACCGGTATTACCTCCAAAGATTCAACAAGAATTTCAACAGGAGGTAAGCGGTATTCGAATTGATAATAATAGCAATATCACCTACGTTTAGTTTTATATGCATAAACAAGAGAGATATAGCCAATAGGAGAACTAGACTAGGATTCATTTAGTCATTGGTGAATTCCGTGGAAAAAAAGCAACATGTCTAATAACGTTGATCTTAAGAGCTTTTATTCAGGTTCATCTTATTGAGAATTTAGTTTTCTCTTTTACTGAGCTGGTTTACTTTCTTGCTTGAAATATTCTTTGTGACTGTAATTACCCGAAGGTCGTTCTATTTAATTAAAGTCTATAAATTCTTCCACTACTTTTAAGATGCTATTAGTCAGATTGACAGTTGACAAAAAAGTTTCTGCATGTCGAATTTTTTATTCTAGGTAAACGTTGATTTGAAGAAGAATCTTGAAACAATTGAAGTACCACAAATCGGCGCAACAAGCACTGTTCGTATTATTGAGGATTTTGATCATGTAAGTTCGCGCAACAAAAACAAAACAAAAAACTTTATTTATGAGTCTATTTCATAATAGAACATCACTGCTATTCGTGACTTTGCCGTAAACAAATGTTTCATTATGCCGCTTGATCGTCAACATGTACCAAATCCAGCAAATCTTATTCAAACATTTTTAGCTATGATGGTAATAAAAACCAATCAAAAACTGACCGAGTAAAATTATTTCTCGTTTTTAGTCTGGACAATTTTTACCTGATAATGAAGTGTTACGTAAAACCATGAAAGTTCAAACACCAGCTTTAACTGAAGCTGATGTTGAAAAATACGGCCCTATTGTTTCTGGTACATGTCCAAAAGAGATCAAAACGTATCGCCTTGTGCCAAAAACAGCTGAAGAAATGAAAAGTGAGTTGAAGTTTAACTTTAGTTTTGTTTATAATCGCTATTATTTAGATCGTCGACGTCGTTCACCAGACAGTTTATCATTTATGTATTCGGTTGGCGCACATGCCATCATGTTCGATATCGATCATTAGAAGATGACAGCGAAAATTTATAAATCAAAACAACAGAGAACAAAACGATCTGTATTTTATCTCCTCTTTTTTGTCAATTAATCAAAATGCTTTTTCTGTTTCATTCTCATATTTAGAGTTTACTCAAATATATATATACATACATATTTTTCTGTGCACTTTCTTATATAATTCTCTCTGCATCAATTTTTTTCGATTTACGTTCCTCACATTTGCTTGTTCCATTCTCTTATGTGTTGTTCGTGATTAAAATAAATTCGATTTCTTTTTGGCGAGTAAAACTTCGTCATATAAAATACATCAAGCAGTCTATATTTGTAGATGGACATGTTTAACACAATAGTGTAAATGACACACTTGCATTTTGGTATAGACATGTACCATATAATAATTAATGTTGTTTTATTTATTTATTTTTGTGTGTCCATGATCATATTAAAAGAGTGATTAATTGTTTGCTAGTTGTGATTAATGTACAGAAGAAAAGCAAGAATTTACAGACATTGTGTACATACGTATAGCTATGTGTGTGTGTGTGTGTGTGTGTTCAGAATAAAGAAGAAAGAAAAAAAGAAATAGCGAATTGCACAACTGACTAGTTGATCGTCTGAATCATAAAGAAGGACAGAAGGGAAAAGAAAAGAGCGGACAACTGGTGATGTAGCAAGCGGATGTCGAACAGCTCATACATGTAGTAGCGATGACTTGGCTTGTTGAGTCATTCAAGCAATTTTTCTCTCGCTCTCGAGCCTATCTCTTTACAGTCAGTTGCAGACTTTTTTTCGAACTTCCGACAATATGTGACCTGAGATTATTTCTTATCTATCTCATTCTTTTTTTTCTATCTAATGCATTGATCGACTACTACAATCTTGACATTCAGGCTAAATTTCCTATCATGTTACGATAGTATAGTGGTTCACATCAAGCTTAAGTCAGCTGATGTTGATATATGTCACAGTATACGTAATAACTGAGGTATTCAAAAGAGAGCATGAGAAAAGAAAAAGAAAGCAGCCTTGCCATTTTTTTACGTACTCTTTATTATAGAGAAGCGAATTTATAGACGAACATATATTAGCGAAGAAAAAGGAGGAGCCAACGACAAGGACAAGGATATGAACACAGTTCGATTAAAGTTTACTGCTTTATTATAGATCGATATGACTGCTATTGACGCACCTCATCGGTCTTTTTCCGATGCACTTCATGAACGTTATTGCGATTTCGAGGCAACATTTGATAAACTTAAAAATGGCTGTGACATTGTATTCTTTGTCGGTGCGTCACCACAACAAACAGGTAACGATAACAAATATAACTGTTTTATTCCATTAAAAATTTATGTTCCTTTGGTAGACGCAGGTCTCGTTCTTAATACATCTACAGTTGTTCTAACTGATGAACGTATTTCACATGTTGGTGATCCTCATGCTGTTGAAATCTCCTGTTCCAAAGTTGAACTTGTCAATATTTCATCGAATGCATTTTCCAATTGGCATGAAGTCTGCTTTATTTATTCAACTATTTTGATTAGTAAAATTTTTTGTACCCTTAGATATCGCTTCTATTTTCATCATTGCCACATGTTAAAACAATTAATTTAAGTCTCAATCCATTTTCATCTCAAATATACAAATTTCCTGATGAAATTCAATGGCCTAATCTGAATACATTATCTTTAAATGGAACTAATATTAGTCTTGAAATGCTGGTCGAAGTAATGAAAAAAACACCGAAGTAAATAGAAAATTATTTTAAAAATCCGTCTAATAAATAATCAAAAAAGAAACAACAAATAAAGCGTAGCCATGAAGTTTATCTTTATTGCAATAACTTGAAAAAGAAAAAACACGATATGAGTCATATATTTCTTAACAACAAAAAAAAACGCAAATGAATATTGATTTTATGATTACATATAACAAAAACAAAACGATGAATAAGACAATTTGATCTCAGTTCAAATTGAGAGAAAGAATAAAAATTGTTTTTTACACATGTATAGCCGAATAGAAAGAATCCGGATTGAACATTAATTTGTTTTTAAACCTGCACTCGAAGAATTACTATTCTCGTCTCAGTTTCTTACTGACGATATAGTAAATTCTAATTGTTTCTCATTAGGCTTGCTTCATAAGAAAAGAAGAAAAGAAGCTTGCTGAACATGCGACAGACATGTCTATAATCTTCTTAATATGACAAGTTGTACTGGTTGATGTCGGTTTTTTTTTAGCTTAGAAGAATTACAAATATGCTCAAATAATTATTCAAGCGTATCATCAACTTATAATTTCATTCATAACAATCTTAAACGTATCTATATATACAATAATAATATAACCGATTGGACATCAATATGTAATCTTGGTCATTTATTTCCACGCTTAGAAACATTAATAGCTAGTGATAATCCTTTGAAAACTTTTCATTCAGATGATAATGTTGAAATATGTTTACCGAAATTACATACACTCAGTGTAGATCGTGTTCAAATATCGGAATGGAATGATATTATTGCCTTGACCAAATTACCTTGTCTACATGCATTAAGAATCTATTCAGCACCACTTCTTAAGGTTTTCGATTTTCGGCTTTTGTTTTCTTCTTGAAAAGACAATATTCTATTTTAGGCCTATCAAAAAGATGAACGATTTTTTCTCTTACTTGGCTACATGAAAGATCTTAAGAAATTAAATGGAAGTGATATAACAGCAAGTGAAAGAGAAGCAAGCGAGAGACGATTTATTCGATATTATTCTCAATGTGATGATAAGCCACGAAGGTAAAATGTGAAGAAGAAGAAGAAGAAGAAAATAAGGCGCAGTATTTTGATTTGTTTTTAGATATTTTGATTTAATTGAAAAACATGGTAATCTTAAACCATTAGTTGATATTCAAATTCGTGCACCTTATTTAATGCAAGTTCGCCTTATCTATAATCAAACAACCTATGACAAGGAAATTGACGTTAGACAAACGGTACAGCAATTTAAAAAATATCTTCAAGAAACGTTTCAACTGCCAATGAATCGCCTACGAGTTTTTCATGTTGATGATGTCGCTTTTAATATGGGTTTAGCTGGTCCGGAAGAACTTAAATATCCACAACGAGTATTACATACGTATGTTAATTATATAGGATGATTATTTCTCATATAGACGAAGAATTATGGAGGATTTTGTCTTTAATTCAATAATGAAAAATAATAGCTAGAATATGTAAACAGAGTATTTTTTCAACAGTCTTGTTGAGTACTTCTGAAATTTCAAAGAACTGCAGAACAACAAAAAAAACAGAACTGTCCAGAGCAAAAATGTATGTCAAAATTTCATCATTGAGTAATCAACCAATCGAATGAGAGTTTGTTGAAGATTCTGAAAACTTCTTCAACAATAATTTAATCAGTCGAAATAGGAAATTACACTCTCTTATCGCCTATTCAAGAATGACTTTACTATCTCGGTGTATTCAGGAATTGCAAGGGCCCTTTGGGGAACTCTCCGATCACCTAATTCACATTCGATCATTCTGCAACAAAATCAAGATACGGATAATCACTCATACTGACTCAATCAGTGTTATTTATTGTCGATTTCTAAAGAGTTTCAAACCAATTCTATCAATCACGCAACTTGACTAATGACAAGTTTCAAGGTTACTCAGCGCCAATTAGCGGGAATCGAGAGTGTCTAGAAAATCTTTACAACACCTGAAGGGATACAACTTGACAAGGTCGCCATTCGATAGAACGTTTTGATGGTAAGCAAAAAGTCGAGATTCAATGTTAGAAACTTCTCAGAAAATAGTTTTGTAAGATAATCCGCTACAAAAATCCATCCGATTAGTCGCTTGTTCACCAATCAAATTTTGACACACATTTGTATCTTGGAATTTGCTCTTGGAATCGATGAAAATCAAAGGTTTCCATCTTTTTTCGCAGAGAAAATAATGACTCTAAATATTTTTTGAAAACAATCGTGACTCCTATTAGTACCATAATCATGCATGAAACACGCTTTTTTAAGATTTTTAATTTGTAAACAAACGTATAACGAACTAGAACGTAATCAAAACATAGAGAATGTTCCATCATGACCTTACATAGAATCTATTTTTGTAATTCAATAAGATCCAGTCTTATCTAAGAAAAAGGGCAAAAAAAAATAACAAAAATTTGATTAATATTTGCTTTTTCACTCTAACGGCCGATGACTCTTAATTGAAATGGATTCGATGCGTATGTCTATTTTTTCAATAATTTCATTATCTAGATATAATATACACGATGGAGATCAATTTCATGTTGATCTCAAACCCGATCAATTTAAACCTCAACACTCGAGTCGACCAGGTAGAAATTCGAAAACAATAGCCTAAAAGAAAAAAGCTAATTGCATTTTTTTTTATTACATTAGTTAATATAACTGCCTATTCAAATAAATTAGCAAACGATAATTCAGTAGAGTCTTCAGCATCATCTGAAAACGATAAAAAACATCCTCCATTTTCATTGGATTCTTTGCAAAACTTGCCAAATCAAACTGATATAAGTACTTCTCAAGCATTCATTCAACTTGATCAATTCTATCCGTCGACTGACAAAAATGTTCAAATATCAAAACAAATTTCGAATGACGATGACGATGATTTACTTTCAGCTGCAGCAATGGCTTGTACTCAAATGAATAATACTTGACACGAAAAAGCAACAACAAAAAAACAATCATTTTGTAATACTTCATATATGTTCATAAATTCTATAATTGAAATGCCATTAGTATTTCGAATTTTTGCACTTCGATTATAAAAAAAATCTTTTACTTATATCGTACATAATATTTTTTTTCTTTAGTCGAATTAAACTTGTAAATATCTTCTGATATGAAAAATGTGTTGGCAAGATAATTGTGCAAATTGATATTTACGACAATTAATGTCACACATAAAAAAGTACAAAATACTCATATACTTTTCTTTATCTATCTGCACAGGTAGTGCAAAATATGAACGGCCAAAGTGTTGTTCCTATTGTAGTTCTATCCGCATCGAAATGAATCAGACTGTCTTCTAAAAATAACCTTTCTGATCATCGCCTGGCTCAGAATTTTCAGAAGATTAATATACCATTTGTTTGTTGGATTTCTATAAGAATCAAATGGGTGCCATCTAAATATATCATGAACGACTATTGTATCAATCATTAACGCATTAAAAAACATATATGCCGTGACTTATTTTTTGCCTCTATTCCATTGTGCTTCTTTCTAGAGCTAGAAATAAAATGCGCAATATTTATCACTTTTCCTAATCGACTCACGAAAACAACCAGCGGTAGGAAGCAACGATATTCACTACAAGATAAATATGAGTCCATAGATAGACTGAATGACAAAAACAAGTTTATGAATAATCCGATAAAACACCTCCATGCCATTGATACATGATTCATTGATTAGTACTTTGCCTTTTCAGTAATATTTTTATGCCACTGTCCAAATAGTAAAAAAATCAATAGATTTTCTCGTGCTAGTTGCAATTACAATTGCGAACATCCTAAAATGTAATTTTTTGCTCTTCGTATTCGGTCTTGATTCTACGTCGTTGCCATCATAAAAATAACTAACAACTAGATCATGGAGACCATGTAGACAACAATTTGCACCGTCATCATTACATATGTGATAAAACAAGAGAAAACAGGAAGAAAGAAAAAGCGATTTTTAGTACATTCACCTTGATGAATATCTAATTATTATTTAGAATAAAGCGTTTATTTTTCAATTTTTCTTCAATTATAATTGATTAAAGAATCAAACATCATACGTTTATTTTCTATTCAATTAATGATAGCGAAATTTTCCATTCCTGTTTTCAGTTAATTCCTTTTTTTTTATTCTTATCAATGAAAAAATACAAGATGGCACTGAATGTCGTTGATGTGTTCTCTCATTCCTTCGCTCGCATAGAAAAAAAAAGAACAGAAAGAAAAAAAAATCGTTCTCTCAAAATAGAGAACGAGAAAGAGAACGAGAGGAAAAGGAGAAAAAAAGAGAGATATTTGGATGTATATAATAGACGTATGACGGAGCATATTCTCTCATCTATCATTTCTTTCTAACGCAGTTTACAAAGTAGCATCGCGATATTTATTACATTAGAATTGCAGAAAACAGACATTTTCTAGCAATCGTAATCTTGAATAAAACTTTCTTTCAATCCAATGAGCTCAATTACTACAAATCAATGCTGTCCAGATCTATGCGAACGTAAAGAAATCGTTATTATTGGTATGTCTATTATTTTTCGAATATAGAGTTAAATAGAATAAGTTTATTTTATTTCTAAAGGCAACGGACCATCTGCTATAACTCTATCTTATATTCTTTCTGGTCATGTTCCTTATTGGAATGGATGTCCTGTATCAAATGATTATTTAAATATCAAATTGGAACAACATGTTAAAGATGCATCCTTACTTGAACAGGTCAGCTCAATGAGGTTTACTGAAGAATTTTTCATGGGAATAAATGATATTTTCCTTCACAAACTATAAAAAAAAGTCTGAGAACATATGCGTTTTTCATAACATACTTATGAAAATTAATTTATCAAAGAATTCTAACACAAAGCACAGGTCATCTATTGCTCTTTGCTAATTTTTATATATAAAAACAGATGATAATAAGCGATTTTTTTACTTGATTATTTAGGATTTAGAATTTCTATCTGATGGACTTGAAGGTCGTTCAAGAAATCCCGTTTCATTGCTTATTGATAGTTTAATGCATCCTGATGCCGACCTCGGCGCACATTTACAATCGAAAATAAGATGGCGGCATGATCCATCATTGAGTATCGATCATCTTTGTATAGGACGCGGTGGAATTGGTGGTGTATGGAATCAACTAACATCTAAACAGTTACAAACAATTAGTATGGCTGATTGGATGGAATTACCAAATTATTCAATGTCGACATTTCGACAACGTCGAACAGGCCGATCTAATTCACCGACGAACAATGATCAAGCAAAAACAAAAACTGAAAATCTATCAGCACGAGCAACTTATGATGAAGTTCGTTCATATTATATTCAGTATGTTAAACGAAATCATTTAATGAATCATTTTCGTAATGGCTACGAAATAAAATCTATCGAACGTGTGTGCATTGATGCACCGTATTATAATGATGTGACAGAAGAAATTCATGCACCAGAACCGCTATGGGAAATACGAGGCTGTGACGAACAAAATAAAAATCCATTTGTCATACATTCGAAATATGTTGTTTTAGCAACAGGTATTCCACAAAAAATAACAAGACCCTTAGGCATTATTGGCGAACAAGCAAGTCAATCATTTACTTACACAACTGTACATGAAATGGAAGAATTAATTTCAAATAAAAAACGATTAGCTCACAATAGTAAACCTTTACTTGTTGTTGGCTGTGGCCTCACAGCTGTTGATGTGCTGCTTTTATGTCAACAAAATTCAATACCTGTTGTACATGTATTCCGTCGAGCTATTGATGATCATGAATTAGTACTCAATCAGTTGCCTGCTAATATCTATCCGGAATACGAACGTATCAGAGAATTAATTCGACAATCAGCATCGGGAGCAGCATCTATGGTAGGTTAAACATTCTCAATATGCTAGGACATAGAAAGATAGTAGACTTGAATAGAGAGAAAGAAACTTTATCAATATTGAAACTAAGTTTATGATTCTTTTAGTCTCCTTCTTCTTCGTCATCATCTCGATGGTCCTATCAATGTTTTCCTCAATGTGAAGTTATATCAATCACCGAAGATGGTACAGCACATATACGCAATCTTCGTACACAATCAACCATAGACTATGAGATATCATTTGTAGCTAGACTTACTGGATCTGATGTGACTATTCCTTTTCTTTCATCGTTGGCCGTGAAAAAAAATAAGGGTCTTCAAATTAATCCATATACATACGAATGTGTTGATTTCGAAAATGTTTATGCGTTAGGTCCATTAGCTGGAGATAAACTCGTTCGTTTCTTGCAAGGTGGTGCTCTAGCGTGTGCATCGAGTCTGTTTAAAAAGCATCGGCAAGCTTCATCATCATCGAATAGTATTAATAGTAGATTATTATTTTCCGTTACTCCTCGCGTTAGAATTATTGCATAATTTTTTTATTTCTATTTTTGTTTTTCTTGTTGTTATCTTACATCCTATGACTGAAGATAAATAATAACTTTTTCTAAAAAAGAAAGCACTAATCAAAATTTTCTTCATTATAATATTGAAAAATATACTTTTGTATATTCGAATAGAACGAAAATAAATGAATATTTGTTGTCGTTATAATAAAAAGAGAATTATTTTCTTTTCAGTGTTTGGTTTATATGCACGTGTGATTATGATTGTAGACTTGTATTGCTTTACCTCTATTTTTGATTATAATGTATCTTTCAAGGTATGAAAACAGAACATCAATAAAAAATAATAAATGAACTTGTCATTAACATTTTATATGACTTAAAAACTGTTACAATTGAATGGTACGGTCGTAGCGACTGGAGGAACTCTATCAATGAGATAAACATCGAACTTTTCTTCGCATTCAAATACAGTGAAACCTCTCTAAGATGAACACTAGCGGGACTGTTCAAAACGTGTTCATCTCAGAGAGATGCCACGTTGAATGAAGTTTATATAGGTATACAGTACATGGTTAGTATATACGAATGATAACTACACACCTTTTATATTAATATCTGTTACGACCAGTGCCAAATAAAAAAGATATCGTTTTTATCTACTGCATATACTTTTCTGTCTATCATGTAACATAGGAAAAGAATATTTTATTAATATTAACTATTAAACATCTATTCAATTTTAAGCAAAAAAAGTGAACAAATAATTGTCATCTATTTATTTATTTGCATCTAATCATTTTTTATGAAAAAAAGTCTTTAATAGTTTCCTGCTTGATTCCTTTCGAGTCGATGAAAAGTTGAGAAGTTGTGAATCTAGTTGAGAAATAAGGGAATGTAATTGTCGTTATTCTCTCGCACAGAATCGATTAATTCATCTCGCGGAGTATTCATTTTCATTTTTTCTGTTTGTGTCATACATACCACAAAGCTTGTTATGACGAATCGACCGTCCAAATTTGATTTATCATTGCTTTATTATGTGCAATCTATTTTTGCATCGACTTATTTCATACACGAAAGCGTAATTGGTCAGTGTATGTTCATTATAGAGAGGTGTTCATTAATAGAGGTTTCACTGTATTATTTATATATATATATATATCAGCGGCGTAGCCATCAGGTTAGCAATTGGGCAATTGACCATCGTTAAAAAATATTAAAATTTGTGTGCATTTAAAGATTTAAGGAGTGTTTTATTTCAACAGATTCTCTCTTGATAAGATTTAATCAAGTGATTTACAAAAATCAATTTTCAATCTCTTCAATTCATTGATATTATTTGTTTTTTTTTATTGATGCTCATTATACTATTTTTTTTCTTCTATTTATGCTATTTCTTTTCTATTAATATTTGTTTATGACTTTTTCAAATAAAATATTCAAATGTATGAAATTGAAGAATACATTCCGAAATATGGGGAAAAAAGTAGCTAATTTATCTGTTAATGTAGGAGGACGAATTTCTCTTCCAGTAAATAACGACTTCTGTAATGCAGATATTTAAAAAAAAGCTATTGTTAACTAGAATTTTTAATTGTCCACTATTGCCACCCATTGAAAATAGTTTAGCTGGTAAATTGCCACCTACTTAAAAAAATCCTGTTGACGCCACTGATATATATATTTAAAAAAAAATGAATGACTGTCCTTGTATGAATATTATCGATTCATCAAATAAGCAGTAGAATGCCATGATTTATATTTCATATGAAAAATACAACAATACGCCTCGATAAATCTACCGAGGCACTTGATTATTTTCATATGGCTAGCTGAATAAAAAAAAAAGGAAAAACATTTTAAAGTTCTATTGAAACTGATGCACCATGTGATGCGACTTAATAATATATTTATTGAAAAAACACGATTGTTATTTTTATTTCTCCAGGAGCAAATGAATAAATAAAATCTATTGCAAATCAAACATGTCACAAGACTGCTTTCTTCTCGGAGATTGGCATTTCTAGTACTCATACACTATTTTTTTTATAAATAAAACCAATAAACAATTGTTTTCAATGAATCTCATCAACACTGTTGCTATTGATTCTGCAGGAACAAAAGTCACATTCCATTCCTAGCAGAAAATAAGTTTGAAAGGCTGCACAATTTTAATATACGTAGGTCACCATTGTATAACCTTTTAGGCTAATTTTTATTCAATCAAAGTGTTCGTATGATCTTTGCAGCTTCCGGGTTGTTTATCGGAAAAACAGTTTGCCTTTTTTTTTCTGTAAACATTTAATTAAGTAATTGATCTAATATTCGGATAAACACGCATTTCTTCATCTATGATCAACCGAGCTGGTTTTCCATATTTAATTAAAGAAGAAATATTTTGATCTCTGAGTACAAAAAAATGTTGGTTCCTTCGCGATCGAGAATAATCTAATCAATTATTAAATTTATATGATGAAACGCAATATGATGCCTTGTTTTTTTCTCATTGAAATTTATTTTTATATTTCTATCAAGCATCGTTCTTTTTATACTATTATTACAAAAAAGACCTCGTCAGTACATTATGAATGTAAAAAGTTATATGCAATCGACAGAAAAGTGCGATGTATCAATACGATAATTTTTCTCAGGCAATATTAACTTGACGCAAAATAACTTATATAGAATAGAACGCTATGCAATTATGAGGTACAGAGTAATGTGAGTACATTAACTACGTTGTTTCGTTTTACGGCTTCAATATTTTTCGAAAAGAAATGATTTTATTATTGTAGACTTTTATTTGCATGTGAGTTAGCATGAACAAATCGAATGAAAAATAACAGAAAGATATGTTTTAACGTTAAATAATGATATCGATTCGAGAATTTAACATAGCTTTTTATTTTTATTTATCGGATTGGGAATTAGCTTGGCTTTATCGAACACATTGTAATGCCAATGAAATTCTTTTTTCATCGGCATTTCGAGGTTGGAAATGATGTTAATGAAACAATATTTTTCACTATCATATTTCATTCGGATAAGACAGAAATATGAGATTGTATTCTGTTTTAGAATGAAGTAGTAGAAATAAAAGAAACGTTTTGTGTAAAGATGAAAGAATCGGTGGCGTAAACAGGATTTTTTTAAGTAGGTGGCAATTTACCAGCTAAACTATTTTCAATGGGTGGCAATAGTGGACAATTAAAAATTCTAGTTAACAATAACTTTTTTTTTAAATATCTGCATTACAGAAGTCGTTATTTACTGGAAGAGAAATTCGTCTTCCTACATTAACAGATAAATTAGCTACTTTTTTCCCCATATTTCGGAATGTATTCTTCAATTTCATACATTTGAATATTTTATTTGGAAAAGCCATAAACAAATATTAATAGAACAAGAAATAGCATAAATAGAAGGAAAAAAAATAGTATAATGAACATCAATAAAAAAAACAAATAATATCAATGAATTGAAGAGATTGAAAATTGATTTTTGTAAATCACTTGATTAAATCTTATCAAGAGAGAATCTGTTGAAATAAAACACTCCTTAAATCTTTAAGTGCACACAGATTTTAATATTTTTTAACGATGGTCAATTGCCCAACTGCTAACCTGCTGACTACGCCACTGCAAAGAATATTCTAGGTCAAAGGAAATGTTTTTTGGTTGATTTTCGATACAGTTACAGTGAGAGTTTTTAACTGCGAAAGATATTTTAGTTCTGGGCAATATTACTTCTCCTATCATCCAATTTTTATATAATATGAAAAATAATTTGTTAGAATTTTTACCCTAGCCATGTGCAAAAAATGTTTCTTTTTTGGATGAGATAGGTCGATTAAACTGATCCTAAAGATGAATTTTACCTTGAAAAATTATCGCTCAATTCTAGAATGCTTGCACTGCGTAGTTGCCAAAGTTCAGAAAGTATTCTACTTTCCTAGAGAAAGCTCTCTTCTAAAAACCGGTATAAACAAAACAAAAAACAAATTTTAAGATCATCTGTAATTTTTTCTCTTTATTACTAAAAGTACAGAAAAAGGCACCGTGTTCGAGCTCAGATCATTTATTACTTCTCTAGGTATTGTTTTTTGGTTGTTCTATCTATTTTCATAGTAGATTTTAGTAGTGTAACTATACAACATATAACATAATGAGTCAATATTGTCAAGTACCCTATTTATCCTTGATATGGTTATCTGAAAAATTTTACTGCAGAAATTTTTATTTGTAATGCTTATGTTCAAAACGTCATTGAATTCATTATTGATGATTTCAATGAATTTTTATTAAAAGAATGGTAAGTGTTACTTTATGGTCTGGCTTTGTTTCTATTCCCGGCGATTAGCATACAACAAATATTGAACGTTTAACAGTCACATCTGCTTATAAATTTACTATCCATGTAAAAAAATAGGGGTAAAATCAGATTAAAATCGATTACCGTTTTGATTAAAAATCGATTGAAAGGTGTATGATTATAATCGATTTTAATTAGCTAAAATCGGTTATAATCGATGCAACAGTTTTTTCCTAGTACTACCGATTACAACAAACTTCAGTTGATTTTTATCTGTTTTTGATCAATCACAAATCAACTAACAGCTAATTCAAAGCATCTGTAATGGTTTGAAATCGACATCAGGCACATAATAACTAACATCTCATCAATTATTTCCAGTAACGCTGATTTACAATTAGCAATATTAGACTTATTTTTACTTTTTTGAAAGTACTTTCTCAACAATTCGTCAGTATTCTCTAAATTTCATTATTCAAAATTTTTACTTTCGCAACAAAATATACTTCTACTTCCTTATTTTCTGTTAAACGAACTGCTGATACTCCTCTTGGAGAAAAAGGAAAAGAATCAATGAAAACAATCGCTATCAAAACGAAAAAAATAAGTCTGAGCATATTCCATTTGAATCAACGGAGTAAAACAAAAAAATGATTTGGTTTGAAAACAAAATTTATCCTTAATATTCGTTTTGAAGCGAAAGAAAGAAATAACGAAAAAACAACTCCGCTTTATATTAAAAGGAGACTCGTATTATAACCCAGGAATGTGGAGGTTTTATGCAATCAATTATTTTTATGGGAAGTAATGTAACTGTAAAGAGTGTTACAGCTTTTTCTTTGAAAAGGGTTTGATGTTTCTGGTTATGGTGTATTACATCAGATTTTCGAGATAATTAAATCGTTGTTCTAAATTCAAACCAAGTCAAATATGTTGAAATCGCTTCTTCCATGTGCATAAAGAAATCGATCTCAGTATCTAAGGTTGTGTCTTGTTCTTACATATATCGAGTCTAAATAGGGTGCTCAATCATTTTTTTGAATAGCAGAGGTGGTAATTACTGATTTAGGATTGCTTGTGCATGCCGTTTATTACCAAGTATTGAAGTAATAATCTATCTTTCTAAATTTTCCAGATATCATATTTTTAAGATTTAAACAAAGATTTATTTTGCGCTGTTAAAATGAACGGTCTTTAAAATACTATGATGGCTTTAACTTTAACTTTTATAACGTAACATAATCATAAAAAATCATGACAAATGATTTTCTTCAAATGTTTTCTTAGTAATCACTAAAAATCAATAAAGAAGTGACTTCTGATCGTGGAAGTTCTCAAAACATGTTTTTTTCAGTCTAGGATCAGTTTTGCTCGATTTTCATCAATTATTCGTGGTGCGAATCGATTATAATCAAGAATATGTTGATTTTCGCGTAAATGTTTTTACATGGGTATTTCTAGGTGCTCGTGGTCTGTTGATCCATCTACTTTAGATATTAAATATGTTATTATTGCTTTACCTGTTGGTTACCTTGTTAAAGCATTATTTTGTTTTAGCCATAATGTTTCAAACTAAGCAGTATTCATTGTGAGAATCAGCAGGATTCCATTCAGATTTGTTTTTCTTGATTTACCATATCCGAATGCACTTGTTTCACAGGGTGCTATGCATACTAATCAGGCTCATATAAAAGCTGATCATTCACCTGTTGTTAGTTTACTTCTGCTGGATTCTATTAGTGATTTACCAGAAATACTCAAATCAGCAAAGAACGGGGGACGTTAACAGCCAAAATCGGCCCCCTGTCCAAACACGACCTTTTCGTTTTCATTATGCTAGTTTTGACGCTACATCAACATTTTGAGCCACATTTTATCATTATATCAAATCGAGACATCATCTGCATTACTTTTTATATTGCACTAAAATCCACTGTATTTTCTTTTGGGAGCCGATCATTTTAATAAAATATTTCAGTTATCATAGTTACTACTTATTTTAATTTACCCCTCAGATTGTAGCCCTTTTCACGCTCTCTCTAGTGGTATGTCAACATATGAGAAAATTTACTGAATTGAATTTGACACCGTCGGCATATCATACAAAAGTTCTAGTAAAGGTGAATACCGATTATGGTACTTCTCGCGAAAGACTCAGATAATAATGTCGGCCCACGCTTACTTACGTATCACTCGATAGAGAATTTTGAGATCTATCAAATGATTATAAAATATATACGAACAGTATGCAGAAGGACAGTTCCGTTTCTTTTATTGATATTTTTGTTTTCGTCGTTTCTTTTTCCTTGGTTCAATATTCTTATTTATATTTGCCTATATTGGTGTTAGTAGCATAGATGAATAAAGGGATATATCTTTTTATGCAGCATACGTTTTTTCCAATTGAAAGACATTTGTTGAAAACATTACTTTATTACGAGGTGCATGTACTATCGGCTGTATAGTGTTTCGCTCTACTAATTGAGTCATACATACATGGTAGAAAGAAAAATTTTCGTGATGCATTTCATTATATAGTAATGCTTAGTGATCCGGTCATATATGAACTAATCGAGAACTAAGGCAGACATTTAATCTAAGATCACTGTCTTAGTGTGTATCACTATTGCGAACGTTTACTACACAAACTGGCATCCCACTCCGCCTCTTTTCCCTCTTTTCTTCCACAACCTCCTCTTTTCCCCCTCTTTTTTAAAAATTATCCTTTTTTTTTCTAAAAAATTGAAGTCAAAATAAAAATACTTAATATTGATAGGTTTTCAGCATCATTCGCTTCATGTGTTGTTGTGGACATCCATTCGCTTCTTATTGATCTTTTTCTGTCGCAACAAGATGATAGGTCTATGAGTATAATCAATGTAACTACAGTAAAACCTCCTATAATGCACGCCTCATTGTTCTGTACATCTCATGGTTTAAAAAAGCAATTTTTGTCAAAGTGAAGCTCTGTAGTAAACACTAATTATGACTTAAAAGAAAGTAGTCAATGCCTATAAAAGATCATAAACGTGATGACTCTTCTTTACTTATAAGACGGCTGAATGAGAAAAAAAATATAATGTTTAGTGGTGGAAAAAAAACATCCCCGTTGTGTTGAATAGGCGGCACAAGTGTATATACATATATATATATATAATCGCATTGTAACATTTGCGTCATTTTCCCCTTTATTTATGAAATACCCGACCATAAAACAAAATTCAATCAATCATGGTTAAATAAATTGGATAGTAATGGAAAGTCAGTGAAAATGTGGCTGAAGCAAGGCTCATCGGAAGCAACATTTATTTGTACAATATGTCGTACTGGTGATCTAGACTGTTCTAACAAAGGCTGGAACGCTGTTGAACAGCACATGCAAAATGAAAAACACAAAAATAATTTAAATGCTCTGAAGAATAATTCACAGCTTACCTTTTCAATATCGACAACATCTTCCACGTCGTCTACACATACTATTAAACTAGTTGATCCTAATAAACCTTTGTTATTCAATGATCAAGTATCACAAGCTGAAATATTATGGGCGCTGAAGTCTGTTCAAAATGCATTTAGTTACAAAAATTCTGATGACGTCGGTGAATTATTTCGTACTGTTTGCGGACTCAAAAATTGCTCAGAAATTTTTGGTTCAACATTCAAAAATGTCTTATGTTATTTCACATGGACTTGGACCGTATTTTCGTGATCTATTAATTAAAGATATTAAAAATTATGAACGATTTGTTCTTTGTTTCGATGAACAAACAAATAATCAAAACAAGAAACAACTTGATTTATATTTTCGATATTGGAGTTCACAAAAAGGACTTGTTGTTACCAGATATTATCGTACAATTTTATTAGGTCATGCTCAAGCAAATGTTGTTGTTGATGGTATTTTAGGTTCTTTTCGCACTGATTGTATCGGTATCAGCAAGTTGTTAATGCTCAGTCGAGATAATCCAAATGCCAATAAAACAGTTGAAAAAATGATCAATGATGCTATGAAGAAAGTTAATGCTGAACTATTAAACGTTGGTACTTGTAATTTACATGTTATTCATAATGTATTTAAAGCAGGTATGGATAGTGTCACTAAAATTAAACTATGTTTAACCGTGTGTGTCACTTTAAAGGGACAACTGAAACGAACTGGTACGTTGAGAACTTCTGTATGAATATTTGGTCGTGGTTTCAAAAATCACCTGCTCGACAAGAAGATTTTGAGAATATTACAAATGAATTAAATGATGCCATTGAAAAAACAATTTTATATTTCTCAAGTAAACGATGGGTTTTACTCGGAAAAGTAATTGATCGAGTTCTTAGTAAGTAATAAAACACCGCACATCTCTCCTTCCAATGTTTTGCTCTCTTTAGAGCAATATCATATGTTTCGTGAATATTTTCTGGTTTATTTACCATCAAAGCAACAGAAACAAATACAAAGCAATTCTCGTTATGATAATGTTAAAGAAGTATTAATGTCGAACATATCAAAAATTCGATTAAATTTTATTTTATTTTTATGCCAATCCATCTTTGATCGATTTTTGACGTGGTTTCAGAAAGAAGAACCACTTGTTCATTTGCTTTATAATGCATTATGTGATTTATATCGTACTGTTTTATTATCCTTTCTATCACCTGAACATGTCGGATCAACATACGGCGGTGCTCTCTTAGATATCGATTTCAAATTAGCTGAAAAACAACTAACAACAAAAAAGTTACAGATTGGTAGGTTGACACTCATCAGACTCCGATAAGATTACTGCATAAAAGAAAAATCTAACAATCGAAGATGTTATCTTCATATTTCTTGGTTTTCTTGACTTTAGGAGAAGAAGCACGTCGACTTTTAGTGGACGTATCCGCATCAGATCGTGCGACATTTTTTCATGACGTCAAATCGATATATCATGCAATTGCTGACAACTTGAAAAAATATCTTCCATTAAAAAATACATTTTTAAAAGATTTACATGTACTTGATCCTGCATCGAGAACAAAACAAGATTCAGCTGATACAATGATTCGTGTTGGAAGAGCAATACCAAAATTATTGAGTAATGCTGAAATAGATCGTATTCGTTATGAATTTATGATGTATGCAGCTGAAACTATTGATCAGTCTTGGTATATTAAAAATAAATATCACGATTCAGATGATAATAATCATACAGAATATCAACAAATTGATTATTATTGGAACAAGACATTATCATTGACAACTAGTTTTGGATTACCGAAGTATCCAACATTGTCTAAAATCGTTAAAAATATTCTCATTATATCACATGGAAATTTGGACGCTGAGCGTGGCTTTAGTATTAATGAACATATTGTTACAGAAAACAGAACACTGTTGTCATTATCTTCTATTAATGGCCTCCGTTCAACATGGGATGCAATAAAATTTTATGGTGTAGGTTCACCACATCGAATATCCATCAAGATCGATATGATTCGTGCTGTACAAAAATCGAAATCGGTTTATAATCAAGAACAATTATCATTGAAATCTCTTGCTAATCGTGAGAAAGAACAAAGTGAAAAACATGAGCATACCAATGGAGAAATGAAAAAATTAATCGATCGAGAAAATCAGTTGTTGTCGAAGCAAAAGGGTTTACACGATAAACAAAAGAAAGCACAATTGTTGGTGGATGAAGGTCGACAACAGCTTGATAATGCTTTGAAAAAAGCGGATATTATTGATGCACAAGCTGCAAATGCGTTGATTGGAGCTGGTGATGAACAAGTTAAATTAATCTCAGATGAGCTTTTCAAAATAACCGACGAATTATTGAAAATTCAAAGTAAAAGAAAAAATGTTCTTTCTCACGTACAAAATAAAAAGCAAAAGATGACAACAACAAGCGAATGATCAGTTTTCAAAGAAATATTTTTATTTGTTTAAATTTAATAAGATTAATTGTAGTATATAGTTTATGGTTTTGAAACTTCTCTTTTTGGTGCCATTTTTTGTGATTTTATTGTTTAGTATCATGTACATATGAAATGAAATAAAACTATATGTGAACTACTAAAGGGTTCTTTGACAAAATGCATCTTTCTAAGTAGATATTAAATAGAACCGTAGGTTGTCGACTGCACGTCATTTTTGCTTCCACATGAATATTTCTTGTAGGGCCGAAGGCTGAAAAAAAATCCTCTTTTTTCATTCAAAATCCTCTTTTTCTTGAAACTAATTATCCTCTTTTTCCTCTTTTTTCTAAAATGCTTGGTGGGATCCCAGGAATACGTATATAATTTGAATAAGTGAGAAATCGAGTAAAGCTTTCACATCTATTCTCATCAACTTATCGTGCTGGATAAATAAAGACTCTTCAAAATGTACCATTAGAACATGTTGAATCTTTAAGTGAAATTTCCTCTGGAACACTAAGCTCATGTCTGAAATCATTTAGAAAAAAGCTCATCATACACATAGTTCTTAAATTAGCTCGTTCTCTTATACAATATTAAATGATTCTACCATGTTTTGCATTTCTCTTTGAAGCAGTATTTTATTTTTATAATTGAATTATATGATAATAAATGAGTAAGCTGGTATTGTCCGAACTAGACAGCAACAAATTTCACAGTGACTGACGCATAATGACATACATTATAATTCATCACCATGTCAGCATATAATCGACTGAAAAATCTGCTGTATATCAGTTTATAGGAAAAATTATCAGGGCGCAGGGCAGGGCAGGGCAGGGCCGGGCAACTTTCTATTTTTTCGCCCTGCCCTGTGACGGTGTCTGCGGTGCACCATGAATTAATTCAGATAATTTCCGAACACGAAAACTTTTTGTTGGTTCACCAAGAACAAAACTAATTGCATCCATAAGATTTGATTTTCCTAACAAAGATTAATAAATCGAAAATTTTTTTTCTTAATTGTAGAAACAAAATCTGACCCATTTGGTCCTATAATAGCACTAAATTTTCTTAATGGACCGATAACAATATCACCTTTGTCAGATTTAAAACCATCGGTTTCGACATATTCTAAAAAGTAACTCATTGCTACTTTAAACGATCTTAATACACAAAAGTTAATATAGAAAATCGAAACGTACTTATTGTAAATGAACAATCGTCACATTCAACGATTGAAACAAATATTTTAAAATCGATGATTAATAATGGTTGAATTAGATAATAAATGATAACAAAAACTTTCATTTAGCCTTTTTAAATGATATTTATTCGAACATAAATACTTTTTCTTAAATCTAAATCATATATATTTTCGATTGTCATTAAAATATTTTTCTTGTATATTATCGCCATCTAAATATTTAATGCCGACAGACGAAAATCACCGATCACATGAGAAAATTTATTCATTCATATATTTCAACATAAGAGAGAAAATCAACATGAAAATGTTCATCTTTGACTTTGATACATAAAATAATTTTTGGAGAAATAGAAATGCGAATAGAGAGGAACGATAATGAAGTCATTCATTATTTATAAGATAGGAAATATGAAATAATCTATTACGCTTAATAAATGTACATAATTGCGAGAATGATAGAGAGCAATCATTCTTCTGCTTCTCGGATTCTATTAAGTTATCATTCGATTTGAATTATTAACAACAACAAACAAAAAGAAAAAAATTTATATGTTCATTCGATTCTTAGCAATCACATTTTAGTATTTATACTTCAAATGTTATGTTTTAACTTAGAATTTGATTTTAAATATTCATATTTTATTTTAGATGATATCAATCATAAGATCTGTAAGTTAATTTTATATTAATAGTGGCATTTCTGTGATGAAATATTATATAATAGAAACATTTTATTGAATAAATATTATTTGATATTACACATGTATAGATTTTTCTTTGCTATATATTTTGTAAAAAACTTCTAAGTTTGATATGCTGTATAATAATAGTTTTAAATATATATCAAAAGTGAAAGATTTTATTATTTTAATGAAAGATTTTATTTCAGAAATTGAATTATTTCTATTTATTTAAACTTATATAATTCAATTGTTTTTATTTTAGGTTTCAACAATAAATATTTATTTATTGTCATGATTTAGAATAACCCAGGAGAATGAATCCTAGTCTAGGATCCGATGAGTTCCGATCGGTTCCTATTGGAATCCGACGGAGCTCTTCGGAAGGCGCAGGGAAACTATCGGATTATCGTCGGATTCCTGGTTCCGGAATAGATATCGGATCCTAATATCGGAAACTAATAAAATCCGACAGTAACCGTCAATCTGAACCGGAATGCTTCGGATTTCATTGGTTCCGACAATCGGATATCATTGGAAATACGACTGTCGGATCCGACATTGATTCCTCAACCAGGAATCCAACGGGATTTCGTCGGATGGTAGGACCCCATAGAGTCCGATGGGATTCGGTATCGGATTGGTTCACCTGGGTCCATGAATATTTTCTAATAATAGCGAATAAATATTTTCTAATTCTTGTATTAATTCATTCGACTTCTTTGTTTTTTCATCGTCAGATAATTTTTGCCAATCTATTTTCATACATTCAAACATATCAGAAACGATTGACGTGATAACTGCGTTGGTTTTCGATGGATTGAAAATCATGTCGATCTTTTTTTGTATAATTTTTTCGAGACATCGGACTTATACTATTTGGTTGTATAACACCTTGCAAGTATCCAGTAAACTCTTCGAATAATCCTCTAGTGTGGAGTGTTCCTTCGTAAAACATTATATTTCGCCGGTTGTTTAAGTTCTCCTTTTCCTTTTCATCACATAGCTCTCTCATCGTTTTACATACACGTTCTTTTTCTTGAATTAAACGTTCATATTGACCCCGAATTTCACGGTCTTCGTCGAGTTGATGTTCATATTGATCCCGAAGGATTTTCACTATTGGTAATGATCCTGGATTTGATGCAAACAGATGATTAAGAGTTTCATCAGGAAAAACTATCGAGTTATTTATTAATCGTTGTTGCGTAATAAATAATTTGATAAATCGTGTCCATTTTCCAGGTGAATCAATCCGATACCGAATCCCATCGGATTCTATGGGGTCCTACTATCCGACGAAATCCCGTTGGATTCCTGGTTGAGGAATCAATGTCGGATTTGACAGTCGTATTTCCAATGATATCCGATTGTCGGAACCAATGAAATCCGAAGCATTCCGGTTCCGATTGACGGTTACTGTCGGATTTTATTAGTTTCCGATATTAGGATCCGATATCTATTCCGGAACCAGGAATCCGACGATAATCCGATAGTTTCCTTGCGCCTTCCGAAGAGCTCCGTCGGATTCCAATAGGAACCGATCGGAACTCATCGGATCCTAGGCTAGGATTCATTCTCCTGGGGAATGAAGAATTTATCATTTGTTCGTAAGTTACTCTTTCTTTTCTTCTCTTTCAAAAGAAAAAATGAAGGTATATTTTATTTTATTTTGCTTTTACTTAGAAATAACTTGAATGATAACCATATTTGCTTAATAAAATGTATCGCAATACATTTCCTACGTGTTCATCATCACCACATTCATGTGGAAAAATACCGATGAATCCAAGAAACAAATAAATTATAATATTTAAAAACATATATAATATGAACATATTTCATTATCGTGTATTTTCTTTTATGTTTATTTTTTTCGATTTCAAATAGAGATGATTTATATGATTGTGCGATATTCATATAGGATACTATAAGATAATTCTTTGTACAACTGACAAAAAAAAAGGAAAGCGAATGGAATATAAAGCAACATTTTGATAATAGAAAATTCTTATATGAAGAATTTTAGCAAAATTAAAAAAAGCCAATACTAATAACTTTTCAGAACGAAACAAGTAATAGAAAAAAAGAGCAAATATCATTTTCTGGCAAATCTACGAAAGCAACTTTTTCGAATATTGAATTATGAACATAAATGAATCAAAATTATTTTAGGGCACTTAAAATAACCTATTTTTCAAGAGATAAATGTTATGTGAAATTGAAAAAAGTCAAAAATATCGATAACGTTATGTGCATTCCGCGATTTTACAAATATAAAATAAAATGCTCGCAAATAATCAGAGACCATTTTCAAATGATGAAAATACAAAAAAAAGGCACAATTGAGTTTCTTCATTTATTAGATAGTTCGAATGGTATAATTATTTAATCTCGCATATTAAGACTGTGTAGTTTAATATTTATTTATTGTATTCATTATATTGAACTCTTTGCTAGAAGTAACATTTTTTTTTTCATTTGATTGATATTATGCACAATCAAACTCATTAATCACCTTTAAAGAGAAAGTCTCTTATGAACTGATGGGTTTCAAAAAATAAAGAATATTGAAGCAGTATATCCGTAAAACTCTGGAGGATTTGAACTGAAAAAAGCAGGAAAGTTACTTTACTACAGTTTCATATACCCTCCGCATAGAAAATTTCATTTTTTATTCAGTTGATTTTAAAGATTTTTTTCAAATATCAATAATGTTGATTTGAAGTTCAGTGACCATATGTTCATTCTGGCACTAAAAAATGTAGCCTTGCGCTTTCTACAACACCATTTAGCTGGTTTTCATCGATTATTCGATCTTTTAGTAGGCTGGTGAGTTTCATAGTAAGGATATAACGTGTAGTGTTAAATCGAACAATTGCTTCGATTCATCATCGGAAAGATCAATTCGAATACTCGGTCATAGTAATAATATATTGGATTACTGATCCTTATTTATCTGCGCATAGGCTAACATTTAGAAAGTTCTACTTTAAGTCACTTATAGGACGTTTCATAGAAAAAATTTCCGCTGAGAAATCATTTGATTCACAGTACAAGTTTCTTATGATCTTCTTACTTCCAGACTAATAAACAATAACTATATAAAGTATAGATATCTTAGCATGTATCTAGGTATATAACATGAAATCATTCAGCACAAGAACGCTTTGGCACGTTTTTTTCTACTCTTTGTTTCGAGAGCCAATTAGAAAAAAAACAAAATCTCTTTTTATTATTAATCTAGATAAATAATCAAAATTATCTTTCATATTTTTGCAAATAACTAATATTTATTGTGTAAAAAATTATCTGAGTATACAATGGCTTAATCAATAATCACGTTCTGCTGGGGGTCGATAGGGTAATTTCAAATATTGAAATATTGATTCTTCAGTTGGTGTTGGTACTAATCGGCCTTCATTGACTTTATTTTTTCCCTAGAAAGAAATGAACTCAATAAATAATAAGAAAAAAAGCACAAAATTCAAATTTACCATTCGAATAACACCAACATGAAGACGATGTTGTGATAAATACATATTATTTTCATCTGCTAATTGACGCATTGAACGATTGAATAACATCGAACCAGTAAAGTAGAGTAGAGCACATGCATGCTCAGAATACGGCACAATGATAATGTCGATACGACGTGACTAAAAATACATTATTAAATATGATTCAAATCTTTAACATTTGCTAAAGTTTATCGAAGCAGCATTTTATTTTCTCATAAAAAGAAAAACTTAAAATTACAAATGGTTTCAACAGCGAAATATAAGAACACCAACAGGATCAAAACGAGAATATAGATCGAAGAAAAAAATCTTCACATATTAAAACATCGTGGGAAACCGACAGATATAAAAACCTATGAGGGCAAATACTGTTAGGTGACATGACTCAGAGTCATTTTGGATGTTTTGTCTGGCTATAACTATAGGGAAGACTTAATTGTGGACTCACACTTTGTATTCAATGCTGGTTTCGCTAAACGTCTATTCACCCTCAATACAATCAATAAGATCTTACCAAAGTATTTTCACCTGGCAATTTACAAACCCCAAAATAACGCATATGTGCTCTGTAAAAAAAATAAACTTTTTTTCTCAACTAATTAAAAAAGAACATCATTTTAACTTACCCCGGTTCTTCATCATGTTTATCAGTATAAACAAGATCATCAACAAGAAAATCTTTCAACAATAAAATGCTTTTAAAATTTCTATTAATGAAATTTCTTTCTTACTGGTCGCTTTTAATTTATCAACAAGTGGAAACAGTAAATGTTCATGTGAAACTCCATCACGATGTGTTATCAATATATCACAATCACCGCATGTTGCTTTACCTCGTCGATAGGACCCACATGTTTGTATGAGCAAACCAGTTCGCAAAGATGCAGCCGCTTCTCTAACCTATTCAAATTCATAATTAAAATCAATCAAACTTATTCTTCAAATTAGTTCTTTTTTCTTCTACATACAACACTTTCAATTTGACTAACTTCTTCTCTGGGAATACGTTCAAGAAATTCAGAATAATATTTTAATCCAATCATTTGATTATGTGTTAATCTAGCTTTTGTTCGAAGATCATCCAATGTTCGATAGCCCTTTGTTTATTTGAGAAGTCAAATATTATAAAACAGTTGTAAGAGAAAAAATAACATACCAGATCAACCCATCGTTTAGCTTGTGCTGGTCCAATCCCCCAAATTTGTCCAAATAAATCCATTACAGCAATATCTGCATCTGTTTGATATTCTTCTAGTTTTATCATACTACCGGTTTCCATGATTTCAACGATTTTTTCTGCTAAACGTGAGCCAATGCCAGGTAACATTCGAATTTCCTATAAGAAAATTTACCTAGTCAAATTTGTATCACTTATCTTTTCAATATATATATACCTCATAAGTAGTTGCTGGTTTATGACATTTTTTCAAAGTACTTATAGCTTTCTGATAACCATATGCACGCCATTTATCATTCGAATTTCGATACAGATTCGCCATTTCCTATTTAAATGAAACAATATAATCCGAATGTATTCAAAGAATAATTGATTCCTACTTGAAGTTTATCAATAACTGCTTGATTGGGATTATTTACAGGATCGACTGGTAATGCAGATGATTCACAACACATCCAGTTACCTTTCTAGGTATATGAAAAGAGTTTGATTTGAAAAATAATACTAATGAAACTAACCGCGAATGTAATCTCTTTTCCAGCTAATGTCTAAAAGAAAATATAATATTAATATTTCGAAAAAGGAGATATTCAAAATGAACATTTGAAAGTCCTACAGATTTTATAGTATTTTGCGAGGACTAATTTAACTAATCATGACGAGATACGAGCCGAAATCGTTTAACTTCTGTGTGATAATAGTTCTCATATAAAATTTCAGTAAAAACATAACTCGGGAATATTTCGGACATCTTAACTAAAGCTATAAATTCACCGTCCAACCACTTTCACTGTCAAGAAAGAGTTCTTAAATAGTATATCATATGAAATCTATTTTACACATACTGAACTTCTCGATATATTTACATTCATATAGAATCATAAAACAATTAGCATCTATCGAATCATTTATGAGAATCAAATAATTAATACGTACTACTAATTCTTCATCAGTTTTATTCATATCGACGTCTTCATCATAATCACTGTCTGAATTCGATCGTTTTCTGGGAAGAAATGACTGTTCATTGTTAAGCTGAGGTCGGGATAGTTTTTGATTGACTGCAGTATTGCTGTTGTCATCCAATGTTTTAGTCACTTCAAAAACTAAAGATCGAATGAAAGGTTCACGTGGTAATAATTGCTGAGCACGTAATGAATCACTAAGCCATCGTGTACTAACTAATTGGGGAATATATGCATTGGATGGATCAAGGTGGAGAATTTTTTCAATAATAACATTTGTTTCAAGTGAATCTTCAACAATAATACATTCGACATTGTCGATATTAAACGGTGTTACACATTCAAGAGAAAATTTAGTGCACGCTTCACGAAATATCGATAAGCGACCTTTGCCAACTGAATTGGGCAATAAATGTACTCGGCATGCGGCATTGATCATTTCTAAAGACACAACAACAACAACAAAAGATATAAGTCTTAAAGTCTCATTGGATACTAGTACTGACACATGCTCGATTGAACGTTGGTGAGATGAATTTATCTAAAACAAAACAAAACGATGGTCTTTTTAATTTCATTCGTTCAAAATTCAGTTCAAGTAGTGTCTAGAAAAGACACTCTGAATAAAGACAATTGATCATATGAGTCAATTTCTTCGTAGACATGTGTGAATACCAGTAGATATCATCGTTTCATTGCAATACTGAATATAGAACGTAACTTTTTTTCATAATGAATATCTGCCAAACAAAAAATACGAGCCATGGCTTAGCAATTGAGATTCTATACATTTTATATGATTAAAATGTGGCTCGTATTTTAAAATAGTACGTTTAAGAATCAAGGTAAAAACTGTTCAAAAATAGCATTGAATATTATTGGTTGATATATTCAACAGTGAGTCACTAGTTATCAACGTTCAGCCAATTCAATTCCAGTTCATAAACTCTATGAGCATTATTCATAATCAAGAAATTTTGAATGAGCTTAATTTCTATGTTGATTGTGAAATTGTTTTAGATATTTTTGATATACAATAACGGTTTCACTCTAGATATCGTCTTGTAGCGACATCTTCCCAACGTTACATATATGTATATGATTCCTAATTGCAAACAGGAAGCATAGGAACACCGTCTTGTTCTATGCTTAGCAAGGTCTCGAATGTTCTTATTGAAGGTAAAAAAGAGAGACAGAGAGAGAACGTTTCGAGCATTACCCCCAATGGAAAACTCTACATTTCTCTGTAAGTATGTATATAACATTACGGATATCCCAATAAAAGGCAGATAAACGATTATAAACAGCCTGTGACATTGATCAAAATTACAAGATGCGAGCTAAAGTATTTTTATTTTTTTTCGTTATAACTATTGTTCTTTGTGTTTGGTTCATGCCAACTGGTACTGAGGCACTTCCCTATTCACGTAATGGTTTTGGACGATGTCCACCAGCATGTAGCGTATATTGTCCATGTGGGAATGTTGTTGACAGAAGTGGTTGCCCGATTTGTCGCTGCCGACCCTCGAATACGTGTACAGGGAAACATCCAAACTCTTTTGGTCGACCACCACATGTCAAAACACATATTTTTCATTGATTTTGACTGTCAATTGAACTCTTAAACAGTACTTTTCTAGATTATTTTTTTTCATAAAGTCCTTGTGAAATGTACATTTTCAATGAATCTTGGGCGTCTCATAGCATGAATAAATGTTTGATTTTGAATAAAAACCGTTCATGGTACAAGTAACTAATGAAGTAAAAATTTTTCTTCGGTAATTTTTTCTTCAGTATATCAGCATCGAAATGTTACAAAATTTAGATTTTAGCAATTCAACATGTATAAATCTTTAGTTAAATGAGCTGTGCTAGAAAATAATTGCACAAAACTGTAGTAAAAAATGGGTGTGGCTATCTCGTCTAATTAAAAGATTCTGAAGAAGAATTGTAAACTCATTTAGTTAGACTTCATATTCTATTTAGATAAGTCGACAGTTATTCCATTGCTAAAGCACGCCATCAATATACCAAATTGAACTGTAGTTTTTACGATGAAGAATATTACACATATGCAACTTACAGTCCAAAGAAAAAGATAGATATTCTACATCGTCTAGATTACAAGAATACAGCTTAACCAGGAATTTGTATCTTTGGATAAATATAGTAAGAACTATCAAGGTTATTACGTTCTATGATACTCGATGAAGGACAAAATGTGTAAATGATACATATTGACCTTGAAACGCTCACTTGTTAATAGAATTTATGATAGTATGCCAGATCTAAGACTTCTGTTTGCAAGGTCATTTCTGTAGCTATCTCAATGAATAAGCATGTTGTCTTATTTTAAATATTCCTATACCAAAGATGTAATTGTTTGATTCAAGTTAATGGACTTTGATGTCTAACTATAATGTGTGCCTGTCGTAATTTACGTTTACACCCACACGGTAATGCGCTCTTGTTCTTCATCTCATACATCGCAGTGTCCTGATAAATCCTGAGGGGGACGTTCTCTGCAAATAATATTTTCGCTGGAACCCTGACAAGCGCTCCGGTGTATGCTTCATCTAGATGTCTATAATCTGTGCCAACTATGATTGTCCTTGTATTCTGTTATGCAACACGATCATGTCAGTCAGCGATAATGAAGTCAATCATTATCAAGCATGCTCGAAAAAAAAGAATATGGAAAAATGTTTTTTTACCTCGTCGATGATAGACTAATACGTTTTAGGAAAATCTATGTAAATTAGAAATAATTTATAGCGATAACTCGAAGAAAGTAATGGAGTACACTAATAGTAACCGGATGCAAGTTGAAAAAAACAAGTTCTAAAAATAGAATAGGATACTGAGTCCAAAAGATATTGACATTGCATAAAGTATATTAAGACTTCTGTTTGTTTTATACCTTCATAGATACAAACATAAAAATCTCGATTGTTAAATAATAATTTTATTGATTATTAAAATTCGTTTTATGTCATTCGCAAAATATATTTTATTTTGACTCAAGAATAAAATAGGAAAAAAAAGTCTAAATATGATTTTTAAATAAAAAATGATTAGAATGTTTATTTTTTACCCGGTAGAAATTTCCGAAATTTGTCACGAAGTGCCTTATCGTCAATATTACTATTAGTTGGATTACGTGGAGTTGGACGACTAGTCAGACTAGCTGCTGTAGTTGGTCTTTCATTATACAAGGCACTACGTACGCGTTCACGATCATTCGATGGTCTTGTACGACTAAAAACATATTGGGCAGCTAACTTATTAGCTTCATCGATTGTTCGTATTGGAATATTTGATGCAACTTCAATATGAAGTGGTGAAACTATTTTATGACCAAGATGAACAAAAGCCGCTGGTGCTAAATCATAGGTGGATAATGGTCTTCGCCAATCCGATAATACAACACGTGGCGGTGTGGTATATAAATAAAAATCTGTTTGTCCGATCTGCGGACAAATAAGAGTTGCTTGAGCAAAATCAATTAGTCGAGAAACTGGTTCTTCAGGACGAAATAATCCTTGAAGAATGTAACGCTTGTTGACAACAAATCGAATAGCTATTTGTTCATAAGTTATACTACGTGAAGATTGAGCTCTCTCACGCATACTACTAGTTTCTAATGGAGTGTCATGCAAACTTGGTAAACATAAAAAAGTTCTATTGAATAAATTTTTATTTAGAAATCAATCTACCTTTGTTTTTGTAAACCGTTGAGTACTGATCGAAGATCATCGGCTGTTGTTTCGAAGAAATTATCGGGTAGATCTTCAGATTTTTTATTTCGATTTTCACGCGTTGCTGGATTTTTTGTTATGTCATACGCAATTGGACGTCGATCACATGGCTATTAATGGTTCCGTTAATTTAAAAACAAAATGTATATATATATATATATATATATATTACTTACTCTAACATCTTGTGCATGTCGATAATCATCATCGAATTCATTTCGATAAAGTTCTTTACCTTTTGTCGCTGCGGGAAACTAAAATTAGAATAGAAAACGGAATTTATTTTGTCCTTTTGATTTGATGATAGATACTTTAAAATTTCGAAAGTCATCTTGAGCTTTTGCTCGTTGTTTTACTTCGGATTCGAGATCTAATGATACATTTAAGCCGAGTTCTTCTGCTAATGTTTTTGATTGTTGTAGAGACTAGCAGAAAGAAAGAAAATATTTCAATGGTTGATGCAATCAATATTACTCGTGCCGTAGTAGGAGGTGTAATCTTAACTGGAGGATCACGAAATATTGAATATTCTTCATTGTTCGAAGATGGCACAGCTGAATTGGTTAGAGAACGAGAGGTCGTGGATATTGAAGGAGGCGAAGAACGAATCGGTTCTGATTTTGTTGTTGCTTGCGGTTGAGGTTGGGGCTGTTTTGCCTTTTTTTCTTGTTCATATTGTTGTTGACGTCGACGAACAATTTTCTCATCGATGCGTGCATTGATTTTTTGTAGCTCAGCATCGCTAACCGGTCGTAAATTATAACTAGAATAGATAATGATTATTTTATCTAGAAAAAAATGATTATCCCGCTGTCTTTTACTAACCGAATAACAGCAGTTCCATTAGTGAGTCCTATGTCACGTAATGTTGTATTAGATAAAGCATATTCACCAATGATCTATATTCATATGAAGAACATCAAAGACGAACTAATTTTTTCATCTACCTCTTCAGTCACATATGAGCAAACTGGACAAGAATTACGATTACCACTCATTGAAATATCCATAGCAGCTACCATACTTTATGGTAAATTCGAATATAGTAGATAACAGAAGACATAGTACTTGATAGATGTTTACCTGTCAGGTTGAATACGATACAAATCCAGCATTTCTTGAAGAGTGACCGTTGGTTCAAACCAACCAGGATATCTCGAATTATCAGGTAATTCTAATTGTACATTGATATCATTGGTTGCTCGTCGATTTTCAAGTTTATACATTTCTAGAGTGGCATTCGTCGGAATACTTTGTAAACGCCATGGATTTGTTAAATTGCATTTGGTGCGCTGATGTCTATGATGTCAATTTATTTTACAAAATTGACGTTAAACAAATGACTCTTACATGAGACCCCAGTCTGATGAATCCAAATTTTCTTGTTCACATACATCTTCGAGTACCTGAGAACAGATTGAATTCATAAATCTTAATTCTCAAGTTTGACGTTCAGAGAAAATAAAATCAGTTCGGCAAAATCATTTTCAGCGATTAATCATTTCTCTTAGTAATAAATTTATTCTCTCGACATCAGACTTCATGCAACATTTACATAATGATATGATACCACGAAAACTAGTTATAGACAAATCTCAGAGAACAACATAAACAAATAATTACTAATAGAATTCTAGATATTTGATTCGGACCAACGTTGAAGTGGGAGCATTAGTAGACTATTTAGCACATTCAATTAGTTATAAAAACAAACATTCGATTGTAAAAATGTCTTACTTCAAGTAAACTACTATTGGGCATCATTTGTGCCTTTCGTCGGTGTCCACTCGGGCATAAAATACTAATTGTACTTTTAGCCATGATTATTTTCTATCTAAAATAATATTTTCTGATTATTTCATGATTCAAAACTCTCAAAGGAAAAATATTTTCTCATCAATGTCTGAGATTGAATGACTAATGTTAAGATTCTCAATAATCAAATAGATTTACTATTGAATATCAAACAAAAGAAGATTTCATGAAAAGAATTTTTATTCGAACAGAAAAATAATCTTCAATTTTTTTCTTTGTTTCTAGTCTTTACAATATCCACAACACAATTATAATAAAAAAACAAAAAAAAATGAATTAATTATCATCAGTTTTAGCCTTTTTATTTTCTTCTTCAGTTTTTTCCGAATCATTTGCCGGTCGCTTATGTCGTATGTTTAATGTTAAATCTTTGACAGATGCTTCTGTTGTACTATTATCTGTTGTATGACTTGCACTATTCGTTCCTGCAATCAGATCTCTTGCTTGTGCAATTAAATGTTTATCAGCTATCGATGCTTGTGCATCATTACGTTTAAGTTCAATAGTTGGTAACAGTGATTTAAGTTCTTCACGTTCATTTTCTTTATCGTCTCCAGTTGTTTGATCAATCGCTTGTCGAACTGCACTCAAAGCTTTATCAAAGCTATCGACAGCTTCAGAAAATTTATTAATTAGTTCATAGATTAAACCTAATTTATAGTAACTTTCAGCAAGTAAACGGTAGCGTTGTTGTTCGTTAATTGCTTCTTGTAATTCAATAGCTTTAAGTACATGTGATAGTGCTGTTTCATGATCACCATTTTCATTACATATATCAGCAAGCATAACGTGTAAATCTCCTATACGTGTTATTATATGTGCATCGTTTGGTTCAGTTTCTAAAAGTTTTGAATAGATCATGTGCGCACATTCAAGAATTTCAAAGGCACGTTCAAGATCGTTAACATGCTCATCATCAGGAATAGAGTCATCTGCTTTTTCCTCTTCTTGTTCTTCCTCTACATTTTCTTTTTTTCCTTCTTTTTTTTGTTCTTCTTCTCCTTCTCCTTCTTCTTCTTCTTCTTCTTCGTCCTCGTCGTCTTCGTCGTTATCCTCATCTGTAAAAATAATTAAAAGTAAAAAGAAATTCTACAAAATCAAGTCCATGTCGCTCAATTGACCTTTAACAATATTGCTACCCAGCACTTGCTGTTCATTAAGACCAAGATAAAGTAAAGCTTGACCATAGTAAAAATATGGTTCAGCAAGTTCGACTGCTGTATCATTTCCACGTAATTTTACACTGAAAAACTTAGAAAGTTTTAGATAACTGATTAAGAAGAATTCTCACATTTTTTCGCATGTCTTCGACAGATGATCACATGCAGATTGATAATTATTCAATAAAACGTCTCTTTTACCAAGCATAAACGATGAATTAGCTTCTTCATCTCTAAATAAGAATCAAAAATTATTTATTTCCGTGTAATCCATCAAACCGGAGGAATTGCTTTTGCAATGTTTATCATGAATTTTGTTCATCTTAAGATTTTGCTATGCAAATTTCATATCTTCGTGACATTTATGAATCGTATCGTTTTTCACAGATCTATATTATATATCTAACCTTATTGTGGCGTAGATTTTCCATATGTTAATTCTCTTTCGAATAAAATATTTAATCAATCAAATCTTTGGAACAATTACAACGTTTTATCATCCTTTGGATATGAACATTTGAAGAAGAAAAAGAAAAAGAAAAAAATTCCTATCCATTTTGTAAAACATTTTAACTATAGGAAATATAATAAATCACAGGATTGAGTTAACGTGATGAAGATAACACAATGAAAACTTTTTTAACAAGCCATATCCCTAATTTATATCTTTTTTTCTTTCTAACTCACTGTATTTCAAAACGATTCAATGATGCAGATGTTGCCATAGCTTATATTTCAAAATGAAACAATCTAGAACAAAAACAATATTTATTAGACTAACAAATATATTCTATTTCATCTATACAACATAAAAAGCAATTGATTTAGTTATTTTTTGTCTTATAAATATCTGATTAATAATTAAAAATTTGAATATGCAACACACATGTACAAACAAACAGATTGACCAGCTCATTTTGGATACACATTACGAACAAGTACACTGCCACAATAAGAGAAAAAAAAACAACAATTCATTGGCTTACATGAAAATCATTATTAAAAGAGATAAATCAATGTCAAATTTTAATAATCACGTGCATATAAGCCAACAAAGTTATTTTTCTATTGTTACACGGTACTGATTCTTCATATGCATTCCATTTTGTTTTTGATACGAGAATTCAACAAAAAAAAAAACACAACAATAAATTAAACAACAGTTAGCTCTTCGTTAGGCACTTTCGCGCTTGAGAATGAAGTTTCATCAGAATCTCCACCATTTTCATTTGCTAATGGATCAATAATTTTAACTTTTTTGTTTGTTGTTGTTGTTGATACAATAGCTTCCTCGTCATCATCGTGGGATTGACCATTTTTATGTTCATCATCTTTGTCAACTTCATCAATATCTCGTTTATTAGTATTATTAACTTTAATTTCATCATCACCATCATCATTTGTTGCTTCTTGTTCGCTTGCTGTTGTTTCAGATTTATTATCTTCTTTTTCTGTTGTTGGTTGTTCATTCGATTGTGGAACCTGTTCGTCATCATTCACTTCATTGACACTATCTTCATTCGATGCTTCTGTGTTATCGAATTCCTTGACATTTTCAACGTCGGCCTCAACAGGAATTTGTTCATCACTTGACATGGCTTCTTCTTTTGTCCTTTCTACACTGTCAGATCTATGAATGCTCTCCGTCAAAAGGAAGAAAGAAATACTGCAGATGCTCGCTTATATATATATATGATATTCTGTTGTTTTTTCATTGGTTAATTATTCGCACCAATTAAGTTCCAAGACTTTATTTCCGCCTTCTAGAAATTTATTTGTGCTGAAAAATTCTTCATAGAAAAAAACAATTCATAAACATTGATCAAATAATGATTGAATCATTTTCATATCTTCGAATATGTTTATGCATTGAGAATAATAAGTTTTCTAGAAAATATTTAATAATTAATGCCTATAAACATATTAATAGAGGTTTATCAAATAGTTTGAATGGAAAAGGGAGAAAGAGAGAGAGAAAAAAAAATGATGTGGTGACATCTTAATATTGCCTTGAACTATTAACATAAAAAAAAGAGAAGACTTACAAGTGGGTGACAACGCCATCTTTCTTCTGATTTTTTTCTGTTTGACTAAAATCTAAAATTCTGTGTAGTTGTCTCTCTTTTCTTCATTAGCATTGATTAATTCTACTAGATGAATATAGTTAAGTTTCATGTGAATCTACCTATAAAAAAATCACAGAAAGTTGTTGATTAAGTAATTGATGGTGTACTGGCCTCCGATTGTACTTTTTTTAAAATATAAGAATCCTTAGAGGATCAAGGTTGTCAAAAATATAGGATGTTTTATACATAGTTTCTGTTGAATTGTTTTGCTGTTTTTTAACTGCTCTGCTCGAAAATCGTTTTAATGAAGCTGTTATAAACAGTTCAACCGTAGCCAAGAGCTTTATGTAATTTTTTCTACCGAAACAACTCACTAATTCGAGGGTCATTATAAAAGTTTTTCACAAATCGATAAATAACAATAAAGTAAATCATAAGCTTTGAAAATACAAATGCTATTTCTCATAATTAAAGAAGACGTTTCAGATTACGGACATGACTTCCCAAAAAATCTCAACCTAATTTTATTGTCCCGATAATCAGCATTCATTGCTTATTATTTTCCACAAGTTTATTTTGTACTTTATCACAACTCAATTTTTTCTGGTAATAAATAGGTGTAAATGAAAATGCATATACACAGGATGGTGTAAAATTTCACGAACTTTTAGAAGATGTCTTTACTTTAAAAAAATATGTTCTTTTGGTAATAGTATCCTCAAAATACAGAGTGAAGCTTATTTTTTCCAGGGGTATATATATACGTATATACAGCTTTTATATCTAACTAAAACTTCACTAAAAATCCGAAACTAGTACATGATCATTTTGTGAATGTTTTTTTCTTTTGAACTATTTTGTATTTTGTACTTAGTATTAAACAATTTCTCAATCAGCCCGCTAAATAGGCGAAAGAAAAAATACTATTTAAAACAAATGTCACTATAATACAAGAATTTGTTCAAAACACACGATTATACACATTAAAAGTTTTTTTCCGTCTAAAGGCAATAGCAAAATTAAGCGGTTTTTGGAAATTTTCTACTTTCTTCGATAAAATATAGGAGAAATAGGACGTTTTTGAAAATAGAGGAAATATAGGTCGAATCGCCGCCCAGGGTGTTTTAAAAAGTTACATGATGAAATATACACAGCTGAAATTATAACCAAAGATGAGATTTGTTCTAACAAATGATGATGGAATTCTATCATCAACAACTCCGAAACAATATGTAATTATAACAAGAAAACGCTACTGATACAATGATTTGTTAAATAGAAACGAAACAATTCATATGCTTCAACTCTTGCTGCAGTTTAATTAAACAGATTATTTACAAGAGTCTTTCAGTGACATGATTTTTTAAATACTATTTTAGATTGGTAAACTGTTTCTTCGATGATTATAATCGTCAAAATATGTTATTGAGACGATCGTTGTTCAAGATCATATAAACGAACAAAGAGAACATCATCATCATCTTCAGGATTGTTCTCTTCGTCAGCATCGACAAGTACAATTCGATCAATAGATTTATCTTTTAAACATATATTAATAATAGCAGCATCTTCAGCTTCTCGACGTGTTCGTGGTGATCCAGGATGCTTAGGTAAGAGATATAGATCATTTTTATCATCGATCCTATGCCGAGTTGGTTTGATTGGAGTTGGTGATAGTTGACGTTGAATTTGTGGTAGGACACGACTTTCTGTTGCCGCTAGAAGTGATTGCGGATTTGAATGTAGATAAGTGTTTGATTGTAATAAATATTTACACATTTCACAACGGTCAATATCTTTACTACTACATCCGTAATGACTGTAGACATGGTAGATTGGACCTTGGGATGGCTAAAAAGTTCAAATTTGGAGAAAACGATAATGGAGAGAAATTTTTACTTGAGTTGGTCTAGAGGAGAGAAATATAGGTGTTTGCCATCGTTCGATACTTCTATTCGGTGTATACATCGGAAAATGATTCTAAAAACTTGCAAACAAGACCACCCATTGCGATTGTGATTGGTATGAATATATGAATAATATTGGCAAAAGCAAAAAGCTTCGTATTTTTTTTCTTCTCATAATTATTGGAGGAAAACAGAATTGCAAAACAGCGTCTAGTCAATTTTATTTCAATTAAAAATTGAATCTATAAAAATATCATTAGTATCTAACTGACTCAAACAGTAACATTCATCGATTTCGATTAAAAATAAAACAAAACATTGTTGCCACAGCAAAAGATTTTCGAATAATTCTTACTGCAAAGAAAATATTCGAGATAAGAAACATAACATAGCATTTGTTTAATGTTATTAGTTTCTCTGTAGAAATTTTACTAGATTATTTTTGATTGCTTCGTTAAAATGAACTACATTTTTTCGTACGATTCTTATTAGTATTGATTTTAGATACTTTACACTTGTTGAAGTTTAGCTGTAGGAGTGTTATTTGATTACAGAAAAATAAATATCATTAGATGATTCAAATAACGTTATTTTAATTTGTCAAAATCTGATGATTCAGACTTATTATTGTAGTTCTTAGTAATTATTACACTTCATCATCAAACAATTGGATAAATCATTTATTAGGACTTAATTTGGCTATCGTATTATTAATAAACAAAGAAATATGGTTAGTTCGCAGTATATACAAATGCTGTGTCTCATCACTATCGATTATAATAACTATTTTACTGATAAAAAGATGAAAGTTCTTTTGTAACATCATCTTTTCCCACAACGTCAAATTGTAATAGTGACATTTTTTGTTGTTTTAGAAGGCGCTAGTTGTTAAACTCGTCTAGATCATGTATGATCAAACATTTAATTGGATCCAATTCCTTTTTCGCCATAAACAAAGAAGTTTGAACTACAATAGATTTCGTAAGAGATGTATTTTCCAAGAATAAATAGGACCAGAAGAAAAACTAAAGATCTCTAATAAACCACATTAAGTATTTTTAGCGCTAGAGAAATTTCTATTTCTCAGTTATATTGAACTGAATGGGTCGAATTCAACCAAAGCACACATTGGAAGACATCTGTTTTTAAGTCGCTAATTCTTTATAGAAGCGGCTCTATTACAAGCGCAATTTACTCGAAATATGCCAGATCGTGGGCAATTAGTAAAAAGAAATTATTTCAAAAACAATATTTTTATCTTATAAGACAGTCAGATAGAAAGAGCAACACAAGTTTATAGAATTGCTTTCCAGTGTACCAGTGGCGTAGTCAGAAATTTTCGAGTCATGAACCATTTTCCAGCTAAATTATTTTGCGTAATGGGCACCAATGGGCAATTAAAAAACAATTGGACTACAATTTTTTCCGATACGCATTATCATTGCGAAACCGATGCATACTGAAGGAAAACTCATCATTATTAACTAGATCACAATAAGAGACATTGTTTTACAATAACACCATGTATCTTCGAACATGTTTGTGCGTCAAAATTTTTCGGCATTGAGCAACTAGTAGCATT